TTGGCGATATCAAGCCATGCCTGTCCATCTCCGGAGCAAAGGGAGCTCTGTCTGTCCGCAGATGCACCTCGGAAGCGACAGCTCCTTCCCCGCCCGGTCGGTGTTCGGATGGGGATTCAAATGAGTCCAAGTGGGAAAAGGAAAATTGCGAGTGTGTAACTCGGTTTTTTTTTTTTTTTTCTACGTGTGGCTCAAGAAGTGACAACAATGAGCGAAATTGCGGATATGGGTTAGCAAAGAGGGGGGCGTGGATGATCGAGATACGGTCGCCTCCTCACGAGGGCGCGAACGAGGCCGTCACAGCAACTGCATTTTTCCTTCGGACTGTTGGAATGAAATCTCCAAATGCCCTTCGGTATCTTTGTACACGCTCACGACAACTTCGTCAAGCTGCCGAGCACCCGAAGCGCCCCACACCGAACGCCTAGTTAAAATAACAGCACAGTTGAAGTCGAGACTAGGAGGCGAGGCATACATTTACAGAGCCGGTGATCAACTTCGTGTACCTTTGTATTATCGCCCACGTCACCCTTAGGCCTATTAGCCACGACATAGCATCAACTAGTTTAGAAAGCCAAAGTAGAAAAATGTGCTGGTGTTTGCTGCGGTTTCAAGGTTAGATCAGATGTCGTCTTCAAATGTGAAGCAGAGGCGGTGCGTTTTAGATCGACTCCAAGGTTCAATGTTGGTGCCTAAGGGACGGGGTCTTACTTCGTACGAAAGTTGTGGTCATTATCTCTCGATGGACTGGGTTCTGGGCTGTGCCCTGGCCTGAGCACTTGTGACTCGACTTGTCCCATTTTCTGTGCCCAAGGCGATTAGGCGCTAAGTACCATTCAAACGAAACCTGAGTGGCTCGAGAGGTCGAGAATACATCGATTTCTTTGCCACTAGATTACCGAGATTAATCAATATGCCTTGGCTTAGACTTGTGCACAATGATGACGACAAGGGTCAAAAAAATGTGAAAAGATGGGAGGAAAAAGAAAGCCACTGCAAGGGCGACTTTGGATCATTGATGCCTGGATTGGATATCGAGGAACATTTCATGTGAGTGCTGGAAGCGCTCTGTACATTTGGTACTGTATCTCGTCTGGCTGGCCAATTAATACCGATCAATCTAATCTGGGCAAACGACCTAGCACCCACCATCAAGCAGAAGCGCAGGAACTTGAAGGGCACGCATCAAATTGATTGAAAAGCTTAAAACTTCCGAAATAAGGGGTGACACATCCTGGCGTACTGGGGGTTGGCGCTGTACAGGTCAAATACACTAGTAGCTCCACAATATCTGTAACGATTGGTCCCTCAAGCTGAGTTTATATTTTATACATACGGAGCGCGTACTTTGTACAACACCCCCCCAGATGAGGCACAGCTTCAATGTTTTTTATCTTGAGGCTCCTAAACGAGGGCGGACTCCCAAGAAATTGTTTTTTCGCCAAAAGATACTCTTCCTCACGCCTCCTCGAGGATATACAAGCAGGGCCAACATGAAAACGGCACTGACATCGGAGGGGCCCTCAGACAATGCTAATTTGTACAGCCTCCTCACCCCCTCCCAGAGCCAGTTATTTTGAGGAAGTCCTCAAACTGGTTTTAGCCTGGTTGTGGAGCACTGGAGTCCGAGCGGGCCCTGGTCAATTCTGGACCCTGCTTGTGAACATTAGACGATGTTGGGTGTAATGACATGGAGGGACCCCCGTCATCAAATGTACCTGCAAATGACCAGACGATAAAAACGAGAAAAAAGGAAAAAAGAAAGGCAGAAAAGGAAGAGAAGAGATAGAACAAAATGCCAAATGCCTCGAATGGGCCAAAATACACTAATGGCAATCTTCTGCGCTTCGCCCCCCCCCAGGAAAACCTCAATGTTTCGGTGATTTTATTGATCCCTCCCTCAATACTCCTTAACACCGAGTCCATCCACGACCCAGGACGTTGACGCCCCGCGAACGATTTTCGGTCTTGTTTTTGCAAAGTGTTTTCCTTCTTCCGTATTAAGCCCATACAGTTGTGCATCGCCCCCTTTGCCCAGCACTTCGCTGTTCGCCCGGCTGTGCGAAGATGAGATGGAGAAGTTGGGCTTCTCGACTTCGGGGCTGCACGCTGGCGAGAAGCCTCATAATTACAAAAAAAAATAGCTTGCTCTCTACATAGTCGTGAATGCTGAACAGAAATTATATATATCTCTAAGGGACTCGTCCTCATCGTCAAGGCACACAAGCAGCTTCTTCTATTAGTCGACAAGATCATCAGCTTCCATCCATATATACCAGTTCTCAATCTCCCACTCTCACTCTTCTTTTATCCAACCGTCACCTTCCAGTGTTCCACAGACTCTTTCCAGAAGATCCGTACAGAATACCGATCACCATGCAGCATATCGACGCCATTTTCTCGATCTCTGGCCCCTTCGGCGGCCAAAGGTATGTGCCACCAGATTTGTTCCTGCCCACTGCCGACGCCACCAACTAGCCCTGCACCCCCTGTCTTCTCACTGCAAAAAGAACAACGGCTGCCAAGCGTAATTGCTCGAGGGAGAGTCGCTAACACTTGCAGTAGGAATTCCGAGTCTTCGTTCATGTCCCTGGTCGACCAAAACAGCGGGTCGAACCAGTCCGCTGGTGACGGCAGCGACTCCGGCAACACCAAGCGCGGCAAATAATTCCTTCGCCCGCTCCTGCAAGTCCGAAATACCGGGCAGGTTTAAGGGATTAATTTGGGCTTAAAATCAAATTGATGTCAGTCGAGTTCCTGCATGTGTAGCTCGCGTCGCTCATTTACCTCCGCGGTCACTTACACCATCAACAGATCCTACACACAACAAACGGCGGTCAAAAAGGCACAATTTCATTGTCCTCGTTCCTCAATCTTATTCTCAGTCCCGCTTGCACTCTTTCTTTGTCTCTTTGTCTCTTTGTCTGGCACGGGCGCTGGCACTGGCTTCATCTTTTGTTTCTTTCCCCCACCTTTGTACCACTACCAGCTTTGCTACAATGTGATTTCGGGGGTGGAGAGCCACGTTCGGCTCGAGTCCTTCGGAGGTTTTCACTATTAGTGTTTCTCTCTCCTGTCACGGCCGAATGGCATTGATTGGGGGATGGCTTTTTTCTTTTTGTGTTCGACGGAAATTTAGACGGCAGTATAGACACACTTTCTTTGTTTCGAATTCAATTAGATGCCATCCTACAAGACAACGTTTCTCACGATTCTCCTGATCTTCCACGTTTTTTTTTTTCCCTTTGTCTCACCATTCACCAGATCTCTGGACACGTCAGGTTCTGCACATAGGCGGAAATTAGAGCCTCGCCGGCGGGTCGCGGCAGTCCAATCCCCACCCCTCCCACTCGGGAATGTTGAGATTGCCAGGGAGAGTGCGGGCGGGAGTCTCAAGTGTAGAGGGTGTGGCCTCGAACTAGGTAGCATGCCGGCAAAGGGTAGCATCTCATAGGGCGTGAAATAGCGGAGGATGTCTCTCTCCCGTGAGAAACGAAACACCACGACGCTGGCGAGAGGAACCGTGCACATTTCACCTCGCCCAGGCTAGAACCACCTCAGGACAAGCTACAGTCCAGTAGGACACAACGGAGTTTAGCGTTGCACGACAGCTGTCAGGTTCCTCCTCCTCTTGTTAATTTGCGAGATTAGACCAAATCTACGGTATCAATGAGATAAAGCAAGGAAAGTGAGGACGAAGAATATGCAAAAGACGTTGGTTCCCAAAAGGCGTCCTTAAAATGGTGGGTGTGTTGGCCGCAAAGACTGGCCAGCCTGCTGCTCTCGCTCAAGAGGGAAGACCGCTACTCGGCGAGCGCTACCGACGGATAAGGTACTCCGAAAGAGTAAAAAAGGGAAAGGGACGTAGGAGCTAAACTTGAATCATTGTTTTACAATTCTCCGTAAACAAAACTTCCCAGCTCCTTGTTCCCTCTCGTCTCATCCAGAATGAACTAGGTCCAGCACCAGACATCTAAGTGGAAAATGTATAATGGCAGCGCCCCCTGCGCCTTAAAAGGTACAACTTGTACCTCCAATCGATCTCCCGGCGGCTTTACCGCCTGCCTATCAATGGGAACCGACAAAATCGATTTGGCTTTCTGAGGCTCGAGGTGTCCGTGACGGGGGTCGCGTATTGTATCCCCCATCGCACCGTTAAGGCTCCCCAACTCTCCCAACGGCTACAACACACGCCCCCTCGCCTTTATTTTTTCTTTTTTCTCTTTTACAGGGGCACCGAACTTCTGAGATCAATAATGGTAGATGCTTCGCCTTGCCACTGTAACTTAGCCCGTCAATGGTGTCAGTGATGCGCTGTGGTGCAGTATATCGGACGAAACCGAAGAAAAACAACACCGTCTAAAGACCGAGAAAAAAAAAAAATAACATAAACGGCGACGTTCGAGTTATCCACAATGCACTTCTTCCCGTTAGGACTGTACAATTTGGCATACCACGTCTCTTTATCGTCGTTAGAGACCGAAAAAAAAAGGGAGGCAAAACAGCACCGCCCCCCGCCCCCAGTGCTGGTGAGGCGACTGGGCAGTCGTGTAATCCAGTCATCAACTTCGTCTGGCCTGAACTTGCAAAGCTTCGCACAATGTAATTTGTGCAGTGGAGTGTAAGTACTAGTCCCGGCGATTTTCCATACCCAGGCTCACTGCCATCTCTCTGCCTGCCGAGCAGACCTCTCTTGGGTATAAAGTCTAGACAAACTCTCTCTCTTTTACCTCTTCTATGAGAAGCCATCTTTACCATTCCGGCATAGAGTCTCCAACGTTTTTAATGCTCTCTCGACTTCCTTCTCTTGTTGATTTATCTCAAAACTTGCCATCGCCCGAGAAGACCTCCTCGACTATCGGTATCAAGCTTCTGCGTTCGATCAACGACCGACTACTCGTCCAGCAAGAGCCGGAATCTGCCTCTTACACGCATTCCACGCTACTATACAAGCATACGAGCTCGAAATGAACAATTTCTCATACTACCAGTGCCAAAACATGGAGACTCCTGACTGGAAAGGACCTACTTTTGAAAAGTATGCCTCTTATCACCCGGCTTTACATCTTAACTCTCCTCTTCGCTCCCGTTCACGGAAACGTCTTCCTTTTCGTCTTCAGGCTACGAGCAGCGAAGTGCCCCTTTCGTTTACTCTTATCCGCACTATTGCTAACTTCTAAAGCAGGGAAGTGGTCACTCCGCTTGAGCGCGATAGACATGGCAAAGGATACACCGACGAGACCGACCCGGACGAACCGAACGGAACCGTAGTCGAACCTAAGGAGGAGAAGCCAAAGAAGCAGAACTCGTCGTCCTCCAGGCGGTCCCCCAGGAGCAAGAAAAGCCACAAGACGTAGTAGACCGGTGTTCTACCACGGCCTCCCCGGCATGCCCCAAGAGAGAGAAGAAGGGGAGGAAGAGATTTCAAGATTTCTACTGCTTGTTTTATTATATCGGTATCTTGGATTGGACCTTTACTCTGGATCAACATGCCTGGCATGGGTGTTACCCTGCCGGTCTTGGGATCCATCGCAAGCTTGGGGATTTGACATGTTCCTTCTCTTTGGTATAGATGGATATGGTGTTGGCCATTGTTTTAGGGTTCCTGTATTTCCTAATTTTCGTTAAGGGTCTTCCGCTCTTACTTTTCTTGCAATGAACAAACCAAGGACGTATCCGCCATACTCTCCAGCGGCTCGGCTCTTCCCCAAGTCTCGTGGCTCTTCCTTCGGGGGACGGCAAGGCCAGCACAGGCCACCCACGCAAAAGCAAGTAAAAGCAATGTCTTGCCATTCAGAAGCGAGCAAGCAGTTGTACTGAGCAGGCGTGGTGATATCGCAGAGGTGTGCGACAGGGTGTGGCGAGGAGCGGACGTGATCTGTAGAGACGAACTTACACACTAAATTTTTCATTAATCACTTGGTGTCGCCCACGTTGCACAGCGTACCAAGACTGCACTGCGAAGTGGGGTGTGAAATGAACATCGACAATGCATTGATGGGATGAATTCATTATCTTTACCTTGGCCGGGCTTCCTCGTTCCCAACGGGTCGGCTGGTGAGCATTGGAAATCCCCACGTAGCGCTCGGCAGCTTACAAGGCCGAAAGCGGTGGCGGTGCACAGCTCGCCAGGATCGATGCGTCTGAGGGCTCACCTTCTTGAGGGACGATGTGGGGAGTTCAAATTTGGCTGTCGTGACCTCCCTGTCCATGCCCGAAGTAAATCATACTCCATACACGGACCAGGCCAGGGCAGGGCCGCTAAGCCAGGCTCGTCCTGGCCTGGTTCACCGCACGGGTTGCCGAGATCCACTACGAACCTTGGGGTCTTCGTCAATTTCCACCCACGCCTGGTCACTACCCTAGTTGCTGGCGGGCGGTTGGGCTTCTGGAATGAAATTGATCCCCCAAAACTTCTCCACCCTCGCTGACAGGACTTGGATGAAGGATGAGACACCAGACGCATCATAGTACTTCGTAAACAAGGAACCCAGTACGAGCTGGAGCTCTCAGACTCAAACTAATACACAAGATGTTGATATCACATTCGAGACCTGGCACTTTTGCGACGAGTACTAGCCAGATCCATCAATATGAATTGACCGGTGGACAAAACTGTAACCAAGCTGCCGTTTACTAAATTCCACTGTTTCGCAATTTGTATTTTTATTCTTATTTTGTATTTCTCCCCTAGTGAGGGAAACGGCATATCGGGCTGTCTCTGTTTCGGCTCTGGAAGTAGAAAACGGTCAATGTTGTCTCCAGTGTCATCGACAATCTACGCCCTATTGATGGAGAGAGCCCAAGCATGAGGGTCCATGGTAGCATCAATACATTTGATCTTCATACGTGGTAGTTCAAGATTGCCGTTAGCGTCGGCATGTGTTTCTTACCAGGTCGCTGTCCAGGCTTGGTCTGGGCTAGCCTATCCGCGATCTTAATTGCTTGTACTTCGTACTTCGTAGGGAGGATCGATGGAACGGAGATGTACGTATTGAAGTACAAAGGTGTAATAGATCATTGATGGCATGCTGTACTGCTGTGCCGCTGCGCTAAGTGTGCCAGGGTATTCGCAATCGAATTTACTTGTACGAGGATACGCTGGTGATCAATGATCCAGGCCCCGTCACCGTCATCTAATTACTCCGCGAAAGTTCGAAGCAAGCACTACGAAGCAAGCATACCCCGGGCTTCTACTCCGTGCTTCGTAAATGCACAAGCCGCTGTCATTCGAGAATTGAGACGAGACAGATTGAGGGATCGTCGGTTTTCGGTACCCTTGGAGTCGAGCTGCGTCCTGCGTAAACCCGCGCAGGGGTACAAAGAGGACGTCAATCAAGTATGTACACAGGTACCTGGGTACCCACGAGAGGTCTGCCCCACATGCAGCTCGACAACATGGGAAAGTCTCCCACCTTCGTAGTTCTCATTTTAATTTACACCCGCCTGCTTCTTGGGGGAGTGCGTGAAACTAAGGATGCTCAAACTTAATTACTGCCCGTTTCTCGACATGGGTCGTGTTAAGCGGGGTGGAGACAAAGAGTGATCAAGGACGAGGTTATTTATGGTGGTGGTGTGCATCAAAAAACGCTGTTTCCTGATCCACGCCCCGGAGGAAGCTTAAAGGAACCCGGAACGCTGAGGCCGGCAGCACCCGGATTTGATGAAGCATTGAGGACAAGTACTTACTTGTACAAGCACTGCGTAGTACTTCGCAACAGCTTTGAACGTCGCATTTTGAAAGGGACGGGAGAATGGGGAGAAGGGGGAGAAGGGTAGCATCGATGTCGGTCAATATATTTCAGCTGAAAGCTAAAAAGGTCCAGACATGCACACAAATAAATACCCACTTGATTGATCAATGCTGTCTGTACCTTAATTCCACCTTCGTACACTGGTATTAGTCCCCATCAATCAATAACGGCCGCCGCGCTGTTCCCCTCTGCCTTCGGTTGCGTGTCGACGCCATCTTGAAGCAGAGTTGGCACACCAATTCGTGCAGCCATTGAAGATCAACAGGCGAATCGCTCTCGTCAATCCTGAGCCAGCGTGCCGCCGCTGTTGATGTTCCGCCATATGTGCCCCTTGACCGAGGGCTGCGGTTAGATTCCATGTCGGTGGTTAGGATTGCCCTCCGTCCGGGGCTCGCAGCCTGTTCCCTAGAACAGATCAATTCAATGATCATCAATCCATCATGATCAATCTCTACCCACCTTGCTGGAGACACCCTCCCTCAGACCTCGAGTTCTGTCTCTCACTCCGCACGCCCGCCACCCAAAACACAAGCTCCACTCGCACTTGCTGAATCCAATCTCTTCAACAAGTACGCAGAAAGGGCTTGTTCAAATCCTGGTCGCCCGACCTTACAATACATTCTGCTTCAGGTATCTCTTGTCTTGTGCAGGGGATTGATGTAACCTTTCTGTTTTTTTCCCTCTTCTTGACCACCAAAATTGAGGCAGCATGAGGTTTCCCCCGCGCCGTGGCTTTGTTCCGTGCAAGATTCATCGCAATCTTTGACGCCCGCATACCAACAGCAGAATTAGTTAGCCGTGGCGCTGACGAGGGACGTTCCGAGGTAGCACGACCAGAAAAGAAGTAAACATAAACACAAAAAGAGCGAACACCCGACTTCCGGAGAGGATCCTCATAAACTAATGTTGCACCCGGTAGCTATACAGCCACAAAAGCGATGAAGCAAGGTCGTCAGCGGCCTGCCCAATTCTCTTCATGCTGGTTTCCTGCCCCCATGAGGATGTAAAACGGCTTTTTTCGTCGCTACATTAAGCTAGTCCGGGCCGGGATGTAGACGAGCAGTTTCACAGACCTGCCTCTGCACCAGGAAAGCAGCGACGTGTTGAAACGACAAGGAGGACAGCGTATTCGGAAACCGGATCAAAGGAATTGCCAGTTGTTCAGCTGGTTTCGCTAACCCGGCCGGCGCAACTGCTCGATTTGCCTCAAAGCGAATTTGGGGGATCCGGGTTGCTTGGACCCTTGTGCGACACCTCGAGTGCAGGACGTGATGGGTGAAGACAACCCCGCACAGCTCTGCCCTCTTCAACTAGTAAGAAGAAACCGGCGAACTTGTCCCGCATTGATCAATGTATCTCCAGTACACCTCAAGCTGTGCTACCTCACCCGCAGGACCCCTAGCCCCTTCTGAACCCCTATGAAGACAAAGTCCCCTTTGCATCCTAAAGGAGTTGGCGTGGCCCCTTTCCCGCTGCACTGCGTAGTGCTCAATCCTTTCCTTCTTCTCTAGCTCACGGAGGTCTCGGCTTGTAGCCATAAGTCGATGACCCCGTACGTGCTCTTTCAAAGGACCTCCACGTCACTGGTTCAACCCAACAAACCCACCAGTCTCCAAGCAGGCAGTCGTGCTGTGTTGTTTCGAAACTTTCCCACCCTGTGCAAGCTCTGCGCCTCCCGTCGCCCCCGCCCCTACCATCCATCCCCCTATCCCCGCCCCTACCTTCCATTTTGCTAGACTCCCGTTTCCATCCAACTCAGTCCGATCCGAATGGTTATTGAAACCTGACCCACTTTGTCGATTGCACGTCTTGGTTTTTCCCGAATATGGCGGTGAGGACAAGGACCTGTCATTAACGGTCCATCTCCATCTTTTCGCTCGATAGGATCGTTCTTAAAGGGCGGCAGGTCCCAGCCCCTCTGTCCTCCTCCCAACAAGAAACCCCCGACGAAGACGTTCTTCTTCATCTACCGACCTCTGAACATTTTTCTCTTGCTTCCTCCTTCGTTCCTCTTTCTTGCCCCATTCGTTTTATCACGTTTAACGAAACGTTGGTACCCTGCTCTCCCCTTCGAGGACGTAGGAAGTATTCAGGCTCCATCGAAGCTGGTCGAGTTGGGCAGCTATCAGCACGAGCATCCTCCCGCCAAGCACCCGATCATCTCCAAGGTCCAACTCTCTCCCTCTCTCCAACCAACGCCTACTCCTCAATTCTGCGAGACATCGTTTCGATCTACTCGTCGGGATGCGTGGTGACAACGAAGGTCTAGGTGGCGTCGGCGGCTCCATGGATGGCCACGCCGGTGACAATGTGGTCGAACAGTTTCTAATCCCACAAGCCGACAACACGAATCCACCCCTCCGTTCGGAACAAAAGCATGAGCACAGCGTTAGTGATGACAAGTCGGTACTACTCCCTTATTAAAACTAATGCTGAGTGATACCTAGGCTGGGCCCGCTGCTAGAGACGAAACCGGCGACGCATACCACGGAGGATACACAAATGGGACCGCCGCGATGCCGATCCTCGATAATGCCAACGGCGGTAATCAGAGCGCGGAGGGTCCCGCCGGACTTGATGGCTCGCTCAAATCGGCAGACCAAGACATCAGCCCTGCTTGGCCTTGCGACATGTCTGATAATAATACGGTGGTCCGACAGGACCCAGTGATTCGGGAGTAAGATTTGGCACCTCCTATCCGCATCCAGTTTGTTTGGACATCCTTTCGGGACGGCTGTGACTAACTCGAACCATCCTCTTCCAGCTCCTCGTCCGCTGAATCCCCAGCGTTCGCTGTTTGCCTTAACAGGGAGCCGGACAATGTAAGGGAGGAAGAATTTGAGGACATCGTCCAAAGAATAGGCCCGATACCTGGTAATAGGCAGGCAGATTCTGAGCCTCTTTTCTTCTATGGACGATCCTTATCGTTGTCAAGCGAAGAAGATTCCTCGGCGTCTCCACGGAGTGCCGATAACCATAATAGACCTAGGTCTAAATAGAACACATCGAGTCCGTCTTCCTACGTTGGCGACAAATCTGCATCGTATAATCGTGTTGAGATGGACGAACTGACAAGGCCGTAGGTAGGAAGAACAACCTTGTGGGACAAACAAGTGTGTCACTAGGTATGTCCGCGTCGAGAATACAGGTCCCTTAACATGTTCGCGATAGAGACTGACTGAGGTAGGGAAATCTGGCTAGGAAATATACCTACGGCTGGACCGGAACGGGTGTCCCTCTTGACTCTATATATATATATATATATATGGGCTGCATTGTTAGCCAGCACACTCCACCTGACGGGCTCTCATCCCCACACCCCCTTTATAAAACACTTCAATTGGCTATAAGTGACCCTTTGAGGTCGACGAGGAAGACCCAATGTACCCCATTCGGAACGGGTGTCCGCGTTTCTGGTTGGGAATACTGCTTTGGGTGCCCTTTTTTTTCTTGTTTTCTCTTCTTTCTTTCCCGTCAAGGTTATTAGCACCCCCCTTTTCTGTGTTAGGTGGTTGGTGGCGATATCCGGAGGATTCGAAGCCCAACGGATCGACTCGAGCAAATACCTGTGGCACTCGAACTATTTTCGTTTCGGGAAGTTGAGGCAATATGGTTGGATAGAACACGGAGCCATCGGAGACCATGGCGGTGTCGCTCTCGCCATCGACCACCTATTCGTCGCCTCGTATCAGCTCGTATAATTTTTTAGTTAGCTCGGCCTGAAAGTTTAGCCTGTGGAACATATCAGGATATCAAGAATGAGATTGATTATTCCTTCTTTTATTACATTGTCGTCTGAATAACCTCGTGGAGTCGGTGAGGAGGGGCCGGGATCTTAAAACACGGACCCTAGCACAAGCCCGCGGAGAATCCTTCCTGCCCCTGATACGCCTGGCTTTGCTGACAGCCCTCGTCAACCGGCACTAACAGAACTATCGTGACAAAGGCGGGGGCATCCTAGGCGAGGATTCAATATGATTATCCTCTCACTTGATTGGATCAAAGATTTTCATGCTGCATTGAAATGGAAGATTCCGCCTCGATCGGAGAGATGTATCCGGAGCCGAAGCGGCAGGAGCCGAGAAGCCACTCCAGTCAGGCAATTTTCCCCGTGATGTTATCCTAATCTAGATAATGGAAGGAGCACCTAACACACTCCAGTCCATCAACATTGTGGAAACTACTTCGTAGTAGTTTATCCTGGAATCCTTCATACAATACAACATTTTCCATCCATACCACAATGCCACCATATCAAAATGTAAGACACAAACTCACGGATTGATATTTTCCCCCTCCGCCCCTGGTGCCTAGAAGTTCTCGACGCTCAGCCCCAGCTCCTAAAACTTCGATGACTCCTTCGGCAAGGGGCAGACTCATCCAGACCACGCCAATATTCAGCCATCGCATCCAACAATTAATTTGACGAGACTCCTGACCATATATTAATCCACTACGCAGCGCCTTGAGACCAGCACACTCGTCAGCCAAACGATCAAAGCTGTACCTTAAGCCGCATTCGTCAGCACTTCTTCGTAAACCCACTTCATTACCCCGTTTCCTCCCCGTTCACCTTCTCCCCAGCTTGCGCTTTGCTTTTTTTATAGATGGCGCGTTCGAAAAAGACCCCTTTACTCCTTGACGGAAGGACCGGGGAAGGCGGCGGACAACTCGTCCGGATCGCCGTGGCTTTAGCCGCCGTGACGGGCCAGCCCATCCGGATCATAAATGTCCGGGGAAACCGGGGCACGACTCGTCGCGTCGGGAAGCATGGGAACGTGCAAGTAACTGGAGGTAAGGAAGAAATAATCCCTCAACGCAGAAGAAATCGCAATTCTACAATGTTGCCGTTTACTCAAACACTACCGAATAGGTGGTCTGAAAAATCAGCATGTGGCGGCAGTCAAACTCCTCGCCGAGATGACGGACAGTGAAGTTGAGGGCCTCGTGGTCGGGTCAAAGACGCTGACATTCATCCCCCGCCTTCCACCCACATCCTTATCTCAGCGCACCTTCAAGGTCGTGCCAGATTCGAGCGGGGCGAGCACGATGCTGGCTCTACAGGCTATTCTTCCGTTTCTCTTGTATGCGGGGGATGAGAGCGGGTCGCCTATCGAGCTGGAGATCCACGGAGGCACTAACACGACCATGTCGTTGAGTTACGAGTACATGGACCAGGTTCTGATGCCGACGCTGGAGGAGCGATTTGGCATCCGGACGGAGAGAGAGTTGAAGAGTAGGGGCTGGGTTTACGGCCCACCTAGTTGTGGTTGCGTCTCTCTGAGAATCTATCCCCTCAAAAGGGGTACAGCGTTAACCCCGATCGCGTGGGATAGGAGCTTAGCCGATTCCGGAGCCTACGAAGTCAAGTCGGTAGACGTCACCATGATTGTTCCCCTGCGCCTTCAGGAGCCCCTGCAGACGGCGTTATGCCAGAGCATAGGGGAGCTCTTCCCCGACGTGGAGATTAATTTCATCAAAACCGAAGACTCTGGACACGACGCGAGGAACTACGTCCTCCTTGTCGGCAAGTCCTCGGCCGGCCTGCGCTGGGGCCGGGATATTCTCTACAACCCTGGGAAGAAAAACAAGGAAAGCCCGACATCCCTGACCGCGAATATTTCGCGACTCGTTACGAAGGAGCTTTTCTCGGAAGTTCAGGCGCGGGGACAGGTTGACAAGTATCTGCAAGATCAGCTGGTGTGTTTCCAGGCGCTTGCAGCGGGACGGTCCAGTTTCCCGAGGCATGATCCAGGCCCTGCAGAGGCAGAGGCAGATGCGGAGAAACCTAATCTAGAATCCCTTGCGGGGAAGATGAAGCAGCTTGACGTTCATGACGACTCTGGTGACGGGGCGTCCGCGGGACCATTCGGTTATGGGACGCTTCACTCGAAGACTGCAAGGTGGATCACACGGCAACTGCTTCCCAATGTCCAATTCCACGACATGGGAGATGTGGTTGAGGGGGCAGGGATCAGCTTTGCATGAAGCCAAGATAAAAGTATCAATACAGAATCAAGCAGCTGCAGGTGCTTGAAATATTGAATTCAGGGTTCCCCAAAGCGGCGAGCTGCTGGTTTCCCGCAGATACATCGCATTTAGCATGTATTACCGCATCATGGTTATGCGTACGATGTCTATTGATAATGAATGACAAAGGTGTTCTCTTCGATCAATTTTCCCCTTCCCTTCAGAGTTCCAGAAATATCGTAACATCTACAATCTGAACCTCTCTGCTTTCCCAGCTTCGACCAGCCGCGCCGCCACACGCTCCAGCACCTCGCTATCATACAAATCTTCCAGCTTCGCACCACCCTTGAGCACCTTCTCGTAGTGTCGCGTAGCCTCTTCCTTCGTCATGCAAACAATGTTGCGTAGTCTGATGTTCGAGGTCTTTTGCTCGTCGGCCCCGCTTCCAATCTTGTTCATCACGGAACCTTCGGGACGGTGCCACCGGACGAGGACAAGTTTTGTCGGGACGCCCGAGACGACGCTCCTGCCGCGGTACGCCTCCTCGATTAGGTAGGCGGCGTCTCCCACGGAAATAGGGAGCTTGAATCCCACCGCTGCGTTGGGGTCGGAGACGCCCTCGGTCGCGCGGACAAGTTTCTCTTCTACACCCTGTAAATATGCAAGGGCTGCGTCGTAAAGCTTTTCTCGAGTCTTCACGGTAGGGTAGTTGATTGGGTAACCTGCAGTCTAGTTAGCCAACCCGGGTTTTACGACGAACGTTTTCTGTTCTTTTCATTAAAGTAGGCTCACCTGTAATGGACAATATGACGTGGTTCGCCACGGTGTACCCAAATATAGCGGGCATAGTACCGAGGACTGGTAATATCCGGACGCGGAAGTTGGGCAGCGCACCGAGATCACCCACAGAACCCTTCTCGAATTCCTCGTCGGCCAGGGGCATGAGGGAGGCCTTGCCCTCGCCGCTTTTTTCAACAGAGTACACCACGGGGACGCCCGAAGTGACACCCTGCAGCTTCAACCGGCGGCGCGTAGACCTCGACAGCGGATCATTCGTGGTACCCGAAATATCGCCCACCATCACCCTAGTGGGATCACTCTTGCAGCCCGATCCTGCCGCAGAAATCACAGGCAGCTCGTGATCATGGCAGAACTTCAGGAGGGCGACCTTGGTATCGATGTTATCAATCGCGTCAATAATAAAGTCAGGTTTCCTCCCATCCTCCTGCCACGGCGCAAGCAAATCCTCGGCAACGTCGGTATCGAATTTCTCCTGCCTCAGATCGAACTTGACCCACGGCGTGATGGCGATGAGCCTCCTGTGCATGCAGTGAACCTTTGGCATCCCCACGTCCGCCAACGTCGCCACGGCGTGCCTGTTCAGCGAGCTCAGAGTGACCTGGTCGAAGTCGACCAGGCGCAGACGCGAGACGCCGGAGCGCGCGAGGGCAGCGGTGCAGTGCGACCCGACGCCGCCGAGGCCGACGACGATGACGAAGGCGTCGCGGAGTTTTGCGAGGCCGTCATCGCCGAGGAAGACGCGGTTGCGGGCTAGCTGCTCGAGGATGAGCTCTTCGTCGAAGTCGCCTTGTTGGGCGCGTCTGGCGAGAGCTTCATTGCGGAGGTCTTCCTTGTCCACGAATTTATGGTTGGCAGTTCTGTTCTTTATCTGCTTCCATTGTCAGCCATCGGTTTGTTTATTTCTTCCTCCCTGAGAGGGATTCAGGGGGAGCTGGCTCACTATACGCCTAGCATCGTCAGTATCAGCCAGGTCGGGGATAGAGCTCTTGAGTTCGGATAATCTCTCTTCCTGCTCCAATGCCTGGTGCCCTAGAATAAGAGCAGCAACTGTAGCTCCCGATAAGACAGCCGTTGCCGCGAGCTGAAAACGGGGGCTGGAGGTTAAATCGGAGAGAAACTGGCTCATGGTTACTGAGCAAGGGGTGAGAGTGAGGTAAGTATGGAGAAGGGAACAAACAAATAGAGGATTGCTCAAACACTTTGAAAGGGGTAAATATCAAATGAGAAATCCATTCATTCTCTTATAATTAATATAAAACACCAAGGGAAATGGTATAGCTTGTAGATGCTTAATCACATCTAGTGTCCTGAGATGGTGAAATTCTGGAGAAGTTTTGGGAAAGTTTTAAAGCTTTTGGAGAAGCCGGTTCACTAGCATTGACTGTTTTTATGTACATGGCTGGCCACTTAATTTACAAGGGCATGAAAGTACCTCCTGTTAAGATTACCATAATACAAGGTCAAATCACATAGCCTTATTTTTCTTCAGACTTCGAAAAGAGAGGATCTATAAGTCTATGGGATTATTTTTCTATTTTAAATCAGCTTCAAGTGAAGCTCTCTCTGGCTTGTTTTCTAGCTCTGTTGCCGATGGCTCCTACTGTCAATGGCGCATCATCCAAGTCCGTCATTGAAGGATGGAGCTGAATAATCATCCGTGATGCCCACTTTCATTGGCCAAGTGAGAACAGCGACTTTTTCCTCCACACCACCTGCTCAAGCTCTCTCATGAGAAACACAGCGTCACCTTCGGGCAGCGGACGAGACGACGCGGGCTTCCCAAAACGACTTGGAATTGAGTTGTTTTCCTTCTCGATAAACGTAAACACACAACCGAGATTTCTCATGCGCACTTTTCGCGACCCATCCGCCATGCCCGTTTCTTCCTTGTAAAGTTGCCGACCCGACTCAGCATTCCTTCCCGGTCCTCAACATCTCGACCAAAGTTGCCAGCTCTCCGACAAAACACTGCGGAACAGTTCTAAATCTCGATTAGGAGGGACATACTAGGAGAAAAGCGGGACGCATACACGGCCCAGGACCGCAAGCCTCGACACGGTTAGAAGTGTACTGCTACCCATCTCGACCCGATTCCTCCCAGCAACAATGAGAGAACGAGCCATCCGCCGCCTCCTCACAAGGCAATTCTTGCGCTCCTACCGAGCGAATCGATCCTTTGCCCATGTACCCGACGCGAGGCCCCAGGTGCCGTTCCTCTCGATCCCATCCAAAAACTCGCACAGACGCCACCTCACTACGGAGAGAAGGCAATGGCTCAAGCACGAGGCCAAGCTTTTCGTCCGATATGCTGTTGGCATCTGGGGTAGTCTTGCCTGTTTGGCTGTGCTCTATCTAGTTATTAACGAGGAGTTCGTCGAGCGCAAATTCCCAACACCGCACGAGTGGTCGTGGCTTACGAGAATTCACCTGCGCGGAGCTCTGCAAACGCCCCACGAGCCGAATGTCGTGCGAGTAGACTGGGTGAAAGCCATGGAGTCGGTGCTCAAGGTGCTCAAGCGACTCGAGGATCCGAATATCGATGGCAAGGACGTCAAGGAGCTTCTTGATGGATCAGTTTACATCGAAGATGTGGGGAAGCTGGGACTTGATATTACGGACAAGAGCGAGAATTGGAGGAGAGGATATCACGACGCCTTGATGTTCGCGGCGCGAGCGGCAGAGCAGCTCGATGGCTGGGTTCTCGATAAGACCCGAAACATGACGTTCCCGCCCGAGTATGTGCTGGGGCCGTCTAACCCTAACCCGAAGCCGATCCCCGCTGGAGGTTCATCCGCACCCAAGGAAGAGGACTGCGTGCCAGCTTACGAGCCGGCGGAGAACTACTACCTCCGTGTCCTCACCACGAAAGGATTCACCTCGAAGCAAAAGATGGATGCTGCGCTCGCCTACGCTTCTTTCCTCGATTTCAAGAAGATCCCAAGCGCGGCAGAGAGTATGTACGAGTGGGCGCTTTCCCTCGCAGTAGAAGACCGACTTCCAGAACCGGCCCCTTACGACTCCAAGACCATGACTCTCAACGAAAAGGCCGGGCCGCCCTCGAATAACCTGCTCACGGCGCTGACGGCATATGCGACGCACAAAGCAAGCTTGGGCGAAATTTCAACGGCGCTACCCATATTCATCTCTGCGCTCAAGGCGCGACGCGGTCTCGCAAACAAGCCCCCACCGTCAAAAGATACTTACAAGCCTCAGCCATCGCTACTCGATTCCGTCGCGGGCTTTTTCCAGCCACCACCGTATCCCGATGCACCCGACGACGGCACATCGCCTCCCTGGCGCAGTCCGCAGGAGCTCTGCGAGGAAGCAGCTCTGAGCCTTTACATCGGAGAAATCCTCTTTGCGAATAAGGATAAGGAGGAGGGTATCGCATGGACGCGCGAGGCTGTCGACGCGGCGGAGGAGCAGCTCCGAGAAGTGACCGACAAGAAGGCGTCGGAAATAGACCAGACTGCGAGGAAGACGTGCCGAGAGTGTTTAAGCACGGGGCTGTACAACTGGAGCGCGATGGCGGCGACCCTTTCGCAGATCGAGGCCGAGCGGAAGAAGACGAAGGCAAAGGAGTCGTCGGGTTTCGCGTTCTGGTCGGCGTCGAAGCCGGAGCCGGTTCCGGACCGGTGGGCCGCGGAGGAGGAGGTGGCACGGGAGAGGATACGGCGGACGAAGAAGCTGCTAGAGGATCTGCCGCCGCCGCCGGCCAATCCGCTTATGGCAATTTTCAAGGTCTGATCAGATCGAGATATCATGTCATCACGGGCCATGTGTGACTTGGCATCGACCTACTCTCGTTTCATCCCGTGTAAAACTATTCTTAGTAGTACTCTCCATTTTCGGCACATCAGTGTATAATTTACTTGTATTATCTCGTGCCTGCAGAATACAAATTTTCTGATACCCATTTCATCGAATCAGATTCTAAATAATTCTCTTTCAACCGGTCATGACGTTTAGTCCTGAGGGTGTGCTGGACGCGACACGCACGTACTCCGTACGTCCTGTCGCCGGCCCCCCCAAAAATGATATAAGTCTCACATCATCCCCCAGAGCCTCAGACCACCAGACTCTTCCTCCGAAGGCGCACCGTTGCAGCTGGACCCCCCCACAGGAGAACCGAATGGTCTGAGCAAGCAGGCTGCCACCCTCCTCCCTTTACAGGTTTCACGGCGCGATTACCTCGGAAGAAGAAAAAAAGAAAAAAAAGTACTCATCACCCCATGGGCCGAAGGTATCTTTGCGAGATGAAAAGGCGAACCAGAAGCCCCTTAAAACGAGGGATTTATGCCTCGTAGGCTGGGGCTGCTGAATATGACGGCCAGTGGCCCTGACCACTTAGAGTGAAGGGGAAAGGAGATTTCTCGGGGCTGAAAGCGCCGGTCCCCTTTTTGGCTGATAGGCGGGCGGTTGCTGGGCAGTTGTGCACTGATATTTGCGCCTTAACTCCGGAGGTTTACGAGTACGAGAAGGCGAGGCCCGGGGCTGGAATGGTTGCGTTGATTTGGAATTACAAAATGCTTCTTAAAAATGGAGATTGTTGAGTTGTCCTTTGGAGCGGTAAGGGATATCAAGGCGGACCCAGAGATCCCAGTTTTCGGCGACCGAAGGAACTTCAAAATTGGCAGGAACGGGGGTGATTGGTGATTGTAAAGGACTCTTTGAAATTAAAACTAAACCAGTTTCTACTTGCGTAAGTTTCCGGGAGCGTTTTTGAAGGTGGGGCAGAACGCCGTTGGTTGGTTCGTAATACGCTGGGACTTGTTGTTCCGGACTGCCGGAGGCCAACTTTCCATTTTTGCGCCAGCCTGGTTCGCCTTTTCTTCGCCTCGGTCGCCTTCAGGCAGATCTCGTAAATTATAGGGCGAGAGTCGCGCTTCCCTGTTACAGAGTACTGGACCAAACGCCCCGTCCTGGACGCGAAACCCTGAAAACTCTCGTCCACAGCGCCAACTTTGGCCTCCCGCATTTAAACTAAACTTAGTAAGACTACTTGATGCCTGTTTACCCGACCACGAGGTACTTGGGTTCGCCTTGTTTTGCTAGGATTAGGTGCGACGCGCTACATGGTTGCAGCGTCCATCCTGTATGACGTACCAGAGAGAAATATCTCATGGGTGGGAGGCCGTGAAGGGGGGAAGGAATCGATGTTTCTATTCGGCGGGCCATTAGGCAGTGAAGTGGTTGGGATAGATAGACGGGATCAAATAAATAATGAGGAGGCGGGTCGAAAAGGCAACAAAGGAGTCGAGATCGACGTGAGGGAATCGCGGGGTGTTCGAGAAGTGAAGAGGGAGAGGGTTCCAGGTGCGGAATCTGCAGGCAGCACCTTCATGATGGGTCGCATTTTCTCGTCGGCGGCAACGTGGTGGTTTCTGTGTGATTCTAGATTGACCAAGATGCATCAATTTGATTGATTTGATCCAATAATAGGTTCCGGGGAGCTGTGCGATGTGTGTGCGGTGTCTGTGTGCCTCCGCCCGGTGTGCGACCAAGACTGACCGTCCGCCTCGCAGATTCAAGTCTAGTGACCAACGTCCCCCCTCCCCTTCTTTCCTTTTTTGTTTCAATTTTCTTTTTCTTTTTCTTTTTCTCAGATTTTTTTTTTTTTTCCTTTTTTTAGCCTTTTTTGTTTTATTTTTCTTCTTTTCTAATTTCTTTCTCATTTTCGTTGAATGTGCCGTTGGTTTTGACTCCGAGCCATGATGTGTTCTCCGGGGTTGCGGTCTGCATCAAGGGATAAAGCAGTGCTAAATACCTGTGTAATATTGCCAACGTTGTCCCCCCGCATCACTGCATGGACCTATGTAAAGTTGACGCAAGCGGTCCGCCTTAATTCGGGATCACACAACCTCTTCCCCGCTCCAATCGCAACAATAAAATAAAACAAAAAGTGCACAAAAAGGAAGGCGAACTCGTCCCAAGAAATGAGAGCCAAAACAGACTCCGAAACACCTTCGGATATGCCGTCGTGCACCGCCGTCGAGCCGTGCACCCACCCTGTGCTTTTTCAGGGCGAAGATGGCTTGGAGCGAGGAGGCCGGGAGTAGGACATGTGCTACTCCTACTCCCGGCCTCCTCGCTCCAAGCCATCTTCGCCCTGACGGCTCAAACGCCGTAGATCTAAATTCCGTCCATCCTCCTCCGCCTTGACTTCCACCACAGTATCAATCTCAACGTACGCTTGTGATTTAGTGTGAGTTTCCGGAGGTAATTGCAGCTGTCGGTTCTGTTGGGTCCGTAGGTGCTCCAGGAGCTGTTCCCGGCTTTCCATTTCCAGACCGACTTCACCGAGGTCCAAATCCTGTAGGCCCACAGTTGTGCGTTTATTGGTCGGAGTCTCGGCTTCGGCTTCAGTCTCGGCCTCGACCGCATCATCAATTTCAATATCCTCGTCTCCAGCCTCGCCGGGAGCATCGTCAAACTCGGGAGCAACCGCGAAAGTCTTCAGCTTCTTGTCGTAAGAGATCCACTTATTGTAGAGAACCGCAATGCGGCACCCCAACCACAGGATCCTCTCCTTTCTCTGTTCCGCCATACTGGCCACCTCGAAATACTTGTCCTCGTCATCCACCTGTGCCCTGCCGAACCACTCTTCAGTGTGATACTTGTCCGTCCAGAGTAGGCCACGCATGGCAAAGTCCTCTGGCAAGGGTCGCGGCGGCTCGGCGTCGTCGTGAAGGCCCGGGAACTTCTCATCCTCGTACCTGGTGGAATCAGTTTTCAACGTATTGAGGAGATCCACGAATGGCCTCCATGGGAAGTCACGCTCGATAAGCCTGATCCCGCTAGGGAAAAACGTGAGATGGTGGGTAAACACCATCGTGACGTGGACAAACGGCCATACGTTAGGGTCCCCTAGCCTTTGGAATATTGCCCGAGCCGTCTTGCAAAAGAGTTCACGCGCCTGTATGAATTCGGTGCTTAGTTCTTGTGTTGGTTGCTGCTGCTGCTGCTGCTGCTGCTGCTCCTCGACTCCCTTCATTGCGCTGTCTTGGTCCTCGCCCTTAACCTCCACAATCTCTTCCGGCTGGGCCTGCTGTTTCTCCGATGGGAGAGGGTTGATGATATTGTACAGCAGACCAGTCTTGCTTCCGTACTCAACGAGAGCGCATGAATTAGCAATTCCCATATAATAGGCAGGCTCCATATATAGCTTTGCAGTACGGGCAATATGATTATCAAGAAGCTCAAGGAATTTGTTCGTTGTAGTGCGCCATCGATCGGGGTGTTGGCCCAAAAACATGCAAGCGTGGGCCTGGACAAATGCATCATCGATGGGCTCCTGCAACTCGCGGAGTGGGCTTCCGGATTCGGAGAGAACAGGGTCAAAGAGCGTGAGGATCGATTCGCGTGTCGACAGGAAAGGCTTCGGCACACAGAGCGATTTCGCATAGTAGAAGAGCTGGCGAAGCCAGTTAGGTCTAGCCAAAATGGCCAGGTGGTGATACAGCCTGCCTGTAGTTGGTGACAGATCGGATGCCTTGCTATACCAATACCTCGACACTGCCGTCCAGGTTTCCCGGTCATGAACGCTTTCATCTTCGATAGCCATCCTGTATCGTCCGAGATCACCCAAGCATTCAATCCAGGTTTCCTTATACGCAGGGACCGTCTCATATAAGAGGCCCATCATGCTATAGGCAAGGTAGATATAGCTTAACATATGCTGAAGTGATCCGGGAAGGCGCTTACGGAGAAGCTCGAGGAACGAGTGGATGGCATGTCTCCACATGCGCGCAGGCATACTATATTTTAACGCGAGCCTCTTTAATGCATCGCTCGCCGATGGATGTTGACTCGCGAGGAAGAAGTCATGATGTTCGTGAAGTAGTGCCCTATGTAAAGCGATGAGGGCTTGATATTGTTCGTGACTTAGTTCCTTCGCGCTCTCGTCTGCCTGCGCTGTATCGACTTCAATACATTTCGACTCGACCATCACAAGCCCCGTGTAAATTCCCTTGACTTCGGCGACGAGCTGCTGCTGCGTGATGGGACGAGTATCTGGTTGGCGCTGCATTGTATCTGTCTTGTTGTCGGAATCTTCATGTTGCGGGCGAGCCGGGGGGTTCTGGTTTTTACCTGAAGGTCCTTGCGCTGGATTGTTCGCGGACCATAGAACCGGGTTTTGAGCTTTGGGACGAGAGAATTCGGGATCGGGCGTCGACGTGGTCGGTCGCGCACGAGACCGCCGGGTTTGGCTGTGTGACGAGGCCACGGGGCTTCCGCGATTTGGTTGGGCTGAGGCCTTCGAGAGGCTGGGTGTGGCGGGTGCGGCTGGCGTGTCCGTAGTGGTAGCGGCAGCCCTGGGAGTGGTGGACTTGGGTTCTCCGGCTGGCGAAGGTTGGTCAGAGCTGTCGTTGTTGGTGGCGTATTGCTTCTGCCTAGATATCGTGAAAGGCAGGCGTTAGAAAGCTAGTGGACGAGATGGAAGCACGAAGCAGGCAGCACGAAGCGCAACGTAGGTATGATACTATGATACTGGTAGGAGATGAGGATAGCGCTTGCCACCTGCCACCCGCCACCGCCCGCCACGCACTCGCCACTTTGCGAGGTGTACGAAGTAAAGGCAAGGGACAAAGGGTACGGAATGGAAGGAGAGAAGGGAGAAGCGGAAGCAAAGGCATTCCACGGAATTCCAAGGGAGTGGTCAGCAGCCTAAAGGGGGGTGGGGGACTGAAAACGGCCGGGTCTGGGAGTCATAGCAGCTGAGGGCGGTCGGGGTGAGCGAGGCGAGGCCAGGAGTGGAAGGCCTAGACTTACCGGGCTGGGGGATTCTGCGATCTCCTGTAGTATTTGCGCGCTATACTGGCACTGGTGTCACCGGGGTTCGCCGCCAACTCCCGCTCCAATACGTCGGCATGAACAGAGGTAAAGTGTTCGGTGTAGGATTCTAGGCCAAGGGTGATTGAGGCGCCGCACAGAATACAGGGAAGATGGTCTTGGTAGCGGACGTGTCTCGATTGCTGTAACAGTTGAATTTTCCGTTCAAGAGGAACGGCCTGCCCACCCGTCCCCATCGTAGAAAGAGGTTATTGCAGCCAAGTCGCGGGCAGAGGAAACAATCAAAATTCATTGGGGGAGAGCGGAGGAGAATCAGGCCAAGAGAAGCAACATTGAGGGGAAACCAGGGAAACAAACTACGTGTGGTAATGTTAGAAGTAGGGGAGAGGAGGCACCGAATGGGTTGGGCATCGAGCCTTTATTGATGAGTGTGAAGCCTAGTAAGGAAACCCCGCTTCAGTGAGTTCTAGCAGAGATGGTTCGCGAACCATGACTTCTCAGCCAGCATTTTATACCACCATCTTTGATGCCCCCCATGTGAATCAATGAATCAATCTTGCTTACGACTGATCTTCACCGCACAGGCGCCCAGGCTGTGAAATTCCACCTCCCACGGCGCTTGTACAAAGGTACTCTCCCAATTGATTTTGCGACGATGGCAAACAACATCGTTAATCATTTTTGTCAAGGCAACGGGGATGACAGCCCGCCTATTATGCAACCTCCCTTGGAGTCCGGCGCGCACTGGTGTGAGGGTGGATTCTAAGAGTCCATAAAAAGGTAGAGAGGTTGGGAAACGAAAAACAGAATAGGAAGAAATGGGGCGCTCGCCTGCTTAACCAGCAAACAGAGCTGGCCGACATGAACCTAGATCAGAGTGCTCAGGCTGCATGCAGGCCGGACCAGGCTGGAGGTATTGATCGATTTTTCGGTGACTGCCTTTGTGGGACCCCTGTACTTTTATGTGCGAAGTAATAGTTCTGATCACTTTAATTTCAAAACGTAACACAGACGCCTCGGAGTACCGGGTGGGAAATCTTGGCCGGGAGAAGCTCACTCCAACTTAAAAATTTTCTAGAAATCCAAGGCGAGGCGAGTTGTGCACATGCACATGCGCAAGGCAAGCAGGCGAAGACGCGAAGACGCGAAGGCGCGAAGAGGTGAGGCAAGCCCGTTCTAGTTTCTGGGTTAAACCAGAAACCCCTGCTCTTCATCGCTTTCTTGGAAGTGCAGTGAAGGGATAGATAGTGACAATTAATATGTCAATGAACACCGAACATTGTGTGTATTGCCCATTATAGGATAGAGGACGAGGAGCCGCCAAGGACTGGTAAAAGGCAATAGATAAGGCCAACCATCTCGTACGTCCTCTCCTTCTCACCGGCATCGCCCTTCGGGTTGGAAACTTACACAAAACCCGAATCAGAAATAGGGCAAGCAGAATCAAAGTCATGAAATTTCTAGTAGATTATCCTATTTCCTTCGTATAATAAGCAATACAGCAACCCCCAAGCATCCCCCTTTCCCCAGCCATTACTACACGGCTACGACGGCGCTTCCCACCTCTGGTTCGTCTGTTTCCTCCTCACCTATCGACCGCTGTTAGCGTTTCTGATTCACCGTTCCGTGAAATTGCTTTTTCTCTCTTTTCAAACTTACCATTGGCTTGAGGGCCATAACCGCGAGCGCAAGGGCACCCACAGTACCAAGAAGAGCCACCTTGTTAAACTCCTTGCCAAGCACGTCAAACTTAAGGCTGGGCGTCACCCTCGAAGCAAAGACGTCGATGCCATAAGCCAGAACCAGGCTGGTACTCTCGACGATGGTGGGCGAGGCCAGGATCTCCTTCACGCCGATTACATCACGGACATGACTAACGAGGAGCCTAGGATCCAGCTCAATCTGGGGTGCGTACCGCGCAAGACCCTCAGCTTCCAGCTCTTCCTTCGTAGGATCCCTACCAACTGGTCGTCTGGGGTCGAGCACCTCCCGAGGGATGCCAATGACCGAGTGAGCCTCAGGCATGTACGCCAATAGTTGGCGACGCGTAATACCCTGTCGCGTTTGTGTGACGGAAAGCCTCTCGATCGGTCCAGACACCACCCAGGACAAGGACTCAACTGAAGGCAGCACCGGGTCCGCAGGCACGCCTACAGGGTCCAGGGGCGAGTATTTCTCAGCATCGCCCAGTGGGCCCCGATCGTTGGAGACCTCCGATTCGTACAGGTCAGTCATCGAGATTTGGTATCCCTTGATAGATCGGTTGGATCCATCTCGGACCTTGTACTCTCCGAAGAAAGTGCAGGCGAACCAGTTTTCGGACATGACACAGTCGATTGGCTTGGACGTATCAACGCCCTCGTAAGACGCGGATGACAGGATCTGACCTGACACAGAATCCAGCAGATACGTCGTGAGGACATGCTCCTTCTTGTCCACCGCCGCTACAAGTAGGGTATTCGGGTTCAGATACTTGTATCGAACCTTACGGTCCGCGAGGACACGGCCGATGGACGCAACTGGGTCGTGCGATGGTCGGGCAGTAGCAGAAACGATATCTTGACCAAGAGGTGGCCTAAATACCCAAGATGTCGTGTGCTTGACGGCCGACCCGTCGTGGCTGAGTCTGACTCCCGTAATCTCACCATGGTCGCCACGTAGCACAATAGTCTGATTCGCCGCGCCTTCCGGCAATACACCCTCAAGGTTGCCACCCGACCCGATAGTTAGTACCCAAGGCCCAGCGGGACCATTGACAATCGCCGTCTTAGAAATAACTGCTTGAGCTTCAGGGGGTGTAAAGTCCACCACCTCGCCGGAGTCAGGCCGAACAACGGTGACGTCGCCGTGCGACCCCAAAATTCGGACTTGTCCCTTCGGTTCATCAACTAGAATACCGCTAACCTGCCATGTCTGGCCCTTAGGGAGATCGACGGCCTTCTTCGACCATAGAACCTTGCCATGGTTGCCCGTATCAAGTGCGTAAATTCGACCTCGTCGGGTAGCAAGAATGATGAGCTTCCTGAATCCGAAAGAGTCTCGGCTAAGCTCCGTCGGGTGCGAGTCAACCAAGCTACCCAGAATACTACCAAGAAGACGAGACGGCAAAGCAGCCAGGTAATCGGGCAAGTATTCGAGGTCATTGAGGTGGCGCTTAACGCGGCTCACGTATGCCGCAAGAGGGTTTGTATGGGCCTCTTCTTCCAAAGCCTTGGCGAGGTCTTCTCCTTCGGGAATCTCAGCGAAAGTAGCAGCAACAGCAGCACTCATGCCTTCTGGTCTTGCCCAGATTACTTCCCCATTCCTCACAAGAACCCACTCATCCGAGGCGGTCGTAACGGCGGAGCGAATAGCGTACTTGTCGTCGGCCTTTCTCAAAACTTCGGTCGTAGCATGAAGCGCAGGAACATCGCGACCAGGCGGGAATGCCCATCTGCCAAGAATGCCGTGAGAAGTCGAGTCCACAAGAATGATTTCTTCTTCCGTGATCCGGGTGAAGTACACATTAGCCCCGTCCGTGCTCGTCGACACCGCGCCCAGACCAGGAAGGTGTGGGAGGTCGTAAGCCTTTGATACGCCATTGTTCTTGAGGTTGACATGGTAAACTTCGGCACGATTGCCGGTCTTTGTCCTCGTATGCACCAAGAAGTGAGGTTTAGACTGTGTCAGGTGAGAAGCGTGAATGTCAACACTGACGGCATCCGGGCTCAGTGGGAATTCCTGCTTGTTTTTGGTACCGATGACATTGACACGGAGCTTCGATATGGACGGGTCGGCCCATGCAATGATTGGAGCCGCAGAGTTCGAGCCGACAAACATGACATCCTCAGGAGATTGCACTTCGCCGTTTGTTCCCAAAATGATTTCGTCGGTTCGCTTGCCCGTCTTGATATCCAGGACCGAGAACTTCAAGCTGTAAGGGCTGCCGTGCAAGCTGACGGCAAACACCGATTCAATATTCGTAGATACCTGGAGGGGGATGTCCTTTCCAGAATCCCTCGATTCCCACACAACATTACCATTATCTCCCCGAAGCCGCCGCACGATAGTTGCGCCAGCCTCATGCAGTAGGACCAAGACATCCTTTCGTCCCTCTTCCGTCACCTCCAGTATCTCCAAGTCTTTGATCTCGCCGGCGAAATCCATCCACCATGTATTCCGTCCCGTAAGAGCGTCCCATCCGTGGACAGAGTTACCATAGGCACTACAAAGCCAGGTTTGGCCATCGCCCGCTCGTAGGAAGCCGCCGCCAGTCGTGATATTTCCTGTGACATGCTGTCTCCAGACAACAGCACCGTTGCTCGGATTGACTGCGCCGAGAATACCGACATCGCTCAAGGTATAGAGTAGGCTCGCTTTTTCGGCCTTCCTAGGTCTATGGAAGAGGGTGGTGCTTGGCTGGGGAACGCCTAGGAGATCGTAATGGAAGTCGATTGTCCCAACTTCATCGGGAAAAACAGCTTGCACTAGAGAAGAAAGCCCGAGAATGATAAGGGCTTTCGCCGAAAGGAGCGGAAGCCTCATCTTTGGAAAATTGTTTGCGGGCTGTGGTGCGCAAATGTTGACAGTTCGTCATTTCGTCAGGAAATCCTGAAGCTCCCCCGAGTTACATTGCATTGGAGCACGGGAGCTCCCAATGCCCACTCCCAAACACGGCAACTTCCGTCCCTCAATCTGGTTGTGATTATGTAACGTACATATCTAGTACAGTTTGAAAAACGCATAATACTGTGTATCAACGACAATGGAACTCGACCTTTCCTAAAACGCGTCGACATCATGAGTGTGGGGACTCCTGCTCGCGTCACGCTTCACTCCGATCGTGGAGGTCGCCTCCAGGGATCAAGCAGTAAATGGACTGACAATAGTACCGTGCTATTTTCCTGTGCTGTCATGGGAATTTCTACCATTGTACTCTTACAATCTCCTCCGTTCGTCTCGGGTTTCGTGCTTTTTCTTTTCATCCATCTTTCTTTTTTCCCCCGTTCCACTTGGGAGAGCAGAGGCTAGCCGGCAACCATGGCGGAGGAACCAACTCTACCCCGGCTTCCTGCCGTGTCCTGGGACGGGCGCACCCAGAGCATTAGCACTCGCACGAGGAAACGCGCCCGGTTGGATAGATCCGAGGCACCGCCCGTAGTTTCCACCTCAAGTGACCCTGCCTTCTTTTCCAGTGACGATGATCCATCCGTTGAGAATTACACACGCGTTCGAAGAAAGAAGCGCCTGGTCGGGTCCTGGTATGAACAGCAACCCGCGCCTTCGTCCGACTCTTGTTTCGGAGAGGATGCAATTCCACCTCCAAGGCCAAATCGAAAGTTTGCGCGACACTTTGACAGCGGTGTATGGATGACAGAGGCCAGTGATGACGGCGCGTGTGACGATGACTTGCCGGGGTTGACGAGCTCGACATTTCCTCCCAAAACAAAACTTCCCCTGCCCATCCGTCCGGACGGGCCGAAGCTTTCGGGGGCTGAGACTGCTGCGAGGAAGACTATCCAGATGTGCATCGATGATGGCGTAGAGACCATTGATTTATCGTAGGTTTCCCCTCTGTCAATGTCTGTTTGCTTTACCTTTATCGTCCTAACTGAATTCCAGTGATCTTCATCTTCAATCTATATCCAATGACACAATTGTACCGATTTCCACCCTTGCGCCAATCCCCATCGTCACCCAAGACGTCCCCTTCGAGCCAAAGGACCCAAGCATTAAACTCTTCCTCGCAAACAACAGACTCAGCAAGGTACCAGGCGCCATCTTCGATTTGGAGAACCTCACCCTGCTAAGCTTGAGGGGGAACCGGATTGAAGAGCTACCCGATTCCATTGGCAACTTGACAAACTTGAGAGAGCTGAATATCTCTCAAAATCGACTCAAGTTTCTACCAAGCTCCCTTCTGAAGCTTCTAGGCCCGGGATCCAACCTGGTTTCCCTTAGTGTCCAGCTCAATCCGTTGTTACAGGTAGATCGGACCCTTGTCGCAAAGGCGCGCGAGATCGACGACGCAATTGACAGCAGCGAAATATCCGCCATTACTGCGTATTTTGTTGCTCGCTCAGCCGTCCGAGTCTCCGCCGGTATAGGAAAGCGAGCTCCGGAGGTGGACTTAACAGTGCCCTTCGATGAGGGGACCGCCGAATCCCAAAGCTCGGAAGTTTCGCTCTTGTCGAACCCATCTCGAGTGCCGAGTCTCCAGGAATTGACCTTGAGAAAATGCTATCAGAGCTCTCTGCTTCGAGAGTTTCCGGACTACCTTCCAGATGACTCCTTTGAACATTTACGGGAACTTCTTCGAAAGGCGTTGGCCCAACGAGAAAGCGGGGGCGTCCACTGTTCAATATGCGGGCACCATCTCATCACCCCTGTGACGCAGTGGGTTGAGTGGTGGGGCATAAAATACAACTCACCAACTCGTCCACAACTCCCTCGCCTACACGATCCGGACGTGGTGCCATTCTTCAACGTGGGATGCTCGCTGGCTTGCGTGCCCCGGAATATCTCGCGTGGAACGACTCTGGAGGAGCTTCGAGGTCGGGATGGGGAAAATGTATAACGATATATAAACGGTGCTGGAAATTCTGTTCTAATATTTGCATGGATGCGTGGTGCATGGGAGGCAATTTTTCTTTATTTTTTTTTTTTTTGTTCTTCTTCCGATTCGACTTTAGTCCCAATCATCATCGTCGTCGTCGTCAAGCGTTTTTGACGTTTTTATGCTCTTATTGCTCATCAATCGCTCATCTTCCGCCTCTTCAGCCGCTCTCCTCCTCTTAAGAACCCTCATATCGGACTCCGGAACCGCGCCCGTCTCCACAAGAAGGTTGTCAATGTTGAGCATGTTCATCCTCACACCACCGACCGTGACCAAAGTGACTATTTGCTTGATAATGTCGCCGTTCTTGTAGACAAGTATCGTGGGGCAATTCTTCTCGGGATAGTTCTCAATCGCCCTATCAGCCCGCATCTCGCAAAACTTCACCTCTCCATACTCCTTCGCCGCCTGGCGCCACAGCTCGGAAAGAACCCTAGACTCCACGTTTGTGTTCGTAGAGGATGTAAGATTGAGAAACACGGGTCCTTTGTTCGAAGCCTCCGTTATTTCTCGTCCGTATTCCGGCTTGGAGATCGGGTAAACGGTTCCGTGCACGGATTTCTTGCTCAACGCGCTCAGCTCCTGCATGCGCTTCTGTCGATACAATTCTAGGAACGCCTCGTCCTCCTCGTCCTCGAGTTCATCGAGCTCGTCAAGTTCCTTGCCTTCTAATCTGTTCTCGTGTGCAAGGCGCCGGGCTTCCTCGATGGCCTCCTCGATCATGGGCGTGGGACTCGGTGGTTTCTCTGGTATGATGCCGTGCTGTCTTAGGATATCGTTCCTGTGATGGGGTCAGCGATGCAGTCAACCAGACGAAGTCGTCGATCTCTGACTTACCATTCTGTATCGGCATTGGGATCATCTATGGGGACAGCTATCCTCTGATCTGAAGGGGCAGCCATTTTTGCGGTATTTTGAATTCGACGGAAATACAGCTTAAAGGTGCGGTTACCACACAAGAAATAGAGGTCCCGGAAGAGATTTATATCCTTCGAAAAGCGGTTGCCTAGTTTTGCGCCGTTGATCTGGTTCTTGTCCTGCGATCGTCGAGGAAGCAGTGCCACCCCACCATACCCCGCCATCGCTCCTTGTCCCTGTACAATATTATGTAAGCCGCCAGCGTTAGTGTATAGAGGGAAATAACAAGCTGCCTTTTCAACAACACCCAGTAGCTCAGGTGGTTCAGGGGTAGAATATTTGCCTTCCATGAGGGGTAGCAAATGATCCGAGTTCGAGTCTCGGCCTGAGCATTCTTTTTGAGTTTTTTTCCCTTCTTCCCCCGCCTCTTCAAAAGAGTTCACGTCGTCCATTGTTTTTTGATCTCTCCCATTGAAAATGTTTTGCAATCTCTGAGTCTTCGGCTGGCTTTAGAATTCCCCTTGAAAGAGCCTCAGCGCTTCTTCCCCACCTCCATCCCTTCTTGATCTTCATTTGCTATTTTAGACCACTGGTGCCCCGCCATCATATTGCTATCCCAGACAATCGCCATACGACACAGAGAAGATTAATGAGGCTCATGAAGGGGTAATGGCAGGAGCTGAGGGCCGTGCTCTAGCAATTTTAAGATCAGAACTATCATGGGAGAGAAATCGATTCGGAGAACGAGGCCGTCGTCACTTCTTTCTCATAGCTCGTTCCACTTGGCACCACCTTCTATTCACCGGCTCAAAGGCAAAGCACTGATGTCCTACTTCCCAGGTTAGCCGTTGGATCTATCACGGAAGTGCCAAGAGATGACGTTTTCCATATACTAGACCGTACTAGAGTTTGGCATTTATACAGCCTGCGAAATTGGCGCTGCTTTGAAGACCTGTCGGTGATACTGAATAGACCCTTGGACATCGTGCCAATGTTAGAAAGTGGATAGCCCTTCACCATGAAGCTCCCTCCAGTGCATAATGCCTCGATATCTTAGGTTCTGGGAAATTTCTCACAAATACAGGTACCTTGAGAGGCTACGCACATCAATACATGAAGAGTGTATCCTCACTTTTTCCCCTTTCCAATTTAACACTGCAGACAAAATTTTAGTCGCTATACCGACATTCTCTCCGCTCGTAGTTCACTTGACGACTTGAATCAATCGGCCTCGCTTGCCGGCACCGCGCACCCCGCATCATCAGAGCGAATGCACATTGGACCTTCGGGAGAGGCTTGTGTGCCTGTGCATGAATCCGAGCTCTGTTACCAGGGTTTTGTACAAAGGTAAGGTACAAGTACTTCCAAGTCGTCGGTACCCGGTTTCTTGGATTGATGAACTCGGCAAGCGCTTTCGGGAACTAAACCTTAATTCTTTTATGGGGCAGAACCAAGGACCAAAGCCCTTGCGAATGCGACCCTCGCTTGTTTCGTGCACGGCTCAACTCGTCGCTGGCTGTTGACCAAGACAATGCAGCAGGGGGGGTTGCGGATCAGCCATAGGTGAGAGGTGGGTTTCCACCTCTTCCTCAACACCGCCGCTCCTTTGTAGTGACGTTGCAGCCTTCAATTAGGACATTTACATCCACGGTCTTGACGAAAGCCATGCAGGCGAAACTATTCACGGACGCCTGCTGCGTCGACCACCGGTAAGAAACGAAATCGCATTGTTAAAAAACTCGACTGCCTGCCCTACACAAAGGCTTCTTGCATGCCTCAACCAAGCATCGTCCAGCACTCCTACCGAGAGGCGGCGTTCATTAAAATCGGGGATGGAAAACAGACAGAACTCCCTAACTCGCGACCGGAGAAGTGCGATACAACATCTCTAATTCTCGAAGGTGCTTCACACTTTGATGTAGTCAACAATACGACTTATCATTTGATGCTCCACGGCCGATGAAGATGAAAACCCAGGCACGGCTCTATCTCTTACTAGCTCGTGCTAATTTAACAGGTACTTGAGGAGCTCCGAATAGGATCTCCTAAGTCCATTGCGCCTGGAGCCTCAGCCCAAGTTCGCCAACTCTACAAGGGTACATACCACGCAATCACACATCGTTTAAGCCATTCAGCTATCTCAAGTTCCGTGTTATTCACCCCATCCCTTGTTCCAGTTCTTTGTCCCACTGGAAACACCCATTCAGGCCGTGCCTATCATGCCAACCGGGAAGAGTCGTAACAAACCAGCTTAAAAAGAAAAACTAACACAAAGGTTTAAGCATCGAGGGTCACCTACGATGACTGCGACGAATCACCCTTGCCATTTGGCTCGGATCCAGAGAATAGCCGCTCAGGGATCGTGCCAGATGGATCGCCAGAGCTCATGAGGTAAGTACCCGTCAGTATGTTCCGTCAGGTTCGCTCGGGGTTTGCAGGGCCTCCTCGGAATACTCCATGTGAGGCACAGGGCTGTAGAACAAAACCCAGGACAGTACTGTCGACCAACTTTGCCAAGTATCCGAGTCCAAGCCGATAACTTTGCCAGTGTCCATGTTAAGGCGGACGGAGATGTTGGTTTGCGGGCGCATGTGCGGCGTCTCCTTGCTGTCTCGCGAGGGATAGAAAGTGGTGGGTCGGCCTACATCGGCTTGGAGGACGCGGATTTTATCAAATGTAAAGGTTACGACAGTTACCTAGGCACGCGATGGGAAGCAGGTGAGCATGGGCGCTTCAAGTTGCCACAGTAAGAGGGGAGGAAGAAACAATACCATGATTGGCTTATCGTACAGGTCCGCATCGCCGCGTTCCACCCGAGATTCTAGCTTACGGCACACCAGCCCAGATACGGCAGCTACCTCAACGCGTAGAAGCTCTCCCGTCGCGGGCGCCAACGTCACAACAGGCAACAGGCAACCTACTGAGTCACCGCTTTCTGAAAACTTGGCTGTCCAGATGGTGTGCCAGCCCTCCATCTCACCTTGTTCGAGAGCCGACTAGAAGTAGCCGGTGTCTGCTCGTCGGCTCCTGGCGGCATTTGTTTCGATGAACTGAGGCGGGTTATGGCCCGAGTCTTTCTCTCGCGTCTGCATGACTTCGAGCTTCTTAGTGATTTGGTAGGCGCCGTCGTCGAAAAAGCTTGACCAGGAGGCGGATTTTCTGGCAGCAGATAGTCGGTAACAAGCGGAGGACGGAGATCGAATGGATCATCATAGGGATCGAGGATGCCAATGTTATGATTCTCCTCAGCTCCAGGTTTCTTTCGTGCAACACCAGGATTCTAGTTGTGGTAGGTTCGAATATGATCCATAAGACTATTAACATCCTGAGGCAAGGGAAGATCGCTGTGGAGTTGGATAAAGTCTGAGTCTGAAGAAATAGTCATGTTAAAATCCTCGAGGAGAACCTCGGCATCGTAGGCGTTCATCTCATCGAGCTGGTAGGAGAAGAGGAACACCGGGTAAAAGTGTGATAGATCGGGACGAATTTTGCGGCCCCCACCACAACATAGGTAATGTGAACGTCTATCCGTTGGAGAAAAGCTCATGGCTGCTGCTGCTACCACCAATGGCATAAAGTCAATTCTGATAGGAGGAGGTGGAGATGAATAGAAAGCAGCAGATTTGGGGTATCGGGAGAGGAGAAAACACACGAGGATAAGGGACCATTTTACGGGAGTATCTCCTCGTGCTGGCAGCACAACCTGGAGCACTGAGTACTGAATACTGAGCACGGGGCACTGGCGTAAGATTTGGGGTAAGAACTAAGACCGCAAATCCTCCTGTGGGATTGGACTTTCCGAGTTGGTTGACTTTCAATATCATTCACTCCCTTTTGCCTTGTCTAGTGCCATCGACCCACCTAATGATTCATATGAGAGAACCCATGTTAATGAAAGGCCAGTTGACGACAGCGGCTCTCTCCTAGATCAGAAAGATGTGCTAAGGGGGTCCTATACCGCGACGGCACGAGTCCCGTGTAGATAATGTTCCATAATCGACAATGGAGCTGCCGAATGTCAAAGAAGGCTCAAGGAGGCCATGTTCGGTTGGAACCGGCCCATGAATTCCATCGTGCGTCGCCGCTTATATCGGAAAATGGATACCACGAGTCTTACTGAAATTCAAGCCTTTCAAGTGGGTGCAGGACCGCGGATAACTGTTGAAATTCGACTTACACAACTTACCCCTGGCATACCACACGGTTCTCTTATAGCGGCACCATGGTCTAAGTTTACGTTTACAGCCTCACTAGAAAGAGGTTTATATGCTCTATTTCAGTTCGTTAACCCTGTTTCGGAGACTCCGTCTTTTGTGGTCGCTCCTGTTTCTGGGCACCCCGATCATTATGTTTAGTGCTCCACACAGGGACGACAAAGATCATGGCTTGAATCTAGCCTCTTTCTGCTCGTTTAGTGAGGTGATATCTCGTCTGGAAAGTTTGAATTACCCTGCTGTTCTGAAAATAGCGAAACTTCCTGAAGGAAACAATAAAGGACGACGATTAGAAACCCGCTCCCCTACTTGTAAGAAAAGTGGGAATAGCTTCACCTGTAGTCCGTTAATAGGTGGTCAAACGGGAGGCCTAACGGATGTCTAAACGGAAGATCAATACGTCATGGGTTCCTGACCGATTTGAGCCTTCGTGCAAGCATTAAGTTAACAGAGCAACAAAATGTGACAACCTTTTAAACGGAACTCAAAACAGAGCATCGTTTCTGAATTGGGAATGAACTTCGAGGCAGCTTTTAACCAACCTGTCAATAGACTCGCACTTTTAACAAATACCTACCTGCACCCGAAATCTCGCCTCACCCTTCTTTGGAGAAGCAACATTATTTGGCGCATCTGTCATCTACTTTCCTCTTCTAGCTCTATCCCATCGCGATTGACCGACGGACTCACTCGGCATAAATCACGTGACTTGACAACCCAATTCCCGATTTCCCGCCAAGGCAATATTTGGCCCATAAACTTCCTCTGGCCCTAATTCAAAGAGCTTACTCATCAGCACACACCCAGAAATCTGAAGTGCCAGGAAATTCCGGCTTTGTCGACCACATCCACCTCGATCATCGCCAGACGCAAATTTCAACAGGAGGTTCCCATTCCACAAACGACAAAATGAGGACCTACGACGACACGTTCTCCGGACAGAGGATCTACCCTGGCAAGGTACGGACGCACTCGCGAATTTATTTTTCCCCTGTTTTCGGCAAGAAGGGGAGGAGAATGGTGCTTGGGAAGGATCCTGGGTGGTTTCCGAGGGGCATTGCGATGGCATTGCCGTGCAGGCCACTTCCTCGAAAGCCAAAACCTATTTTCTTTCCTGGCACAGGAAAGGAGGGCGGAGTTGGAACACACGGGACGTCTAGGGATATAGCGATACTGACTTTTGATGTTCTTCGGTGGATAGGGTAAGCTCTACGTCCGTGGCGACAGCAAGATCTTCCGATTCCAGAACGGCAAATCCGAATCTCTCTTCCTCCAACGAAAGAACCCCCGCCGCATCGCCTGGACGACCCTCTACCGCCGACAGCACAGGAAGGGTATCTCTGAGGTACGGCTTTCTACCCACTCTCTTTTTGCGCCTAGCCTCCCGAGGCCAGCTCGCATCGTGAAACCTTTTTCTTTTCCTTTCCTTTGCCTAGATAGGGAAAAGGAGGAGGGGAAAAAAGCTTTCGCTGCCCGCTGTACTTGCCATGAAGGAGAAAACCCCAGGGATTTTTGTTTTTATTAACCCCCCGTACAGGAAGTTGCCAAGAAGCGAACCCGCCGCGCCGTCAAGTCCCAGCGTGCCATCGTCGGTGCCTCCCTCGATGTCATCAAGGAGCGCCGAACCATGAGGCCCGAGGCCCGCGCCGCCGCCCGCGCCGAGGCCATCGCCGAGTCCAAGGAGAAGAAGCAGGCCGCCGCGAGCGCGAAAAAGGCCGAGAAGGCCAAGCTCGCCGCCCAGGCCGGCAAGGGCCAGACCGGCCGGATCCAGAGCAAGCAGGGTGCCAAGGGTGCGCAGGCTAAGCCTGCGGCTGCCAAGCGCTTCTAAGAGATAAAAAAAGAAATGAATAAAAACGAATACCTTTTTTAGTGGGGGACCGCTTGTTGGTGGGTTAAAGGCTCGGGAGTATAGCAAGGGTATGGCACGTTTTACCGAGGAGTTACAGTTGTCTTCTCTCTTTTTATTAAGGCAGGGTCTCTCGAAAAAAACATACTATCTTCACGGTTGACACGGTACTGCATGGACGCCCGAGGGGCGGTTCGGAGTGCATTGATAGATGATCACAATGCTATTTCTTTGCCTTGACCCCACGGACGTACTCTCCCCCAATTTCTTTTTTCTTCGGCGCATCGGGAAAACCAAAAACCAAAAGTGTGATCTTAAGGAACGCTCAGTGACGGATAGGAATTTATTTCATCTATTAGTTTCATTTTTTAACTCTGAGTGTTGATCTATTGATCTATCTCTGGACTGCAAAGCCAGTAACGGCTGCCCTTCTTCCCCAATTCGTCACTTATTCGTCGTCCAATACGGACATCATGTCACAACGCCTGGTTGCGTTTTAATCCATTTTTTACCACTTAGAGCCTGGCGAGGACGGCCTCGGCACCAGTGAGGGCAATACCGGGATCAACCTCCTTAGCAGCATAAATAACCTTGCCATGGTCAACAACAATGGCATATCGGTTAGCCCTCTCAGGACCGGCCCAGCCAATCTGAGAGGAGAAGGCAACGTTGGGGTCGCTCATGAAGAGCTGATTCTCAGGTGATTAGTAAATTGTCCTTCTGCCGTGGCCTTATATAGCTCCGCTCACCGACATTTGGGAGCTTTCGGAGGCGGAGAGGTTGAGAGGATTACTTACGATGGAGTCATCCTTGACGCCGTTGACCTTGCCCCAGCCGGACATCACGAATGCGTCGTTGTGGGCAATGAAGATGACATGGTCAACACCCTTAGCCTTGAGCTTGTCGATGTTGGCAATGTAGGAGGGGAGATGGGCGCTGGAGCAAGTAGGGGTGAAGGCGCCGGGAATGGCGACGATGACGACCTTCTTGTCGGCAAGGTCTATGTGAGCACGGTGTTAGCTAATGCTGGTATTGGGGAGCATTTTCTGAGACGAAATATCTAGACGGCGTGGAACACCTACTCTTGGAGACATCATAGTTTTGGGGACGGCCGCAGACGGTCACATCGCTAATCTCGGGGGTGTAGGGGATATAGGAGAAGGTAACACCCTCGGGGAAAGCGTCTCCAGCCTTGAGTTCGGGCATGTTTGCGAAATGAATTGGATTGATGGAATTGGATTGGTATCAGTGTAGTACCTTAGAAAATGTGAGCGTTCTGGAGATCGGGGAGTTTTTTGTTGGAATTAGTTACGAAGTCCGGATATAAGGAGAGGAATGAAAGCGACAATGGAGACTGATCAATGATGTTATATTCTCCTTATCTATTTTTATAGCTCTAATCGCCTTACGAATCACGCGGCAGGAACCGGACGTGTCAAAGTTCCACGGACGACCTGAGGCGGAACAAGCTATCCCGGCAGGCGCGACGGAAGAAAAGGGAAGCTTCGATTGCTGAATCCCCGAAGGCCTTCAGGGTCCTGCTGCTTGGTGGGGGGTCGTTGATGTTGGGGGCCGATGCCGGACCTAGCTTGGCGGGCGGAGACGTCCGGGTCCAGGCTCGATCTTGATGCGAGTCTATCCATTCACAAAGGTACAGACCAACAGAGCCTGGACGCTTGAAAGCTTCTTAGGTATTCGGGTTTCTCGAGTGAACTTCTGTGCTATGTCATAGATGGAAGGAGCAATGGGAACAATTAGTAATGGAAAGCTTCGCCTGCAGCTCCCGATGTTCGGCGGGTCGTCATTGCATCCAAGGTCTGACGCCATGTGCAGTAGACGTGGGTCTAAGTGGCTACAAAGTCTACAGCTGGGCAATTGCTTTTTGAGAACTTGAATGAGGGGTGAAATCGTGATTAGTGTGGTTAGTTGCAGCAACAACTTCAATCTAGGGAAAGTGGTCTCATTGCAAGCGGGGACTTTCCGAGAAGCCGAGTCATCTAGACCTCGATCTCCGTTCTCCTCTGATCAAGTATTTGGAATATTGGCAACATTTGGAATTGGAATCGGTCCGCGGACCTAAAATTCTTGACTCATAAGAACTTGGAAGGCACTTCATTATGGAGAGCGCCCTACGTATGACATCGAGAAAAAGGATAAAAAAAGAGCAATTTTCAAAAAGTCACCCCACACACAACTGAGAACGTTTGTAAGCAATTTGCTCCCGGATTTTTTATCAACTTGAGTTTAGATTAAAGGCTACAGAGTGAGCATGTTTTATAAGAACTAGATCCGTGATATGGAGACCTGGGAAGCCCGGATGAAACCGAACTCCTTAAGCCACTCTTTCCCCAGAAACGAATCCAGCATTAGCGTTCACAAGAATAGTAAACTCTTGTACATCTCCACCGAATCCGGCCGATAATGTCTAACCAAGAACAGCCCCGGCCGCCCTTTCCTCCGTTCTCCGAGGAGTCGGCCGGGAAGAAGGTCAAGGCTGCCCAGGATGCCTGGAACACCAAGTATGGGTCCCACTTACACGAAGTATGACGTGGATGCGTGGATGTAAATTGATGCCTTAGACAGGAATCCGGAAGCAGTCAAGCTCGCCTACACGACGGACTCCATTTGGAGGAACCGCGACCAATTCATCAAGGGCCGTGATGAGATTGTAGCTTTCCTGAGTAAGAAGTGGGAAAAGGAGAACGGCTATCGACTTAGGAAGGAGCTCTTCGCATTCACTGACAATAAGGCAAGGCCTCCTTGACTCAGCCCCCAAGCTCACTACCATTCTCGCCACATCCTCCAACTGTCCGCACCTAAATCTTACGTATGTTCTGACATCAATTTTTTTTCTCCCGCTAGATTGCGGTTCAATTCTGGTACGAGTGGCATGACGAGTCCGGGCAGTGGTGGCGCACTTATGGCCTCGAGGACTGGACATTCGCAGATAACGGATTGATGAGGAAGAGGCAGATGAGCGGCAACGATGTCAAGATCTCAGACGAGGAGAGATGGTTCAAGGATGGTGTAGATGTCAACTCGGTCGACATCTCCGAGAAGCACTGGTAAGTGGGTCTTGTATCAGTCTTGATATCATCCACCACCTTCACTGGTGTCGGCCAGTATGTGTCCAGAAGGGATGAACAGTGGCTACCTTGGGGACGGGCTTCTATTCTCTCATATGTACTATAGGATCAAGAGGTACAAACGGGAGGTTGTATGGTTACGAAAAAAATCATATCCAATGCTACCTAAAAAACTCCCATCACGCCAGATATACAGTCAAGCTGGCCAATTGCAATGGCTTTTACATCCTGAAGACACCAAACTTGGTCGCACCGGCCTTGGCCTCGTTCTTGCCTCCAAGGGCAGCCTGGAGACCCAGTCCCAGATACTTCCGAGTGTGCTCGGGAGGGATGACACCATCGTCCCATAACCTCGCCGAAGAGTACACAGAGTCACTCTGCTTTTCTATCGTGTCCCTCAACTCGGGGTTCTTCTTTCCGACCGTCTCCATGACGCTGGACAGCTGCTCGCTTCCCATAACACCAATCTTGGCATTGGGCCACATCCAGAGGAACCTCGGGCTATACGCCCTTCCACACATACCGTAGTTTCCGGCGCCGTACGAGCCACCGACGACGACGGTGAATTTGGGTACGTCGGCGCACGCGACCGCCGTCACGAGCTTGGCGCCGTGCTTGGCGATACCCTCACGCTCGGCCTGCGCACCAACCATGAAGCCGGAGATGTTCTGGAGGAAGATGAGAGGGATGCCTCGCTGGGCGCAGAGCTCGATGAAGTGAGCACCCTTGACCGAAGACGACGCGAAGAGGATACCGTCGTTGGCGACGATACCGACCTTGTGGCCGTAAATGCTGGCGAAGCCCGTCACGAGAGTGGAACCGAAGTCACGCTTGAACTCAGAGAACTTGGAGCCGTCGACGATGCGAGCAATCACTTCGCGGATGGGCAAGGGCTTCCGGAGGTTCGTTGTCGCAATTCCGAGAAGCTCTTCAGCGGGGTACAGGGGCTCCTCGAAAGTTTGCGTTTGTGCCGACTCCTTCTTGGGCCAGTTCAAGTTGCTCACACAACGTCTAGCTAGGGTAATGGCATGGGCATCGTCAACGGCAAGGTAATCAGTGACACCGGAGACGGAGGAGTGCATTTCACCTCCTCCGAGCTCTTCGGGGCTGACAACCTCGCCGGTAGCAGCCTTGACGAGCGGGGGACCAGCGAGGAAAATGTGACCTTGGTTCTGGACAATGATGCTCTCGTCGCTCATGGCGGGCACGTAGGCGCCACCAGCCGTGCATGGACCCATGACGACGGAGATCTGAGGAATACCCTGCGAACTCATCCTCGCCTGGTTGTAGAATATCCGGCCGAAATGCTCTCGGTCAGGGAAGACCTCGGCCTGGTGGGGAAGGTTGGCACCGCCGCTGTCAACCATGTAGATGCATCTATGATACCAAACGTTAGCGATTGTGCGCGTCTCAGAAATCTTTACGGACCAAGACTCACGGAAGATTGTTCTCCTGCGCAATGGCCTGCGCCCTCAAATGCTTCTTCACAGTAATGGGATAATATGTTCCACCCTTCACCGTGCTGTCATTCGCAACAATCACGCAGTGAACGCCCTCCACGACACCAACACCAGTGACGATACCGCCGGCGGGCACCTCCGCCTCGGGATACAGCTCATGTCCGGCGAGCGGAGATAGCTCCAGGAACGTGGTACCGGGGTCGATCAGCGCGGCGACACGATCGCGGGGCAGCATCTTCTTCCGCGCAAGGTGCTTCTCCCTCGCCTTCGCCGACCCGCCGAGCTGGGCCTTCTTGGTGAGCTCGCGCATGCGGGTCACAACCTCGCTCATCTGCCTCTCATTTTCCTTGAATTCCTCCGAAGACGTGTCGATGCTGCTCTGTATTAACGATATGGCGCTCGCTTGGCCGGGCGGCGTGAAGGTGGCTATGCTTCGGGTTAGCCTTGCGGGGCGGCCGAGGTTAGTCAATTGTCGCCTAAGGAGCAGCAGCTCCTTTGGCGATCGAGACAAGGACATTTTCGGAAGAACTGGGAGGAGAGAGATGGCAGTTGGGAGGAGGATGGAGGAATGATCGAGAATTGCACGGCTTCAATTGGGAATCAATTGCGAAGGGGAAGGGGGACGAGACGAAGGAAATAAAATCGCGTCGTGGGGTCCCCAATTGGTGTGGGAAGCCGTGAGCCGTGATCGAGAGCCGGTGACGTCCTTGATCGCTTCGGCATTGGCTGAATAACCGCAGACAGCCGCATTAAGCCGACCTGATCCGTAAGTGGGCGAGCCACATCGCTTTGCCAGGGACAGCCTCGGCACCGTAGATCTTCACTTCCAGAATACCGACGGAAGCCCAGCGTTCAATTATTATTTTTCTGCGATTGAGTTTCCCATCCAGCAGCATCCTTCCCTTTCCTTCCATGATCCAAAATTCTGCAGTAATTGGAAATTCGAGAGAAAAGATCACATCCTACCCCATGGCTTCTTCAGTAACACTCCGGTCCCTCGCAAGGCGGCCTGCCTGCCTCCAATCGGTCGTCCGATCGTCCCTCCTCCCCACCTGCCAAACCCGCTTCCACTCCAACAAGCACCCCAAGAACTTCGAAGCGCCCTCGGCGGCCGATCTATCTGAGCTACGCGATCGTGTTCAAGACTTTACGCGCCGCGAGATCCCCGAGGAGGTCGCCGCCCGCACGGATAAGACCAATGCGTTCCCCCCGGAGATGTGGAAGAAGCTTGGAGATGCTGGTCTCCTCGGTATTACTGCAGATGAGGATGTTGGTGGTCTGGGATTGGGATATCAGGCGCACATTATCGTCATGGAGGAGCTCTCTCGTGCCTCCGGCTCCATTGCCCTCAGCTACGCCGCTCACTCTCAGCTCTGCGTGAACCAGCTGCAACTCAATGGCTCGCCCGAGCAAAAGGCGAAATACCTCCCCGACTTGATCGCGGGTACGAAGGTCGGTGCGCTTGCTATGTCCGAGTCGGGATCCGGCAGCGACGTCGTCAGCATGCGCACCTCCGGGAAGGAGGTTGACGGTGGCTACCTTATCAACGGCTCCAAGATGTGGATCACCAACGGACCCGATGCCGACATCATCGTCGTCTACGCCAAGACCGAGCCTGACAAGGGCTCCAAGGGCATCACGGCCTTTATTGTCGAGACCGACCAGAAGGGCTTCAGCTGCGCGCGGAAGCTCGACAAGATGGGCATGAGGGGCAGCAACACGGGAGAGCTCAACTTTGACGACGTCTTCGTGCCCAAGGAGAACGTGTTGGGCAAGGTGAACGGAGGAGTCCGCGTCCTCATGGAGGGACTCGATCTCGAGCGGCTGGTCCTCAGCGCTGGCCCCCTCGGTTTGATGCAGGCCAGCTTGGACGTGGCGCTGCCTTTCGCCCACACGCGAAAGCAGTTCGGCCAGCCCATCGCCCACAACCAGTTCCTGCAAGGAAAGCTGGCGGACATGTACACCAAGCTTCAGGCGTCCAGGGCGTACACGTACGCCACGGCGAAGGCCGTCGATGAGGAGGGTCTTATTAAGACCCAGGATTGTGCTGGTGCGATATTATACGCTGCCGAGAGGGCGACGGAGTGTGCTCTCGACTGCGTACAGGTGCTTGGTGGCATGGGTTACACCGAGGAGATGCCGGCCTCTAGGATTCTCAGGGAGTAAGTTCTTGCCCCCAACAAGCTCATCTTGTCAACGAGCTTCTTTTTTCTTTCTTTTTTTGTATCATGTACTAACCCACTTTTCCTCCCACCGCAGCGCGAAACTTTATGAGATTGGAGCTGGAACTTCCGAAATCAGGAGGATGGTTATCGGCAGGGCGTTTAACAAGGAGTACGCCCATTTTGCTCAATGAACATAAGTGTTGATCTGTCAAAACAAATCGCCTTCTAGGATGTAGTTAAATTATTGTATATGACTTCACTATCCTTGACGGGGTTAAATATGCGCGCGCGTAGGCTGTATGTGTAGACATGTGTACGAGAGCAGGTGTTTGCCCCTTCCTGTAGGTTTCGTACCGAATGCTTCTCGGCCCGGAGAACATTTGATCCAGTATTTCAGGGATTGTGTGGAAGTGAGGCACACCTACAAGGCACACCTACTTGTCCAAGGAACTCAGCAAATCCTGGACGACCCATTCGGGAACCAAGGACGAAACGACTCGACTTCTCATCCATCGCCTTCACATAAATCTTCCTTCTGCTTGACTTTAAGGCACTAAATATCTATATATATATATATACACGCTAGAAACCCCCAGATCCCCAGATCCGCTTCCAAGTTTCTTCTTCCCCACCCCCCTGCCAGAACCCGGAACCCCCGAAGACAAGAAATCCCTCGTCGAAGACCCAGCGATCAGATACCCAATGACGCCAGCCAAGCCCTTAGCCCGATGTGGAAGGCGGGAACTTGATCTGGATGATACCAGATTCGCGAATGGTATCTCGCTGAGCTGCTGGAAGGGGAAACCGAAAGGCAGACTGGAATGTCGAGTGCACTTTGTGCTGTCCAGATCCACCTTGCATAAAGGGGGGTGCTGGGAAACAGCGTGCTTCGTCTGGAAGGTCGTATTTTTCGCACACGCACATACTTGCGTATGATTCAGTTAGCTTCCTTCTCTTCGCCACAATCGTCCCAAAGTATCGATAGAATTTGGAATCCTTGATGTTCGTCGCTTGGAAAATGTGCCGGCAAGCTTAAGTCGCAGAGAGAGACTCGATAATAACCCACCGGGGATTCCTTGCCCGCTCTCCCGCCATAATTCACAGTCCACTAGGCTGATGATGGATGTTCCCCGGTCCAATCTGGGGACGCCCACTTTGGGAAACTGGTGGGATATCTTCAACCTTGGAGATCCGTATTATAGCGCGCAGCAGTCGGACGGCATTCCGAATACGGCATCCTCCCCAAGGGGGCCAATTCTGGTACAGGGAAGATCGTCTCTGCAAACGCTTCCCAACCCCGCCGAATAGAGTGATTCCCTCCGTGAACTTGAGATCCCTTCGCCGTGCTGTGCAGGTCACTGAATCGATATTCGACCCTCTTGAGTGTCTGGCAATGAAACCAGTGCTATTTGCTGTCGAAATCGATAACTAGCATGCTGCCGGAGGTTGTGAGGACGCGCATTGGCCTTCTCGATGTCGTCGGACATGATGCCAATATCCTCGACCTAAGGCAAACACCATTGCAACCAAACCAAACCTAAAGTGAAGAGTGAAAATCAAATGCGGCTGAGGCGAGTTTTATGGTAAGTGTGGCACACTCTCATCAGAGTGGACGAACAGTCCAACGGGACCGACCCCGCTCCCGACGTCGACATCCGAAAACAGTACGCCGTGTCGACAGGCAAATGGGTCTATTCTTCCAAAAAGAGTCGCGCCATTAACCCTCCCCCCGAACCATGTATATTCCCGATGGTATTCATCACTAATGTCGGAGGAAAGCGGTCGCGACCATCAGTCCACTTCACGCAATCCATGTCTCGCTATCACACTCGCTTGCCCAAAAACACACAATCCCGGGGTTCATTGAAACTATCGACCATTTGCTCAACAGCGCGTGGGGTTTGGGAGGGGGAATCTCAGCCCTCATGTCCCCGAACCCCCACGCACGTCAGAGCCTCCGCGTCGTCCGATGTAACGACCGGGGGCGGGGGGGAGGGGGGGCAGGAGTCAAGGTGCGACAAAAGCATCGAAGCGAAGAAACTGCTATGATCCGTATGAAGTACAAACAAGTATCGCATAACCGTCACTCTTTTCAGCCTCCAAAAGAACTTACAATTACCGCGAGGGGGGAACGGAACGGACGGAGGAGAACAGGAGTCAAAAACCACCAAGTTTCAGATTGCGCGTCTATGGACGAGCTACCATGTATTCTTTTTAATTTTAGTACGCCATAGAGACTACCCGTGACCGAACCCCGCTAGATATGCTTAGAGAAGATTTCTCAAAGTGTTGAACTAGAATGGTCAGATTGGCGAGGGATAGCAAAAAACACGCAAATTCTAATCACCTTTGAATCAAACAGAACCTGTAAACCCCTCGCTTGCCTTGCTAATAACTAATAACCCCCTGATAACACGCCATTCAGCTGAAAGAGAACAGAAAAGATGCAAAAAGAAGAGAAAGAAAAAGCATCAGAACTAAAACGTGTTATTCGGCCAATATAAGTGATATCTGAAAGACACAACAAGAAAATAAACGCCTTCCAACTCCTGTTCAACGATGCTAAATAGGTAGATGCGAAGCAGGGGCTATTCGTAGGCCATGGCTAGAGTCAAGAACGGAGATCCAGTCGGTTGTCCCCGAGATTAAATATTACACGACATTAATGCTTCGACCGGGGCTTGTCACCAAGCCTGCCCTTTTCTCTTTCGAGAAGAAGAGTGAGTTGACTCTTTGTCCGTGCTAGCGGAACTTCTGGCGTCGCGCTTGGTGGGGTAGGCATCAGTCGAGTTTCGAGCAGAGACGTCGCAGACGGTCCTCGGGGTAGGCGATAGCTGGGCGCCTCCGGGCTTTCCGCTGTCGATGCTCCAGGCCAAGGAATTTCGTTTCTGTTGATATCAATAATAGTTCCAAGTGCCGCAACCGTCGTTGTCGATGCTGTCGGTTCGGCGGCTAGGGCGCGCCGCAATGATTTACTCGAGCTCATGCTGGTGCCCTTCAGCTCAATATGAGACTGCGACCTGGGAAGAGTCGTCCGTCCTTGAGGTGTCCTCCTGAACTCCGTGCTCTGTGTCCGATCGAGCTTGACGGGACTGGCGTCATGGCTTAGGTTAGCCTTGCCTTTTTCGGGTACGATTTCCACCGGCTTCTTTTCCCGGGAGTTGTCGGGCGCGGGTGAGGTGGCTATAGGATCCGCCGCTCGATGATGCGTAGGTATCCTTTCCTGGGCAGGCTGCTTAGGCGCAGGGCGCTTTCCGGCTGCTTTGGCACTCAAACCTCGTCGTGGCGAGGTAGTAGACCCTGTGCTGCTAGGCGAGCTCTGATCACCAGACTGTTCGGCAATAGGGGCAACAGCGTGCTGAGCTCCCTGGTGCCTTGAGGTGGCGGGTACATCTTCCTTAGATGCACTATCCGAAGCTGTCGATGACTGGGAACTAATCCGTCGGGGCAAAGCCGGTCGTCGTTTTGTCCCGATCGATGCGTGGAACCGTTTAGTATGTGCTGAAGTCTTTCGCTTCTCGGATTTAGCTGGAGAAGATGATTTCCGTGTATCCGTTCCTGCAGTTGATGCGCTTCCTGAAGATGCGTCCCCGTCATCCTTGCTGTCGTCGACATCGGGGACTACAAAGCGTGCTGTCGGCCGTGGTCCTGATTTCGAGTCGCCTCGAGACTTCTTCAGAATTGGGTGAGGTGGTGGTGCTTGAGTGGGTTTGGAGGATGATGAGCCTGCCACTGGAGCTGAGGTCTCCTCAGCACTAGGCTTCGCCGGCTTCAATGGCGTCGTGTCCGCGCCTTGTTGAGGCTTTGGAGCATCTGCCGTCTTTGAGGCTTCCTCGGCACTCGCTTTCTCGGCTTGGCGTCTCAACTCCCAGGGCGGTGGCCGGTCGACAAACTTGAAAGAAAGGTTAGTAATACGGTTTCTCAGCCAAGGGGGATGAATGTTCGATGCAAAAGAGTGAGAATTACCACGGGGGGCTCCCATCTGTTCGGAGGTCCTGGTATAGGTGCAATGGTCGGGCCAGTCGAGATCTCTTCGAACAGCTTTGCGAGAACTGTTCCACTCAAGTATTTCCGATCACTTCCCCAGACATGCCACCAGAAATTCTCCAAACGATTCGCAGTAGGGTCGATTAGTCGACGAAACGTTGTAGTATACACTAAAGAGCAGAAGAGAGGGAAATCAGATACCCGCGAACTATTGAGACGCAAGCCGTGGACCTACAGGCCGGGCCATGATGATCATGGCCAAGCTGTGAAACAGAGGAGGAGCGAGGAGCCAGCAGACTTACCCTTCCAGTATTCCTTTATTTTCTCGGGAGGGACCGTAGGATAACTTGCAACTTCCTTGTAGATGTCCTGGGAGTTTACCACAAACCCCTTGGGCAGAATCATATGCGAGGGATCCATCCCTCCACGCGGACTGGCTCAACAACACCAGCGGAACAGCCTCGAAGCCGAGAAGGGGCGGTGAGCACAGGTTCGCCGGCGCCAGAAGATGGTCCTCGCTAGTCAAGGGTTATGTGATTGGTAGAGCTTCTGAAATGCCCTACATGTACCACTAGAGTGAAGGTTGGGCATTCATGATCGCTTGAAATGCTTAAAGAGACCTAGTCCGGATCTAGGGAGTGTTCCCAGCAGGAAAGACGCAGAGGGCCGTGCTGAAGAATAGGTGAAATAGTCACCCAGGTTTTAATTCCAAAGAAAAAATAATCGAGTTGGCCAGAAGGAAGGAAGATGGGAGAAAGGATGATGAGCGCAAACTGGATGATGTTATCGGGGGCGCACAGCAGAGTTCAGGAATAGAGCCAGGATCGTGCTCGCAGCCACAGTGGTTCACAAGATCCAAATGTGATGGATCGATTGGAGTGATAGAACTCGCCGTGTGAAGCGCTTGTGCTGGTTGGGCCGGTGAAGGAGCCACCGGCTGAGAAGGGTCAAATACGTCAAGCTCGGAAGATATAGATAGACCGATATAGTCGAATGCCGTAACGGAATGTCCAGGCACACAAGGAAGCCCACGCTATGCAGGAGGAATGGGTCAGAACATGGAGAGGGGGTGGGCGGCCTTCTCGAAGTTTGCGCGAAGAAGACGGGCGTTGGAGGCCGATACTATTTTGATACGAAGCCGAACAATAGAAGTGGGTCAAAAATGTGGGCAAGAATTGCGAATTACCAATGATTGGAAACTCGAACTCGCTACAGTGGCTCCAATCAATGGTATAGAGGGTCTATGTGGTGGTTCCTGAGAAGTCGGGAAGGGTGGATGGCGAGCGGTGTGGGTGTTAGATGCGGCAGCTCATCTCATTTTGAGGATGTGTGAAAGAAGGCCGCGACAAGAGGGTTAAGGTCGAGTCGGGCTGAGAGATAGGTTTTGTGCGAAATTAGGTGGAGGGGTAACAACGGTAAGACATAGTTGTACTACAATTGTAGTTAGATCGAAGTGCGAAGAAGAGAGCAGGCGGCGACAACGGAGGAGACTTGTCGGGGAAAGTATTGAGCTAAGGGTTGCCGGCGGTACGTCCGCTCTAAACCGCTAACCAAAGAGAGGAACTGAGGAGAATCAATGTCCGAAGTGAAGGAACGAAGTGCGAAGTGCGAAGTAGTGTACACTATGTAGTGTGTAGATGTAGTGTACTTGTAGGGCGTAGTAGTGTAGTAGTGTAGGCTGGGGCATGGGATTATTGGCGTCAAGTGGGACTCGTGGGTCGGATAAGGCATTGGGACGAGGGAACAGTTCCAGAGGAGGGAAGCAACAGACTCGTTGACACTTTGCAAGCCGGGGTCGGTTGGGGGTTTCCAAGACAAGTACGAAGTAAATTGATGGGAGTGGTCGAGCGGTCGGCATGGGCTCAGTCTAAGCTCGATTTGATTGTTACCTTAACGTGTACGAAGCAAAGTCCGAGCCTGGCTGAGCTTGGGCGTTTCCGTTGCATAATTTCAAAAGGCGGTCCCAGGGGCCTGGGCCAGCAGGGGAGTGTGGGGATGAGGAGTGCCTGGTCCAGACAACCTGGTAGGTCAGCGCTTGACACTATCAATGTGGGCTGACAACTGGACGGAGCAATTCCAACAGGTCGTCGACGTGAATCGGTCAAGTCAAGATCGCAGTGTCTCACTCAGTCAGCGACTCAGTGGTGGGCTACACCAGGCTGCCAGCGGTACGTACTTGTACTACGCAGTTGACTTCCAACGCTACACGAGGTGTTGCTGATTCGATTCATGAACCCAATGCAGCTTCCAACGTTCCTATCTCAGTCTCTGGAGTACGAAGCAAGAGCATGCGCTGCCAGTGTGGTACGCGGATACTTACTTATTCGTCATGTCCAAGTTGACAGAACAAATGGAGCTCGACTAACCCGCATTCGTATGGAGTTTATTGGGCTGTTGCTATTACCTCAGGCTCCAGCAAAGACCGCTCCCGGTCTAGCTTCTTTGATCGATTAATTAGCCGTCTGGCCAGAAGCAACATGAAGCTAGCATGTTCTTTCCCGATCCTCCGCCCACTGACAAAACATCAATCAGCTCGCGCATGTGAACGTCCCGCATGGGGGGGAAGAATCAAGTACTTCGTACATCGTAGTCCAGTTGACCACGACTTCCAACTCGTCGGGGAAGAGCGTGGCTACAACGAAGGCATGTGCTTTTGTTCTGCCTCAGAGATGGAAGCAAGGGCGAGTGTTTCCACATCGTCCTTTCTCAAGAGAATGTGAGATGGCGCCCGAGCACCTGTTGCAGCTTCAAGTTGCTATTAGTTACCTGGGTGTAGTGGAATCCACATTTCGGCTGGAGAGGTCAGTTGATCCCGGTCCCTGATGGCCTCGGACTTTACAAAAAAGGAACAAGGAAGCACGAAGTATAGGGCAGCCGTCTCTAACTTCCAGACCAGGTGAGACGCGACATTGATCAATGTACCACGCAGGTTGCAACTGAGATCAATCGAACCGTCAAAGTGCACTTCTCGTGTTGTTTGCGGAAGCTGCGTACGGATCATCGATGACTTCAATGGTTAACTGTAGGGCTAATAATTGTACTCTTGTACACAGCACAGGTACTTCCTACTTCGTACAGTGGTGTACATAAAATTGTAGTGGAAGCTGCCAAGCATTTCTATCAAGCAACAAGCTTCAACGCCATCTATTTTAGCGCTACATCCCCTGAATTCTTCCAGAACACCTCAACCTTTTCACTCGGCAACTTTATAACTCCGATGAAGACAGCGCAGAGTGCAATGTGCATACTAGACCCCAGGTGGACTTCTGCCATCTCTTGGGGTTCGCATTAATAGTAATAGATTGACGCCAACTCAGGCGGATGGCAGTCTCACTTCGCAATGAAATCGTGCTAGAACTGTCTACCACCATGCTAATCAATTTAATGTTTGCCAAGAGCTCCCCCCTACACAGGTACGAATATCAGGCTTATTGTTCATGATCGGAAACAGCAATGGTCCCGTCCCTGGACTGAAGTGAAATGCCGGGAGGGCCGAGTTACTTCGTGGCCACTTGATCAATGAGATCTCGTGGATTAACCCCTATCAATGGGGGAGATCAGCACAAGAGGGCTAATACCTCAGGCCTCCCAGGTCTTTCAAATGAGCCAGTGCTCCTCGTCACCGCTTATTCCTCTCTGCAACGGCCAAGCATTCGACTAACCTTCTGCATGCCCTACAGACGACTGTCCTCGGGGCTACGAAGTACGCCTTCGCTAGGCGATTCGGTTTACGCCCAGCGCGTGCAGCATACATACTTGAGGACACCAGGATCACAGAATCTGATGCCGTTGCTTCCGGACACCAGCCGAAATTTCTACCCGACAGCCAGATTTCTCCCCAACGTATTACGGGAAACATGACGCGTGGTGACCGACTAGGGCTCTCTTTCAAGACCCCAATCTCTTCGGATTCGGTGTTAGTTAACCGACCGAGGATCGACAACCTTGTTAGTTTCTAGGTACTTCGCAATGAACAAGCACAAAAGTGACCAGCTAGGGTCGCCCATTCTGTTTGTGGCCAGGTGACTTCATCGGTGCCAGAACTGACAGGATGCCTAGGGTTCTCCCCCTGTCACTAAGCCAAATGTGCTTCGATTTTTCAAATCACTTGTGATTTGCTTCTCCCGCCAAGGGACTTGAGGAAATAAGACTGGGGGATGATCGTCCACCGGATTTACGAAGGAAAGGGGCTCGCGAAGAGGCAAGGAGCTTCTCATGATTGCTTCGTACACTGGCACGGTGACACCGCGCACTCTCAGCAAGAAAACGCTTCCCCTGGACGAAGTAATAAAGGCCATACTGATGCAGCTCTGCAGGTCCCGTTGGCGGGAGTGGTGATCTGCCCTTAAGGACGACCAATTAAAATGCTCGAGACTGTTACCAAGATCCCATTGCCTCGAACATTCCCCAGCGAACCAATCCGACGTTGTCTCAGCAGATCAATTCCAGTCATTGAACATGTCTTCTTCTCTGCAGAACATTTGCGGCACATCCGGGTTATTTCGAAGGATGAGTACGAACCAGCCATCCTTCCAGCCCACAACCAGACACCAATCCGATTCCATCCAATTATTACAAGTTGACAAAGGTATTCTCACAATCATACACAATAAGCCGAGCTCCCAATGCCTCCTTCCAAGTCTGGAAGTCTAGCTCACACTTGTCAAGCTGGAAACGCCAAGCGCCGAGGCGAGGCAGGAATTGATCTGTTGCTTCGTAAATCGTTCCAAACATTGCCATCTTCGGGATTCCAGAGACCAGGGAATGACCCCAGATCGGGGACACATATTTGCCATGTGGCCAAGAGTCTAGGTGAGACAACAGACCAGGCAGATCGGGAGTCAATTACCTCATCCTAGTAGTACTCTTCCAAATGGCCAGGATTGGTATACGGATACTCCGTACGATTGACGAACATCTTAAGGTGGTACGGAGAGTTGCAAAGTAGGACATGTACCTCGTCTCACTAGCCAGTCCGCTCATGGCTTTCGGGTCTTCTGATCTTCTCTGCGGGCGGGGGTGTTGAGTCGTGTGACCATGACGGTGAGCTCTGGCACGGAAACCTGCTCCGTACGGACCGGAAGCTTGACGGGTATCTGTTCGTCGTACGGAGTACACGTCGGACAAATCGCAGGGCTGTGCTTCGCAGATTACATGATAGAAAGGTCAACCACCTATGAAACAGTGGTTTACGGTCGGCATTGATGTCAGATGTCACGAGGCGCTACAACAGAGAGGAGTACGAAGTACTTTGTAAACTTAGATTACGAACGAGTCCCTTTCAAATCCTCAAGGATCCGACGACTGATGATTGCGAGTTCCTATTCCCGGCATTAGGCGAAGCTCTCTCTGGCGGACTAATGGGCCGGAAGCATTCCCCGCAGCACCCCATGGTGGGCGTTCCAGAAGAATTCTCTTTTCAGTTAAGATCCATTCATTGCGAGCGCCTGTGGACGGGCTTGGCTAGGCCGTGCCTTTCCCATGGACAAGCCTCGGCCCTGACCTTGCCCTCCTCGCGCTATTTCATTATTACTCTTCTGCAAAAAGCGGTGTTGAGCTGGCATCTTGTCCCGCAGATGTTGCTGCACTCCTGAGCCCTTTAATTTTCCCCTGTCCTTTTTCTCTCACGAGAGGGGAATCTCACGGATCTGAGAGGTTTTGACTCCTCTTAGCCCCTCCTTCCTGTTCCGAACAGGAAGAGCTTGATTCAGCGAAACAGGGGTTGGCGAACCCACGAGGAAGATCCCTGTACTTGAGCTGTCTGTTTTTTCACACCGACCCCAGAGTCTCGGGTTCCAGAGAGGGTAGCTTCCCATGTCTAGCGTCAGTCACCTCACACGCACGACGTTGCTAGGGTCTGGGGTTTCGAAGACCTTCCCTCTTGAGTCTTTCTCACCGACTTTACCGCTGATGATCTCGGCTCTTAGAAATTGTGGCCAACCGAAACAAAACCGCGCAAAACCTCCTTTGCGTTTTTTATTGCCCTTCTTTTCTTTTTTTCCCTTTTTTTTTTTTTTTTTTTCCTTGGTATGTTTACGTGGCACAAGCTACATTTCCAGAAGCAAGCGGCAGGGCCCTACTACTTCGTACTTCTTCTCCTTTTCATGCGGGCCTCCACCCGGAGTGGCTCTTGGCTCCGGGCCTATCAGATTGGCTCGTGGAGGCGATTGCGGCTTCTTTTGGCCAGAACTGCCTTTTGGGGCAACTCATGTTGACTTTTCGTTCTGTACTTTTCCCGCCTATCTTTTCACCTCTTCTCTTCTTCGGAGTAATAGTGGTGCGCTCCCCAGAGCGGACGGGCTGAACCGGGTCGCGCATCGAAACTCATATTATTCCCGGCCGACTTTGAAACGACGCTCTAGTGTATTCTCGGGGGAATCCTCGAAAACCAACAGTCTAGAATCTTTCCATATTTCCGACGAATTTTCGAAGATTTTCAAAACGCACCCCCTCCCTCCCGTAATGGTGCCACCAGGTTTACAGGTATAATGGGAGATTTGGCAGTGTGTTCTGGCAAATCGTTTCGTCGTTGATCCGCTCGAATTCGCACCTGTGCGAAGGAATCCGAGATAGGAGTCGAGTTGCTACCAGATATGCCCGGCCCAGCCACTCGCTTGCCTTCGAGGATCATCACTTCCCGATTAGAAGCTTGAGAGAATATTCGACAGGGACAACGCAACAAACCCAACCGGGAGTTCGAACGAAAATGGTCACCAACCCCCTTGATCCGTCCTGGCTTGGGGAAACATAGCCCGCGACAAAATGTAACATCTCCCTAAACATGTGCGGGGGTGAAATCTCAGATTTTCGCAAGATCGTCCTCACCCGTTCCGTCTCTCTAGAGGATTAGAAGCCGGTGAACAGAGGTCGTATGATCGGAGATGGGACGGGTTTTTTGAGAACCTTTGCTTGCGGGCTCTTTTACTATTACTACATTAACCCGTACGAAAGTAATAAGTGATGGAATGCCGAAATCGAAATCCTAGTATTATGCTCGGACTCGATAACGTCAAGAAGGTACCGAAGTTGCGTTTGTTTTCCCCCCCCAATCCGCAGGGCTCCAACAAACCATCGCGTGTTGGTTTGCAGTTAACGTCCGTAAACCCCCTTGCCTTCCGCCCAGTAGCCCGCCCGTGGAAGCAGCCCGGTCTTCCACCACAAGGAACATAGGATTGGCTATGTTGGTTGGTTAGTTCCCCCCAGATCCCCCAGATCAGCCTGGCTGGTGATGTCAGGACCTTCCCATTCCCTACTAGAAGTTCGGTACTATATGCGGCGCAATTCTTAAAAGGCCGGACCTCTTTTTTTGTCCTACCTTTCAAGGAGGGAGGGATGGGGGAAGGGAGGGTGTTTACACGGGATGTGTGTATGTGTGTCTGTGTGAATTCCTTTCCGCCGACCCCCTGTTTTCCCCAACCATGTTTCTAGCCTACCTCGGAAGGTCCTAATACATGGAGGGAATGCAAGTTGGGGGAGTTGCCGCAAGCTTCCTCGGTGGACGCGTTAGCTCTTTTCTCGGCACCTCGGTGAAGGAAAAGGTGTCCATCGGGGTTGGTTGATTTGCGGCAGTCCAGAAGCCCAACAGGCATCAAATGAAGTCATCCCATCGGACTTCACGTCGTACTGCACTAGACCCCGTACATGTCTAGACCTTGCCCCCGAGTCGATCCCCACAATGCCGGTCTTAGGATGTTCCCCCACACCCTTTTTCTCCGGAGGCTCTGACGTTTTTTTTCTCCCTCTCTCTCTCTTTTATTTAGAGACTTTCCTGTGAAGAAAAGGGCGCGTGGGATGGAATGGGGTATGCAAGGGTACTCTTTTATATACACTGCGTATCAATCGAGGTTACAGGTCGACCTCCCACACCGATGACACTATCTATATCAATCGGCGCGGGAGCGTGGGGGCGATGGAATGGGTTGGACAGTCGGAGACGAAAGGGTGCGGCGTGGGTTTTGGTTTCTCTCCCCCCACCACTCTATACTCAGAAAGAGGACAAGGGAGCGAGAAGGAATGGAAGGGGAAGGGGTGGACGGTGGATACCAAAGGGTCGGTGGGAAAGGAGATTGACCGAGGTTTCGCGAAAGAACAAAAGAACACGATATCTCAGCTGGCACGACCGTTTGCTTCTGGAGGGCGGGAAAGGAGATCACGAGGGCGGGTGAGTATGCAACGCTGGAATTAACCCGATGCTTTATCGTCGCATTGCATATGAAGTATATCACTCACGATTCGGACCAACGCGAACGCAAGGATTTAGATTACTTGTTTCGTGAAGTATGATGGCCAAGGCTTTGACGGGACTGGAAAATGACGCTTCCAGGGTTGGGTTGAGCGTACAGAACGTGTCGATATACTTTCGTACACTTGCGGTGCTGTAAATGTAGCTAATATGAGCTTTCCCCAAATGAGGAACGGAAAAAAATTATTAAATAAATAAAATAAAAATGAAAAATCCATGCCGCTGTTTCTAAATTACGGTATAGCCGCCGTCCACCCTCAACTCGGCGCCAGTCACATACCTCGAGGCGTCCGAGAGCAGGAATGTGACGGGACCCATGAGGTCTTGCGGGTTCCCCATTCTGCCCATGGGGATGCCGCTTATCCACTTTTCTTTTAGGTCCGGGCGAGCGTCGAGGATCTTTTCGGTTCTGGGGTTTGGCGCATCGTTGGTGTAAGAGAAAAGCCGATTTCACACGGGCATTGGGGTCAAGTTGGGGGATTTGGGAATGGGGCTTTCCCCCTCTCTTTTTTTCTTTGGGAGAACTTACAGAGCTGTGAGCATGTAGCCCGGTGAAATGCAGTTTACGCGGATGCCGGAGGTGGCCCACTCGACAGCAAGAGAGGAGGCGAGGTGTCGGACGGCGGCCTTGGAGGCGTTATAGGGCCTTGGGTGGGAGAGATTAGACTTGTCATCTCTTGCGAAGTGTGCGGTAGGTCACACTTACGCTTGCGGCTGGGGAACGTTGACAATGGCACCCGACATGCTCCCAATAAAAACCATGCTACCCTCAGCCTTCCTCTCCATAAGGTGCTTCGCGACCTCGACGGCGAAGAGGTAGGTCCCGTCGACGTTGACGGACCAGAGGCGGCGCATGCGGTCCGGGGGGTACTCGGTGGCGGGCCAATTCTCGGTGAAGCCGGCGGAGGTGACGAGGGAGTCTATTTTTTTGTGCGTGGAGAGGATGCTGGCGATGCAGGAGGCGACGGAGGCGGGATCGGATACATCAGCGTGGTGGGCTGTGATACGAGGGGTGGTTCTGTTTTGGAGATGGGCTCATGGTTAGATGCGGTGTTAAGAGGCGGGGGGCTATGAGAGGAAGCGAAGGGAAGGAGGGTGGATGAGATGCTTGCCTCGTGGGATGCTGAGCTTTAAAGGCTTCAGCTAGATTGGCTGCTTGCGTATCGGCTTGGTCCTCTGTTGGTTTGTATGTCCTTGGTCAGAAGACGTTCACTCCTGCGAAAGACCATCAACCCCCGGCCCCTTCGTGTATCAATTGATCCCATTCACAGATCAAAAGTCCAAATCGGGCACAAATGAACACGAAGGCCACCTCAAGTCACACTCTCACTGAAAAAAAGAACCCCCAAAAATGAAGTTTCAAAAACTCAACTGTTTATATCTACAATGGCCAAATGAGCACCAGACTCAACGATGCCCTTGCCCATGACGAGGCCAAGACCGCTCGCTCCGCCGGTGACGACGACGATGCGGTCGTTGAGGGTGAAGACGGGGAGGGTCGGGGCAGCGCCGAGGCCGGAGCGGAGGTCGGCGGACGCTACGGGGGTGCCGTCGAGGGGCGGCGCTTCGGAGCTGGTGAGAGGGTTCATTGTGAGATGAAATGAGGGACCGGGAACCTGGAGGAAACGAGGGGAGGTTGGCAAGATGGTAGAGGATGAGATAGGATAAGATATATATTGAGAGGAAAAGGGTCGAGGAGAGGAGAGGAGCGTGTGGTAGTGTTGCGCCTTGATACCTATCTTTTTTTTTTCTCTTCGAGTTCAATGTTAGGTTCTCAGAGGGATTGAGGGGTAATGAGAATCCAGGAGTGTGGGTAGTGGGTGGTGGGGGGACTAATTACATGGCATTGAGAGATCAAAGTCGAATTCCATCACTGCAATTTGATTTGAGCGCTTCTGTCACGATAGCTTCAGCTACTACCGTGTTCATGAAGGCGCCCATTGACGAACGATCTGGATTGTGGAGATGTGGGACGGGAGTTAGTGTACTTCTTACAGTGGACAAATGTTGTCAAAGTACAATAGCGGATTGATCAATGTACACCGATCACCAATGTCCACTGTCGTGTATATAGTAGGGCTAAATAGACACTTATTGTTACTAGGATGGCGCTACTTTTCTTCGTCCATCACCGTGTCTTCGACTCCTCTCAGACTCTTAGTTCCTCCGCCGCCGTCTGTTGTGGCGTTAAAGTGACAGGCAACGGAAAAAAAAAAAAAAAAAAAAAGGAAAAACCGCCGAAGCTCCCCCTACTGGCAATGCCTCGGGAGGAAAGGGGTGAAGAACGAAGACTAGACCGATGACCGATGACCGATGGTCGGCCGAGTCGAGCTCCTCCGACGACCTTAATTCCAAGGATCCGGGAGCTTGTCAATTCCTGGAACTTATACCAATCCCGGTGGACCAGATATTGGACAATGGAGTGGGCTGTCTTCATTGCTGACCAGCTTGCAACTTTACAACTTTACGTGGTGACTGACATTGGAGCTGCTGAGCTCGATTACCGAGTTATTCTGAGCCCACACGGACGTCATTTGTCCAATTGCACAAGCTGCATCTGTATTTGTAACCTCAACCGTGTCGGATGATGATCATGATGATAGCTTTCATCTGATACAAATTGTACTGCCAACAAGGTGCTCTTCGAACAATATATAGACATCTCGATGGGCAACTCTCCAAACTCTTTCCGTCTACCCCTTCTTCCTCTCTCAAAACCCAGCTCCATCGCCCCTCCATGCCCCTTCGAATCCCAACAGCTCCAGCCAAACTGCGACTGCCCCGCGAGAGCTCTACCCCGCAACAGCTCCTCCAGATCCGACGACGCAATCCAATTCATCCAATTCCTCATCCGCATCCACTCCCGCAATCGCAATCGCAACTGCGACTGCCCCTCATTATTCGTAAACTACCCCGCACCTTCCCATCCCTATCGATAAAGAAGATTCCGACCTCTTCCATCACCACCACTCAAACCACTGCAACCACAACCACAGCTGCCGCTGCCGCTGCACCCGTACCGCGTCTTCGTTCTTCTTCTTGCTCCCTACAGCCAATACTTCCGCATCGAAACTTCAGCAACCGTCACTACGTAGCTCGAAGCTCCGAGAGACTATTCACATCCTCGTCCGCAGCCATGTCGTCCTTCCCGCCCGCCAGCCATCCCAGCGCTGCTTGCTGCAGCATCCCGCCCGTCGTGTCCACTGGATACCAGGAGAAGGGGAGCTATGAGGAAGTTGGCGGATTGAAGAGTTGTGCGTCTTTATCCCCCCCCCCCCCCCCCCCCCCCCCCCCCCCCCCCCCCGGATAGCGAATTGGCTCTTTTCCCCTCCTCCCAGAGCTTGGCCCGTCGTGGGAGCCACGAGTACTAAGGCCTTTTTTTTTCCCTTCCCACTCGTAGATGCCGTTGGCCCCCAGGACGCCGAAAAGGGCATTGTCGTCATCTACGACATCTTCGGCTACTTCCCCCAGACCATCCAAGGCGCCGACATCCTCGCCACCTCCGACGAGAAGCAGAAGTACAGGGTCTTCATCCCCGATTGGTTCAAGGGCTCGCCGGCCGATATCTCCTGGTCAGTCTTACAACCCTCCCCCCAAACGAATGAAACGAGGAAAACAGGCTCATCGCTGGGTCTTCACTCGCCAAGGAGCCGAGCTGGAACTAACATCTCGACAGGTACCCTCCCACCGACGACGACAAGAAGCATAAGCTCGGCACCTGGTTCAGCAAGAACGGCTTCAGCGAGACTGTCCCCAAGGTCCCCGGCTACCTCGACTCCCTCAAGGAGAAGTATCCCAACATCAAGAGCTGGGCCATCATCGGCGTAAGTCTCGCCTCCCTTCTCCTTTCCCAGCCTCAAGCTTTCTTTCCCGAACGCTAACAATTTGAATGTGTAGTACTGCTGGGGCGGCAAAGTCGTAACCCTCGTCACTTCCGACCCCAACACCCCCTTCAAGGCCGGCGTGGCCTGCCACCCCGCCTTCCTCGACCCCAAGGACGCCCCCAACGTCCGCGTTCCCATCGCCGTCCTCGCCTCCAAGGACGAGGACGCCGCCGACGTCAAGAAGTTCACCCACGACCTCAAGGTCGACCACCACGTCGAGACCTTCCACGATCAGATCCATGGATGGATGGCCGCTAGGGCCGATCTTGAGGATGCGAGGGTTGTTGAGGAGTATAAGAGGGGCTATGAGACTGTGCTCAAGTTCCTTGGGAAGCATCTGTGACTAGGTGGCCCGGGGAGGTCTAATCTGTGAGTCGAGTCGTGTTGAGAGGATGTGTATCGGTGGTGCTTTGTTTTGAGTCTACTACCAGATCAATCATGACGTTTCAAGTGTACGAAGTAATAAAAATGTGCGTTTATGGAGAGAAGAGGAAACAAGAGGAATAGTAAATCGAAATAAATAAATAAAAAGAAAAATTAACTCGTTTTCACCGTGGTTTGCCCTGTCTAAATATTCCATGCCAAACCAATCCCAAGAGGTATCAAAGAAATCCCAACAAATGTCGCTTTTATACGTCCGCCTGCCTCCCTTGCACTTGCCATCCTTCCCGTTGTTTCCACGTCCACACATATATACTCGACCGCTTTCCTCCCATAAATTAAATAACAACTTAAAAAAGGGGCAATAGGCGAAAGGGGGAGGAAGGGGGGAGGTCCATTCTCCCGTGTTGCTTACCGCAGCAATATATATCACATCCATAGTCCCCCCCCAAAAAGAGAGGCTAAAACAGAAGAAATAAGAGGAAAAACATAAAAAAAGAAATCCCGTGTTATTTGCGGTGTAGCCCTCAAGAGAATGTATAGCGACACTGTGTAGTGCGCTCCTGTGAGAGGCAAGATAAGAAGTATATGAGAAAACACACATTATAGTATAAAAAAGGTCGAGAGATTGGCGCAAAGTGAAGAACAAAAAAGAGGCGTGCAGAGTACTATGAGGATATACCCAGAAAAATCCGAGCTAATCATCAATACCAAACATCCGCCGAAGAGCCGCAAACTTCTTCTTCCTCGGCTCCAAAGGTGCGGCTTGGGCCTCAGTGGCCTTCCGCACCGGCGGCTTCTTGCGCAGGTAAGCTGGTGGCGCGGGAGCAACGACCTCCTCCTCTTCGCCGTCGACGGGCGTACTAGTAGAGACCTGGTCGCTGTCCTCGTTGACGTCGAATTGCGGCTGCTGAGTTGCAGTTGACGGCCGAGATTTCGATGACTGGCCGCCGCCGAGGGATCTCGTTCCCAGGGAGTTAGGGGAGTGATGATGATGGTGATGATGATGATGTCGGGAACTGGCGGTATGTGCGTGGATAGCCTCAAGCTCCGCCGCGCTACGCTCAAGCTTCGTGTCGCGCCTAGCTGCGCTATCCATGCGCTCCGGCCTCTTGATCCGTCCCGCCTGGTCCGTCTTCTTACGCCGGAGGACAGCCATGAGACTATGCCTCTTGTGTCGCTCAACCTTGCCTCCGTTCGCGGGCGCGCCGTTAGCGGATCCGGTTTGCAAAGGTGCGATGGATCCGCGGCCGGACCGAGAGCGTCGTAAAGATCCGGAAACGGATTCCTCGACACCCAAGTGATTTCCGTCGTCCACAGCCGGGCGAATATCAGCTGTAGCCACTTGTGCAGGCTGCTCCTGGATGCTGCCGGCTTCCTCATCATCGGAACTGTCGGAAAGTTCTTCCGATACTTCCTCCACCGGCTCCCTCAGCGTGCCTGTTGACAGTGGGCGGCCCTTGGCGGCAGCGGCAGCCGCAGAAGATGCGGCGAAGGGTTTACCGTTACCGGTCTTTTGCGAGGAGCTCGAGAATCGGCGAGCAACCCAGCTCTCGCTGCTAGTTCGCGGGGACTTGTTTCTTAGGGTAGGTAGCGCGACATGCTCATCCTCATCATCGCTCGAGTAGTCCAGCCTGCTGGAAGTCCTGCTTCCCCTATCGCCCTTCTTCTTGGACCTGCCAAAGAAGGGCAGTCGAAACCGTTGCGAGATTGAGTGTACGCTCCCGTCGCTGGAGTCGGCACGCATCGTCGTCCGTATCATCCTCGTTTCGGCGCTTATAGGTGGATGAGAAGGAGTAGTACCGTTGGGTGAGCTAGACCTAAATCTGAAGCTATTCCTTTTCTTGGATTCCGTGCCCTCGTTTGCGGAAGGTTCCTCGATGCCGCTTGTCCTCATAGACCTCCGGAATCCGAACACCTCTGACTGCCTAGGCCGAGTAGTGCGCTGGAAGCTACTCTCACTATCCATCGAACCACGGCGCTGTGCAAGAGTAAGTGGCCAATTGCCCGGGGAATCGGACGGGATGTTCTCTTGGAGGGAGAAAGTGCGTCTCTTGGCCTGCCCAGACCTGAGCTTATTAGGGACTCTGACACTGCTTCCATCGAGTTGAAGAGAAAGTGGCCGCTCGCCCTTGGCAGTACGGCTAGTAGTTGTCTCATGCTCCGCTATCTGTGAAAAGTTATCGGGCCGCATTGTCTTGCGGAAACCGGTTTTCAAAGCGCCGCCGGATGGTGTTTCGGCACGTAAGGCAGTGGGAGATTTGACGCCCCTAAGACTTTCTCGGCCGTGTGAATCTAGTTTTACCAGGGCAGTAGAATGGCTTGTCGAAGCACGAAGAGATCCTCGCATTGAGGATCGGAGAATGGGGGCTCGCGGCGGAGGAGCATCCGTGACTTTGGTCCCCGGAGGGATCTGGTAGACGCGCTCTTCAGACGAGGATTCCTTCGCCTGTGATCGCTGTTCCGATCCACCCTTCTTCTTCTTATGCTTCTTGGCGACAACGACCTTCTCATCCAAATCTCCGTCCTCACCGGCTTCTGATAATGCTTCCTGTTCGAGTTGTCGGCGCTTCTCGGCCGATAGACTCCTCCAGTATGCTTTGGCATGTTCCCAGTTCACATCCCCCTGGGGTAGTGAAACCGGCGCGGCTGTTGCCTGCGTTACCGTTGCCTGCGTTGAAGGAGGCTCGCTCACTGTAGGCTGACTCGAGTCCTTTGCCACTGCAGCGGCTGGTGATCCCGCAAGATCGACAACTTTGGGCGGGACGGGGCTGTCAACAACGGCATTCAGAGACAGGAAGCCGTCACCTTCAATATCTGATAGGTCCTCATAAGCGTCGCTGTAAATGCTGGTGCTTTCAGAGTCGTCCTCAACATTGTCTAGGGGCGGTTCTGCTGTGCTTGATACTGGGGGGATAGTGGCTGTTGCGGTTACGGTATCGGTGGCTGGTGGCAGCTGCGGGGTGGGGGTAGAGGAAGAGTCCTCACCACCGGGGAAACTTCCAGGGATGTCGACAGGCTCCGCTTGCTCAATGGATGGCGGAGCAGGAGAAGAAGGCACGGCAGGATCCTCCGTTATTTGTGGGCTCGGGAGAGAAATTGCAATCTTCGGGATAGCTTGTTGAGGTGCTTCTGGAGCGCTAGATGTCGCTGGGGTCGAACCAGCACCATGTCCTTTGGCAGTAGCTGAGCCGTTCTGGATGATGCTCGCCACAGTATCGCCGGAAGGCCTAACAGTCTCCGCCACCGCAGGGGAGGAGGTCTGTACATGCCCCTCAACGTAACTATCCTCGTCCTCATCCTCCGAGCCCTGTAAGCCGGTTGTACTACTTCCGTCGCTAAGGAAGCCGTCGCCCTCAACGGATGTGACCTCAGGAGGCAGGGGCTCTCGCAGACGAGAGATATTCGCTTCATTCTTTCGTTCGACTTCTCTAGTTAGAATCGACCCGATAGCGTGATCGTTTGAAAAGTCCGTGCTGTGCCTGAGATTCGAGACGCTCGGGATGGTCGGAAGAATAGTGGGAGAGCCCGAATGGGGGATATGCGAGACAGGAGGCGGCCGCACGAGAGGCCGTTCTTCAATTTCCCTGAGCTTCTTGTCCCGAATGCTGCCAAAGTGCGGAAGCGGAGGTCTTGGCTTCATGACCTCGCCATCGTCTACATCGTCCATAGTTGAACCTCCTTCCCTCCTTCGACCAAGATTGTACCAGTGTCTCCTGGTCGTAGACTGCGGAGAAGTGGCGGGAGATTCATCCTCCACCTGAGGAGCAGCTTCGCCTACAACAACGGTGCTCTTGTCGTCGAAGCTTACTCTAACAGACTTCTTGCGAGTCGGGGCTTGTTCAGGTTGCCCTCCTTGATCCAAGGAAACCTCTGATCCGTTGTCGGATACGGAGGAGGCACGGTTAGGGCTTGTAGACTGTTTAAGCGCCGGCTTTATCGGCGACACTGACCTGGGCGGTGGTGAATGGCGCACGGGCACTGCTAGTGTCTCGGTCGGATGAGATAGTGCTGTGCGTGGGCTTGTGGATGTTTCTCTAGGCTGATCCGAGGTTGTGGTCTTGGTTTGCCCTTGTGCGGCATGAGAGTCGGGATCGTGCTGTGGAACGGCCTTGGCTCTTCGATCACTAGTTGGAAGCTCAATAGGCACCTGAATTCGATAGTATGCTGTCATCCTGACCGGTACAGCATCAAGGATCTCAGAAGGTTTCCGCCGGTGGCCCAAACTTCCACCGATCTCATGGACGACGGGAACTTGGGCTTGGTGAGCTGGTGGCGCGATCTCCGTAGCCTGTTCGCGAAGGGGAAATAGAGTCGCACGCATAGCCCCATCGTCATCACCCACATGAGTGATATCCTCATCAACGTGTAGCCCGTGATCGATAAATTGCTGAGTGTGAGAAAGATGCTCCTGCGGCTCGAGGGTTATCTCGGCACCCATGTCTTCGTACATGTCCCCAGTAACTAGCTCAGGCGCATCGGATGCTCTTTTATGGTCGGTTAACTTGTCGCCTTCCGTCGCGAGATGTTGAGGCTCGACGACAGTCTTCGGCTCTGCGCTAGCCGCCGGAGCAGGTGCCGCTACCGGGTGCTTCTTCTTCTTCTTCTTAGAGGCCTTCCTGCTCGGCTCTTTAAAGCCGTGTTCCCAAGCGATCAGTTCAGATTTTGGCATCATCCGCCTCGTATTGGGATCGTAGACCATGATAGGATCGGATTCTGGCGGTGGATGTCGCCGGTGGTGCATCGAGCGCGAGGCTGCTTGAACAGCGGACGACGGTTCCGGGGCGGGTTCCGGGGCCGGGGCCGGGGACAAGACCCTAGGCGATCGCGGATATGAGAAGTTTATAGACGAACTTGAGCTGCCTGGTCGAGCCAGTCGGGTATTGATAACCGCATCGGACGTTCGCATCGTCGATGTGGGGTCACAGGTAGGTGGACCGAACCACGAGGCGTGTCCTTCTCTTACTATCTCGCTTCCGAGCTTCAGCGGCTGGGTCCGAAGACTAACAGTCCGCCGTCTAGTCGGGCTCTTCTGTTGGATATTGGACTTGGAGACATCCTCCGGGATCGATGGTACTGGAGGGGTTTCGTCGGGCGTGTTCGTAACGGCAGTTCGATGAGGGGACGGCGTTCGGAGGGTTCGCTCGGACATAGACCCCGTACTGGGAGATCTCTTCAATCTGACTCTGCTGTCGCGACTCGCCGAGGATGCAACCGATGCGCTGCGGCGCAACGACCGCTTCGTCTGTACGTCCGCGACATTGGTGGGCGTTGCAGGACGAGCTCGAAGGGCTGCTGCCGCTGCTGCAGCGGCGGACGATAAGCTATTTGCCGATGCCTGCCGGGTGAGGGCCAAGACAGCTGCAGAGGTCGCATCTGGGTTCGCGTGGGCGGCGGTCAAAGGCTAGATCATTCACCGAAGGGTTTTGCCATATTAGTCGGTCGGTTCCTCACAAAGCTCGAAAAGCAGATCATCCGCCAAGAGCCGGCAAGCGAGTATTCCCGAACACATGCAAGTCGCACCGGGAACACAAGCTCCCGAAGCTACACATGAAGCTTGTCGATAGCAAGAAACGACATACCTGATTCGAAGAGCGATATCTCCGAGAGCTAGTCATTATTTCGCTTTCACTCCTCGAGGGGCGCACGACCAGCCGGGCGGCGAATATTGGGCGATTTCATCAGGGCTGGAAGCTGTGGGACATGGGGTAAGAGCGATAGCAAGGGTGATCAGTGGATTAAATAGCGGTCAAACGTCGAGATGGGTCGAGAAAAAGGAAAGGCGAACGACGACGAGATGCGACATGGACTGGGACTGGATTGGACTGGAGAGGGCATGACGATGACCCAATGGGCGATTGACGATCATCGAGGTGCTGCCGAGCATTCGACTTTTACCTTTGTTAGTCAGAAAACTGGTTGGCGATGCCTGATCACCACAGACGATTGTTGCCAAGTACCCGGTACATCTGCAGTGGCATGCAGGGCCAGCTCTCCAAAGTATTCCGGGGCGCGAATAGCTCTGCGAACCGCTGTCTACGAGAGCAATTTGCAGTGCAAGAGGAGCCAATTGTTCCCTGAAATTATACAGTTTTCATCTCGTTGCGGGAACCACTCAACACGAAACACTTCAACGACAGACATAAATGGTAGGGGACTGGGGATATGAAACCTCACCTCAGCTCCTTTTCAAACATGATCCAAGTCACCTTTTGATACGCAAAGTATCTTGTACCGGGTACTTTTGAGCCCCATGCCTGACTACACCCTCCAGTGCCTCCATGCTTGCGCTGTCTCTCGCTCTCGTCATCTCCGAGCGTGTCGTCGCAAGCTTAACGTACCCATGTACTCTCTTAGCTCTTGATTTAAACTCAAGGCTATCTCCCATCTGGCTACTTCAGCGACCACGTAGCTGGAGAACAAGACCACGCGCGGCAAGAAAACTCCGGTTTGGGAAGTTATTGGGCATCTAGAGTTTGTTCTCCTTGGCGAATCTCACCACCGCTGCAAAACCGGGGATTAATGTGGGATCTGTCTTGTCAAGCACGGAAAGGGTTTTGTATGAAGCATGTGGAGATCGATCCCCTGTATCGAACGGATGGAGCTCAAAATCGCCCGTCGGTGCAAACGAACACAGGTCTTTTTTGCATCGTTGCACTCGCCCTGGTTTTAGTCTGGTTGCTCGCCTTGGAAACTGTCTTCTGGGGTTTCTTGTTGTTTCCATCGATTAATCAAACATCATCTACACATTGCCGCGTCGAGGATCTAGGATAACACGTCTACAGTCGTACCTCCGCAGCCGAGACTATTGTATTGTACAATTATACCATTACGTCACCTACTATGTCCTTTCAACTTCACTAGAACAATCGTAGCGCCATCTCCAGGGTTAATGAAGTGGATTGTGGATTGTCGGAACTAGGCTAGGTTGGCCATCATATGAGAGGCAGTCGGGTACGTGCTAAGGAAAAACCGTAGAATAGAAACTGACCGTCACACGGCACAGATCTAAAAAAAGGAAAATACCAATGCCAATCTCAACACGCCGTCAAGCATCCCCCGCCCTAACTAACGAACACGCTGATGGGCCTTCTAGTGAAAGAGTGCCGGCAGAATATCGAGCCCGAGGCAAGTCCGACTCGTCGCCACGCACGCTAGTTCAGAACTCCCCAACTTCGATTCTAATCATTCACGTGTATGATGCGCCACCAGTATGCCCGGGAATTCCAGGCGGATGCCCATAGCGCGATAAATGAGAAACCGAAACCGCTCGAGTGCGACTGCGCCAAGAGAACATACCCAGGTGTCGTGGATATCCAAGGAACAGTCGCGGGTTTGCATTTCGCTTGGACGGGCTTGCCTTGTGAAGTGCGATTCGAGGCGCAGGTAGCTCAATGCTATTTGACAAGCCCATGAGCTTCAGGCCTGCCTCTCGACAGACTGCTAGCATCGCCGTCTCCTCCACCACCATTGCTTCTATGGTAATTATGACTGATATGGCCCGTATTGCTCACATCGCCTTCGACAGAAGCCAGATCACCTTCGTCCACATCATCGATATGATTGAAGGACTCATCTGCGTACTCCTCGGAAGTTCCGTCATCCTCGTCGGAACCTAGGTCCCCATGAACGCCGCCGGGGGCATCGTGCTCGGGGATGTCGTGATGGGACTTCGTCGCATTACCAGCCTTGCCGCCAGTACTCTTCGGTTGCTTCTTGCTCTTGCGACTGCGCGCTTTCACCTGTTCCAAGCGGCGTTTCTTGTTCATCTCTGCAATGCGTTCTCGTCGCTCTCGTTCTTCGTATGCTCGGACCAAACCAGATGGCTTCCCCCAGATCCTCTCGTAGATACAAAAGTCGCACACCCATTCCTCTTCGGGGGGAACGGGGTTTCTTCGCCGATTTTCTTGTGCCTTGGCCCTGCGCTGTCTAGCCTGTTCCTCGAGTTCTCGGTCGATACTCTTTCGGTTCTTCTTTTGTCGTACGCCCGAAGACTGGCCCGGTCCTTTGAGCCCGTCATGGTGGCCCGGCGGCGGTTCATTCAATGAGCCCATGGCATGTGCCATACTGGATTGTTTGGAACTGGACATATATCCGGGCGGTGGAAGCCCGGATCCGACAAGGTCCCCTCTATAAGTGCCAGGGACTTGGGATTCGCATGTGAATGTAAACTGGGTGGATGCGGGGGTGGAGCGCACCACCGAGGGGTTCTGAAGCAGGCTAATGTTTTCTTGTCCCTGGTCAGTAGGTGTCTTACTTGCCTTTGCTATGGCAGATGAGATGATGCCTCGCTCTGGGGCGTCAGCTGGTAATGTGGGAGAAAATTAGCATTACCCAAAGAACATCAAGGTCTAGCAAAGACGGTCTAGGGTGCCGTGGAGGCAAATGCTACCTGAAATGTTGAGGGTACGGACATTATTGATGACGGCCACTTGGCGTGGGGGAGTAATGGGAAGTGGGATATGTGGATTAGGCTCTGATGGAGAATATGAAAACGAGGATGTTTCATAGCTTCATCATCAGGATCAAGTATCGAAAAGGGGAGGGAAGGGTGACGCCAACCGGGCTTCTCTTCCACGTGGGTTAATAGCTCAGCTGGAGCTTTAGGAAATCGGAGACAAAGGATGTTGGTCGGACTTGCCGTCAAGGCAAGCTTGGCTCAGAACAAAGAATTCGAGAAGACAAGAAGAATTAAAGAAGGAAACGCAAGCACTTACCACAGGGAGAAGCCCATTGCCCAGCAGGACGGGGTTTGGCGTTTCGATCAGTCCAGTTGCTGGCGTTGGAGAGAGTCCTGAGAGGACTCCTTCCGTTCCTCACTCGACCAAACATACCCCGCCCTGCCCCAGAGATGCCTTTGTTGTTCACAGACGAGCCATGCAAGGCTCCATATTGCGAATTCCCGAGAGTATCATTTTGCATATGTACAGCAGCAAGCCCGGCCGATATGGGGACCGCGCTGCCATCGGATGTTGAGTGGGAACTGCCGAGCGATGAATCGCCCGCCGTCGGTATTTTCCGTTTCTTCTTGTTGTTTGTGTTCTCATACGACTCATATCCGTCCGTCGAAACATCCGTCGATGGAAGCATAGAGTTCGGATGACGAGTTTGGTCTATCTGCGGTGTCTGCCGCGCGCCAGACCGGTTGGACAAGATCTCTGGCGGTGATCTGGGGACCATCGCACTCCTTGGGCCTTGACGATCGCCAGGTTCGACGTCGACCCCATTCCGAGATGCATCGCCACCTGCTCCAACGAATTGACGGACCTCATCGTTTGGTGTATTACCATCGGCTGTGTCGCGCGAGTGTGGCACTTCTTCTCTATGATATCCATCCTCTGCGATGTCGGTTGGGTATGCTGGATAGAAAATCGAGGGAATCCGCGTCGAAGGAGGATATTTAATCGACTCCGCCACTTCGGGTGACAGACGTTCCCTTAGTCGACGCTTTGGCAGCGGACGTATCGGTCGATTAGGATAGAGGTTGGAGAACGAAAGAGCTTCCGTTGACGCTGCCATGTCTGGATCATACGCTGGGTAGGCGAAAAAAGGAATAGAATATTAGCATCAGTCTTCCTATAGCATGACGGTGAAGGTAAAACAAGGCCCTCATGGGAAGTTTGCCCCTTAGGGTCTATGACAGCTTCTGTGAAGGAAGAGATGCGGCCTAAGGGAGAGAGGTGGACTGAGCCAGACATACCCATCGTCATGCATGTCGCCAGAGCCAGGTATCGATCACAGATTCAGGCAGGCGTGGGATCTGCCAGGGAGCGTCGTCGCGATGGTTTACAGGCGTTCCGTAGCTTCAACCAAGCACTCGGCTCCAGGAACATGTGGTCGTGGGCCTCTCGTTTGGGGTTCTACGGCCAGGTATCAGAAAGCGGAAAGGAACAAAGAGTCATCCGAGTTGGATGAATAATGCTCATCAAGCAACACAATGCAGCTTGGACGAGGGGGCCCCTATTAGGGAATCGTAAATCGTGGGGAAATGCTACAAGTCAGGAACTAACCGTGGCCTTCCTCTGGGCAAAACGCCCCCGTTGTGCAGACTTGGACGCTGATAACGTTGCGAAGGGTTCAACGGTTGGAATGATGGTCTTGGTTTGGTGACAGGTTGGGAAATTGGGTAATGGCCTTCGGCACTTTCCACTCTGGAGTAAGGAGAGGCACCACACCAGGGTTTGGGGTTACAGGACCGGCGTCGGATAGGGAAATCGCGGGCTCGAGCAGATGCTTCGTATCGACAAACGCCTGGATATCGCCTTCCGCAAAAATTCGAAAATTGTAGGATGGTTGAAACGGTTTTGATAGAGCGTCGTTAGGAGGCAGTGAGTGGAAAGTTTATTAGGAGTCGTAATAGTGGTGGTGTGTGCTCATGACCAGAGACCAAGACCCTCTCCCTGGACTGTTGTCGCCAACAGAATCCGAGTGTTCAAATTGTTGCAATTATGCACCTGAAGGTACATGGATACATGGATACAAGGATCAATAGATGCCAGGTTCCCACGAATAACGAACTGTTACATAATCCGTAGTTCATTGAAAATCAATTTCCTCTGTGTGGACTGGATCTACGAAGTACATACATGTAGGTACCCTTGGTCTCTACAGTGTTAACTGAAAATATGAGTAAAGCCGATTTTTCTCCGGCTCGCTCAATCGGCCAATAAGAGGCCAGGACACTCTCCTTCAGGAGAAGCGACAGTGGTCCCGTAGGAATCTTTCAGTAGAGATGGAGTGCTATCAGCACTGTACATCTTATAGCTTCCCAGCTCGCGGTTGACTGGCTCTTAATCACAGGAAGGCGCTCCAGTTCTCAAGTATATTAGAGAATTTCGCAGAACACGGATCTATGTACCCTTGTACCGTCTCTGGCGTGCCAAGCCAGGCTAGCTCTCCAGTTTCCCCCAGTGAGAAGGTGCCCAGCAGTGGACTGTGGACGAGGGCAGGCGCTTTTTTTTGGTCCCCAAGAAGTAACGGGTCCCGTCCCATCTTTGGAGACGAGCAACAGCACCACACACTCCCGCCGCCGCCCTCCGCCTCTCCACCACTTTTTCCCACTTCACCCACCTTGAATCCATTCCCGCGGACCATTTTTGTTTTTCGTATCTGTGGCATGTGCATTCCCAGTCCTAGCACCGGTCATGATAAGCTGTTTCTCATCGCCCATACTTCATAGAAGCGCTCCATTCCACCTGTCGCAAAAACTGCCCACCTCGACGAGAGAGCAAGACGTGACCCGAGTCCCCGTTTCCCTTCCACCATCCCACCAACATCCTCCACCCAAAATACACCCATCGCCATACTCAATTCTGCCCTTCTGGCCTTGATATCGCGTCTGTCGAGTGGAACCATCAATTATCACCGAGCATTTCGGAGGGCCTGGCACGTTCGCGTCCGTCCTCTTCCCTGTTCTCTCTTGCTTTTCCCCTCCCCACTCCACGTCAATGGCACCACCATCCCCCAGACGATCCTCCAGAGCCCGCACAAGCAATTCACAGTCACAGCAATCCTCCTCGGCATCATCTACGACCTCCGGCCGTATCGAACGCAATACGAGATCCGGAAACAAACCCTCCTCAGGCAAATCGACCCCGAGCGCATCCCTGTCGTCAGAGCCGCCCGAAGACCTTGACGACACCCACCTGCTTCGCCGCCGACGACGCGGCTACGACGAAGATCGAGATAAACTATCGAGACAAGACTCTGTAGAAATGGCCAACGGAAGCGATGATATTCAAGAGGATGACGAGGCCGTCCGCTGCATTTGCGGGTTCGACGACTACCCTGGCCCTCCACCCCTTGACCCCGAAACCAAACAAGCGAGAGACGCCCCAGACTCCATAATATTGACTGCTCTCGATGTCACAGACGACATATCTGGCTTCTATGTGCAATGCGATATCTGCAAGGTATGGCAGCACGGAGCCTGTGTCGGAATCATGACAGAGGAGAGCTCCCCCGACGAATACTTTTGCGAAAAGTGTCGGAAAGACCTGCACAAAATTCACAAGGCTAGCAATGGGTAAGCATGAGTTTAATCCGTATCTGATTGTTTTTTTCTTACTCCGGGTCGTCGCGCCGAGGTCGCCGCGGCGGTGATCTCTAGGAGCTGAGAAACAATGAGCCCTGCCTGACTTCGCCGACACCCCCGAGCTTGCCACAATTCGATTCTCTGCGTATTCTTGCTACAAGGGTTGCTAACGTGCTTGTTCAATTGAAACAGCCAGCGATATTCGACCTACCTACCTCTCCACCGAGCAACGCGAGCCTCCCGATCTGCCTCAATCGCCAAAGAGGGTGCCCGCTCGCCGAAAACTGGGACTGGCAAAGCGGAGCGGACATCCTCAGCCTCACAGACCTCGAAGCGACGCTCGACAATGAACAGCCGCGAGGCCGCATATGATGAAGAAGACCAATTGCGCCGTGCTATCGAGGCGAGCAAAGAGTTAGTAGTTGTACAGGACGAGATCTCCACAAGACGCAACAAGCGCGGCCGGAGCGATAGCGAAGAGTACGTAAACCTAGCTCCAAAACTACATGACGGCACGGGAAGAGATATGGCAGATATAACTAACAGTGCATCTCCCTTTCCAGGAACTCCACGAGCGTCAAAAGGCAGCGAACGAGCTCGCGGTCGCCATCGCCCCCTTCCGATCCTCCGAAGAGCGATATTCAGGATGATTCGGATGATGGTGCAGTCACAAGGAACGGCTCCTCCAAAAAGTCCCGCAGCTCCCGCTCACAAAAAGAAAAATCCGAGCGGGAAGAGCGAGAGCGGCTCCGACAGGAGGCGGCAAACAAGAGGAAAGGTCGTGCAGACCGTAGGCGTGGCGAAGGCGCCGTAGCGACGGTTCCTGAGAAGGAGTCAAGCACTCAACCCGACGTCGATTCCGACCCCTCAGAGGAGATACCTCTTGCCGCCACCCGCGCAGCTAGTAGCAAGCCAGCCGAGGTCCAGCCAAGCGTCGAACCGCCCGCCCCGACACAACCTACCCCCGACACTCCGCCGCCCGGAAATCCCCCGCCGACCACCACCAGCACACACAAGAAGAGCGCGAGGAGCACGCATAAGAAGACGAAGGGGCGTAACCAATACACGAAAGACCGAGACAATGATGCTGACCGGTCGCCTGTACGGTCAATGTCTCGAGATACCCCAAGACATGACGAACCGAGTAACGGCGGCCATAAGACTGACCGACATAGCTCCAAGTCCAAGTCTGGTCCACACAGCAAGATATCTCTCAATGAGCTCAAACGGCGGTCGGCGGCCTTCCTGGACTTTATTGCAAAGACCCAGGTGGAACTCGCGTCCGAAGACCTCACCGAATTCAAGCCTACCCCGGAGAATGCAGAGCAGCAAGACAAGCGAAACGGCACGCCACAGATACAAATTAACGGCGGTTCAAGCTCGGCTGTGGTGAACTCGGAGGAACCTGCAGCGTCACCAGCCTCTCAAGTCTCGACCTCGAAGGGTTTCAAGGAGCTGAACTGCGTGGAGATGATGGACTTGCTGACAAGGGATCTCGTGAAGTGGCAAAACAGATACACGTCATGACGCGTCTCCATGGGCAACTCCTCACTCGTTTTGGGGGCTGTTCATCTTTCCTTGTTGTTATCTTCATAAGGGGCGGACGGCATGATGATTTGTATCGGCGCAGTGGGTATCTCTTAGGCTACTAGCCCATGTTTTTTATGGTTATCGGTTCAAGGCAAAAACTGGTGTTCTTTTTTTTCTTCTCTTTTCCTTTGTCTTAAGGGGGAAATCAGCCGGTTATATTGATATTTCTATTCTTACCTTTCACGGCCCTCGGCTTTTCTTGGTCATATCCTATATTCTATTTTCCCTTCATGGGCAGATCGGGGGCAACGAGGTGGCAGAATGCATGACCAGCACAACAGTTTCTTGTTTTCTTAACAGTATGATATCCTAGCACGCGCCGGGGGTCGGTCGGTAGGCTTTCTTCGTTTTTCTATCTCTCACGGGATAAGTTTAGATGTTTTTGGGCTTGGCTCTTTCCTGCGAGGTCTTGTTTCTCGCTTTTGTTCTGGGTTTCCTGGGGGCATAATAATGGGCGTGATTTCATGCGACTGCATTTCATTCTAAGTCTAGTGTACAAAACTGAAAAAAACTCGCCCAATGGTATCACAATTTATATGGTTACAAGATTCATTTTCTTTCTTTCTCTTCTTCTTCCCCACTCATCCGTTCCGTCTCTTCTCCTCTGCCCTCTGTTTCCGCGCTTCTTTCTCCCTCTTACGAGCTTGATTCATACTTAGCGTCGTCGTATTAAGTTCCGCCTTCTTCTGCTCGATCGCCTCGGGCGTAACATCGTCCAGAATGAACCTCCCCAAGTGTCCGTTCCGCCATTGCTCTATGATCCACATGGCAGCCTGTATATCGAAGCCCATGCGCGATTTGGCGTACTTCCCCGTGCGCTTGGCGACGCCCGTGAGGAACTCTTTGATATCGTTGGTCGGTTCGGAGTACTTCGCGTACAGGGCCGGGTTGACTAGGTTCAGCTTGTAGAGGAGGTAATCGGCGACGATTTCGTGGGGTACGAGGTTATCCTTGATGCCGTGCACGAGGGCTAGTTTGAGCATGTTCTCGGCCGAAGACACGTAGGGCATGAAGACGCCGGGGGTATCGACGATGAAAACGCCCTCGCCGAGAGTCTCGTCGGGATTATCCTTGCCGCCTAGGATGCGCACGGGCGTGCTCAGTTTCCGTGTGACGCCGGGGTGGTTCCCCGTGATGGCGACTTTGGTCTTGGTCTTCATCCCTTCCTTCCTCAGAGCGTTCAGCAGCGTGCTCTTGCCTACGTTGGGCATGCCGACGACGAAGGTCCTCAGGCCTGTAAGCGCATCGTATTCTCGCGCGACGTCTCGGATCTCCCGCAACAGCTCATGTTTGGTGTTCCCCTTGCCCACGAATATTGCGCTCTCGCCGGGCCGAGTCCTATGCAGCTCCTTGAGAGCCCGCTTCACCTGCGCGCCCCTCCCAGTCTCATCGGTCCCGAGATCGGTCTTGGTATACACGACCAGCCGACGCGGACCCGTAAGCGTGCGCTCGAGAAGCGGGTTCCACGATGTGAGGGGTACGCGGAAGTCGCGGCATTCGAGGACGAGGCCTATGGAGGAGAATTTGGTGGCGATGGCGCGGAGGCCGGCGGCATGGTGGCCTAGGTAGTAGGACCGCGGGATGGAGGCGGGGACATCGTAGGTTGCTCGCGGGGTGAAGGGGTGGGTTACGGGCGGGGTGATGACGGAAGGCGGGGGTTGCGAGGCGCTACGCGCGACGGATTGGAAGGTGCGGGTCCATTGTTTGGACATTGGGGGTGGTGGGTGGTCTCATCTACAGGATGAGCCGGGTGAGCTTTAAAGATGCTGTGGAGCACATGGATGTTCACGCTTGAAGCTGAGAGAGAAGGGAAATTTTACTGGTGGTAGCCTCGTTTTCACACGTGATGAAGGCTTCGAATTTGACCAATAACCAAAGGGTTTGTCTCGCCTCATACGTCATCTAATTGAGGATCCAGGAACTAGCCAATGAGAGATTGGTAGAAGTCTATCCCTGTAATGTTCTCAATTCATTCGTCAGCCTTGGGGAACGAGGAGGGGTAGCTCTGGTAGTGGGTCGATTTGATCTGATTTGGTTGTACTCGGTACCTCGGTACTTCTGAAAGCACGAGATTCGATGATGGATGCAGGAAGAGCCTACGGAGTACACGTTGTGGGTACACACAGGTACTTCGTACATCAATTGGTCTTTTTCCGATGCCATCAATTCACTTACACAGGCCAGAGGACGGAGAAGAGCCAAGAAACTACGGGGGAAATGGGGAGAGAAAAAGAAGAAGTGAAAGACGAGTGATATTGCAAAGTTACTCGATCAAAGATGAGGATGAGCGTAAGACATTGATCCGTCATACTCTCTCATTCTGGGCAGCCCCTAGATGCTATGGCTGGTTCTCCCAGCCCAGCTCTCCCTCGAAGCGCGCCGACTCCTTCTCCTCCTCTCTCCGAGTTCGTCACTCTCCTCGCGAGACAAGTTCCGCAGCCTCCTAACCTCTTCCCTCAAAGTCTCGATGACCGCGTCCTTTTCCCGAGCCTCCTCCCGCTCGCTCTCTAGGTCGCTGTCCTCTCTGTCGCTGAAATCACTGTCGCTTAACATAGCCTCGATCTCGATGCTTCTTTTTCTCGTCCGGTCCACAGCCCGTTTATGAATCCTCTTCATCCTTCCATGTCCTGTTTCAAGCCTCGGCCTCTCTTTTCTCTCTGTCCTAACCCTCTCACGCTGAGGCGCTCGTTTTCTGAAGGTTGTCTTCCGCACCTGTCTAGGTCGCCGAACTTCCTCGTCATCTCCTTCATACTCATCCTCATCCGAACCGTCGCTAAATCTACCGTCTCTATCTCGCATGTCGTAGTAATTATTGTTCTGCACATACTTCTTGTCCCTTCTTCTCCCCCTTCTGCTCCTCGGCCAGCTCTCCTTTCGTCGGCGCCACCATTTCCACCGTGTTGATGAATCCTCACAACAGCATTCAACCGACCTGTTCCAGCCGCATTTCCACCATGGGCGTCTCTTCCGAGGACGTAGACCTATGTAGAGCTGATTGTTGTAGTGACCACCTGGTTGGCACGTCCCATGGGTGGTCTATCGTTCTCTCTCAGCGAAAGGAAGAAGGCACACATGTCTTGCGGTTGAACTTACACGATCGAGCGCGCACCCAGCAGGCAGACCAGCACCACAACACCCACCATCACAAAAGTCCGCCGCTCCATGCCCACAACAGTCCTCTCCGCCCCCGAACCATCTTGAGCCACGGCATCTGTTGATAGTCCTGTTCGTGCAGCACCACCGGCGCTCAAACTCCTCGTGGGACCCGGCGCAACTGAAAGAACTGGCCGAAGAAAGCGAGGACTCGTAGTCAGACGCCGACGCTACGGGCGCGTCTGGGAGGAAAACTAGATCGCCCATGCTTGGTTTCGAAGAGAAATGTCTTTTGATTTGGTGTTCAGTCGGGATGGATGGTAGCCTCGACAGGTGCGTGTATTGGAAGACCTCTCCTTGTTCACGAAACACCCTGGTAAGAGCCGGGGGAACGTCAGGATACTCGGCCATGGTTGAAGGAAGAAGGGCATTCTCCGATATATACAACCGTACTCGAGCTCTGCTTCATGGAATGTTTGCATGTTTGTCCTCCGTGCGTAAACACACTCTCTGTGTGCGACGGTGAAGAGAGCCCACCTACCAGTCCCAGGCCAACCATTTTCTCATCTCCACCAAGTCCATGAGTCCCTCTTCGTCTCGATTTCCAGTGTACTTTGCGGTGAAGTGGTACTACCACAGCCTCATAACAAAAACGGCAAACAACATCTTGGATAAATGCAGTGTACTCATTACTACATGACTCCATGATACTTCATACTCATGCCTCCAAGACAATCAAAAAGATGACCATATCCCAGTCGCACCAAGAAACCGTGTTAACCCAATTAAGTCCTTCGAAAAGCAATAGAGAAAAATGCCGGAACCCATGCTCGCCTTTCGCCATCGTCTCCCATCCATACTCGCACACCGCCTAAATCCCACTGTCGTACACAATAAAAAATCGATATGCAACCTCCCTTCTCCTCTTACAAGAAGCCCTTCGTCATGCTCGGCACACGACTAATGCTCGACTTCCGCTTGGGCACCTCGATCTCACTCTCGTCCTCACACGTCACTCCAAGCGACGACCTCCACGTCCCGGAAGTGCCTGTTCTGCCGATGCTTCCCATGGATGAACCCTTCTCCATCCTAAGAGACTTCCATCCTTCAAGCTCGCGCTCGAGCCTTAAGCACTTCTCCCGCTCCTCGCGTAGCTCCCTGTCCGCCCGCCGCGCCGACAACTGGCTTGTAGACTCTGAAGCCTGGAGCTCGTCAATGGTCTGGAGAAGTTTGGTGACCTTCTCCTGGAAGCGTGCCACGTCGTCGGCTAGGTGCGCGTTTTGCTTGTCCTTGCGCTCGATCTGACTCTGGAGGTCCTTGACGACTCGGTCAACGTTTCGGACCGAGCGCTGGGACTTGGTTCGCTCTTCTTCCTGCGTCTCGAGTTGGTTCTCAAGCTGTTATGAAATGGTTATTAGTAATGTAAAGCAAAATCGTGAACCGTGAAACCCCCCCCCCCTTCCCAAAACCACATACCTCTTGAATACGCTTGTGAAGGAATTTGATGTCCTGGCTGGCGCTAGAGTATCCCTTCGTTTCAAGGTCGACTAGCTTGACTTGGACCTCATTGAGGGCCTTCTCGAGGGCTGCCTTGTCCTTTTGGAGCTGCGCGCTCAGCTCCCTCTCCACGAGCGCATCTTTCTGAATTTCTGCAGAAAGAGCCTCGGATCGCCTCATCTTTTCTACCGCAGCTAAGGCGATATCCTCCTGCTGCGCGAGCTTCGACTTCAAATCCAAAATCTCCTTGTCCATGTTGGCAGCATCACGCAGGGACGGGTTCTCTCCCCTGGTGAGATCGTCCAGGCCAGACATGGCTTCCTCGAGGCGAATCTCAATGCTGCGCTTCTCCCTGAGAAGCGCGTCGCGCTCCGCCGTAACGTCGTCGACGGAGCTGCGGAGGTTGCGCACCTGAGACAGGAGCGAGACAATCTTGCCCTGCGCTTCTTTGTGGGCATCGACGGCTTCATCTCGCGAAGAAACCACATCGGCGAGCGCTGTTTCGAGTCGAGATTTCTCCTTAGACCAAGTAGAGCTATTGAGCACTTCATCGTCCCACTTAGACCTAAGATCGTCGAGCTCTTCTCGAAGTCTCACAATCTCGGCTTGCTTGAATAGCTTCTCCTCCCTGGCGAGGTCGAGCTCCTTGGTCAGCGTCGCGAACTCGGCCTGATACTTCTTACGCGTCTGCTCCATGCTCGATTCCTTGTCCTCAATGTCCATTGCGCGTTGGTTTCGGTAGTCCTCCAGCTCGTGCTGAAGACGCTTCTTCGACTGGAGGGCGGCTTCGAGGTCGGTTGAGACGTCCTCAAACTTCTCCTCGAGTTTCTGGTTCTGACGTTGAAGATCTTCGATCGAGGCATCCATGTTCTTCCGCTCCGCCATGATCTCGGCGCAAGTGTCTTCCGCTTCCTTTGCCTGAGCCTTAGCAAACTGCTCAGCGCGGCTCGCCTTGAGAACCGCGATCTCAGCCTGCTCAAGCTTGTTGAAGTACTCATCTGCACGGCTCTTGTAGAGATTCAAGCTAGATGTCACGTCGGCGAGCTTAGACGTCTCGGCATCCAGTCTGATCTGGAGATCAGCAAACTCTTGAAGGAGCTGATTACGGCTCGCCGCCTCCTGTTCCCTCGCCAACGACATCTCCTCGAGGTCGGATCTAGCATCGCGCAGCTCTACCTCGGCCTTGGCTCGCTCGTGTCTGGTTTTCTCGAATTGTGCTTTGATGTCTGAGAGTTCTGCCACGGCGTCCTTATGGCTGGCAATGAGCGACTTCCTCGACTCCTCTTGGCTATTAAGTACATCGAGAATCTCTTCATGAGAGCGAGTTTGCAGATCACGCAGAGAGAGTTCGCCAGACCTGATGCTTCGCTCCAATGCGGAAACCTTCTTAGCAGAGTCATCGAGCATTTCTTGGAGGCGGCTGTTGGCTTGCTCAAGTTTCTGCATTCTACGGAGAGAGGGACTTTCGTCGAGGATGCTGTCTGGCCCTGGGGTCATCCTGTCCAGCTGGCTCTGGAGGTGTCGGTTCTGCATCTGTGCTAGTTGAAGCTGGTTCTGGAGCTCCTCAACCTCGGCCTTGAGGTCCATGCGGTTGTTGAAGCTCAGGATATCGGCCGTACGATCCGATCTAACGGAATCCTGAAGATCAGCATCGTTGAGACCGAGTTTTCTGTTCGGAGTTGAGACATTAGAGAAGCGACGGCCGTGGAGCTTGGAGTGCCTCTGAGTAGGCGATCGGTTAAACGGCGCCTCGTTGAGGGGAATCTCCTCGAGCCTGGGTCGGCTGGGAGACTCGCTAGTCCGAGAGGCGCGGAGGTCTGCCAGCTGGTTCTCTGCGCTTGATCGTGCCGCTGTCTGTACCCTAAGGTTTTGCTGGAGTTCTTCAATCTTACGGATGAGGTCGAAATTTTTTGCGAGGTGTTTATCCGCAGCTGCGCCGTTCGTTTGCGGTGGAATGAGGTTTGCCGCCGGATCGAGAGTTTTGAGGACACTAAGCATCTGGTCGCGAAGGTCCTGCAATTCCTGGTCGCGAGAATCAAGCGTAGCCTGAAGCGTGCGCACCGTTCCTTGGGCCTGTGTGCGGAGCTGCCTCTCAGACTCAATGGTGCGGTTGGCCTCCGCAAGTTGAACTGTGAAGTTGGACGACATCTTTTCCGCGTTCCGACTTGTCTTGAGTTCGCGGGCCACCTCATGGTTAAGATCTTCGAGGTTAAGTAGGAGCTTTTCAACCTTCTTCTCCAGCGATGCGACGCTAAGCTGAGATTCCTCGAGTTGCTTATGAAGCTTATGGTTTTGCTCCTCGAGCCTAGCCTTTTCTCTTTGCATCGACATGGCTTGGTTACGGGAGGCTTCGTTCGCTCGGGAGGTAGACCTGGCAATTTCCAAACCCTTGTGCTGCAGCTTGTTGAGGAGGGCGCGGTTATCATTTTCCGACGCCGCGAGGCGACTCTTGACCGTGGCTAGTTCTCGTTCCAGTCTTTCCTTGGCTTGGTCATTCTTTAAGCCAAAGTTGCCAGACTCGAGGATGAGTTTGTTTAGATCCTCGACCTTCTGGTTCAAGTTGGCGCACTCAACCTCAAACCACTGAAGGCGCTCATGAGCAGCATCAAGATCCTTCATCAAACTTGCTTCCCGGTCGCGGGCGACCTTGCTGGCCATCTTTTCACCTGCGACTTCGGCCTCGATCCTCGCCTCCTCCGCCTGGGCCTTCGCCGCTCGGAGGCGCCGGATTTCATCACGCGCCTCGTCTCGCTCCTTTTCCGCGGTCGCGCGTGCCTCCATGGTTCGGCGTAAGGTGTCTTGCTGGACGTAAAGCTCCTTTTCGATGATGATCTTAGACTCGTTAAGTCTATCATACTCCTCCTTGAGCGTTTCGTACTTATGCTCGCCGAGGAGGAGAACGTCGTCTCGGGATTGTCGTTCTCTGCTGAGGTCCATTTGAGTCTTGTAGAGTTCCTCCTTTAGGTCCTTGATTTGATCCTCTAGAAGTTTGCGGTTCTGGTCTGCTTGAGCGTCCTCGGATAGGCGTGCCTGTAGCAAGTTCCTCGCGTCTTCAGCCTCCCGTTGTAGTTGAGACTGTTGAGACTTCATTGCGGTAATCTCGGCATGGATCTCCCGCATCCGATTCGTCGCCGTTTGCTTCTCCTCGACCAAGGCAGCCTTTTGCGCTTCAAAATCACGTCGCTCCATCTCATACTTCTTATTGTCACTTCGGAGTAAGGCCAACTCGCTTTCCTTCTTCCTGACCAAATCCTCGTAGTCTGTTGAAGTCTTGGACAGTTGCGAAAGCTGTTGCTGAACGTCTCGGTTCTCCCGGGTAAGGTGCTGCTCCCTAAGTTTCGAGGACTGGAGCTCCTTCTGGGCGGTGTGGAGCTTGATTTCTAGATCTTGATCGGCCTTGAGAAGCCTGCTCTCAAGATCCTTCGTCTTTCTATCTTTCATCGCCAGCTGACTCTGAAGCATCTTGATCTCCTCCTCTAGGAGGGCCTCTTGCTCGCTTCGCTGGGACTGCTTCTGTGAAATGTCTTCGATCGCCGCCTCGAGGTCGACAACCTTTTGGGCGAGTGTTTGTTTTTCGTCCTCGAGGCGGGCAATAAGACCAGCAGCTTGCTCCAGTTGGGATCGATATTTCTCTACCTCCACCTCCGCTTGCTTCTTGGCCGCTAACAGATCATCCAATTGGTCCTCAAGCCTCTCCTGGTCATCAAGAGCACCAGCCAGCTTATCCTCAAGCTCTGCCTCGCGCAATTGCAAGCGTTTGAAAATCTCCTCCTTGTCTAGCGCGAGCGCTCTCTCGCTTTCCAGGGTTTGCTGAATGCGCATCATTTCGGCATGTGTATTGCGCCTATCCTCTTCAAGCTTTTGCCTCGACTCCGCCTCGGTCTGGATTTTCTCGTTCAGCTGACGTATCATTTCATCCCGCTTCTTGACTTCTGTTGCCGACCTGGTGTTACCAAGTAGGGGCTTCATCTTGACAAGGAGCTGCCACCAAGGATTGTCCACTAGGTCTAAATAGACTCGGAAGTTGGATTGAATGATCCGCGTAGCTTCAGCCCTGAACAGTCTCTTATAGGCGATGCGTCTTCGTACGTATCCTCGAGCCACCGCCTGGAAGCGAGTCATAAGTTCCGTGATCAAGGTGTCCCGCTTCTCTTCGAGTTCGGCAAGAACACCGGCGCGGAAAAAGACTTTGGTCAACCCCACACGGAAGAGGGTTCTATCCAGGCCCAGCTTGTCCAGCATGATCGCCACGGCGGATTGACCTTCCAAGTATCCCTTGGGCATATCACGGCAGAGGACTTCATACCGCTGTCGAAATTCGGCAAAGGCAAGGCGATTGGGGAAACCAGTACGGGCGATTCGGATACCCTCTAGAACACCATTACACCGGAGCTGATCAAGAACAAGCAAGTTGTTGAACTGCTTCGGTCTCTTCTTATGGTTAGGGAGGATACAACGAACAAAGTGAGGGTGAGTCGAATGAAGCTGAGCCATGAGGCTATGTAGCTGTTCCTTGTGGCGTTGGGCAACGGTCCTGAAGAGACCCTTCTTGACCCGGCTTCTAGCGCCTCCATGTTCATCGTCGGGATCTGCGCAATCGGCAAAGAGGTTTGCGACATGGGCGTTACTTGAGGCGGCGAGCAGGCGGGTGATATTATCATTAAGGGGATCTTTGTTCTTTTCTAGCCAACCCTCGGTGGAGTACTCAACCTCAGAAGCGTAATGGGTGAGGACGAATCCTTGGCCCAGACGAGACGGCCGATACTTGTCCGACTTCTTCTCCCAGAGAGAGTTCAGCTTCTCTGTGAAAGACTTATCGGTGGCCTTGGGCATCACGCAATCCTCGTCGAGACAAGAAAAGATGCCGATGGGGTTCGGGAGCTCAATCAAGTCGATGGTGGGCTGTAGGTCTCGGCCAAAGTCGATAAATTGCCACTCAATCTGTTCTCTGGCATATTCCTCTTGTTCGAGCACGAACATGTGATGGTTGAAGAATTGCTGCAACTTTTCGTTCGTATAATTGATGCAGAGTTGCTCGAAGCTATTCTCCTCGAAGATTTCAAAACCGGCAATATCGAGCACGCCAATAAAATGCGAGTCGTCCATGCCCATCCCTGTGCGGTCCAATTGTCGGTTTATCCGGGTGACGAGATCGCCAAACCCTCGCTCGTAGATACCCTTGGCGAGAGCATCAAGAGCAAGTCGGACTTGCTCGGGCGTCTGGACCTTCTCCACCCATTCCCGGCCGGCCTTGACCTTGGGGTGTAAGAGGGCCTGGAGGAAGGGCTCAAGCTGAATTCCAAGGAGTTGGCAGACCTTGGAGGCTTGCTGCTCTCCGTCAGACGCCAGCCGAGCTTGATCTGCCATCCGGCTTTCTTTTACGACAGAGATGTTGCCCAAGTGCAGGACTGCAGCGATTGTTCGTAGGATGGAGCTTTGTTCCTTATCCGAGAATCCCATTACCGAAAATGCCTCGAGGAGGGCATCCCACTCTTCTCTGTCAGAAATACCAACAATGGTATCCTGTCCACCACGGGTGTAGGCAAAATCGTCGACATGGAGGCCATCCAGGAGGAACTCGCGCTTCATCCTGCTATCTGCACCATTCAAGAGCTGATAGAAAATATGATAGTTGCGCTCGTTGGCATTGATCCTCACAACACGAGACTTTTCTAAGAGGTACCAGTCGATGAAGGCACCCGCGATGGAACCTGTTCGAGTGAATTCGATGCGGATAAATTTGCCGAAACGTGAGGAGTTGTTATTACGGACGGTTTGGGCATTTCCGAAGGATTCAAGAATCGGGTTAGCCCGAAGAATCTGTTGAGAAAGACTGGAGTGCTGAGACCTGTTCTTAACTGAGGAGTCGGAATGGGCAACAGCAGCGAGATACTGGATAACTTTTTTCGTGTTTTCAGTCTTCCCAGCACCGGACTCTCCAGTTACCAGAATACTCTGGTTTTCTCCTTCATCGACTAGATTCCGGAAGGCATGATCGGCCATGGCAAAGATGTGCGGCTTCGTGTCTTCCCGACTCCGGCCCTTGTACATATTAATGTACTCGTTCGTGTAAATCGGGAGTGGACAGTAAGGATTGACGGTGACAAGGAAAAGGCCGGAGTAGGTATATATGAGGTCAGACTGGTAGCGCATATGGAGGTTGTGAACCACCGACGCCTCGTTCAGGTGCGTCAACTCGGCCATATCGTTTGCCTTGTCGAACTTGGCGGGGTTAACCTTATCGACACTCTCTAGGTCGACTTCTCGTTGCTAATGACGGTGTCAGTACTACTACCAATGAAGAAATAATCATCTAGGCGAGCATAGATGGCATAGTCGACATACACTCCCATCGTCGCATTGGACCAAGATTCGCTGATTGTCGAGCTCCTCGACGACCCACCCCTTGACGAACGCTGTCTTTTGGTCCTTCAACCAGACATAGCGCTTGCCAGAAAAGTCATTCTCGCCTTCAATCCCCTTGACCGCGTCGAAGCTTGGCCTTATGGGTTCGGATTTTATGAAAGAGGGCGCAAAGGTGCCGGACGCCGGCGTTCCTGTCCTGGAATCGTTCCGGCCGTGTCTCGATATGGGCAAGGATGCCATGTTTCCGGCTAGTGTAGATTGGGATCGGGTTCTGCTATGCGAAGGAGGGGTTGGAGGGGAAGGCATCACGGAAGGCGAGGATATGATTGTCGACTTCGGCCTAGGTGCTGGATTAGAAGCAAAAGAAGGCGACTCAGCCCGCGTGAAAATACTGCGGCGCTGAGCCATAGTCGGCGCGCTAGGAGCCATCTTAACGCGTCATTTATGGATTCGTATATGCCTTCGTCTGGGTTGGGGTCCGAAGGTGAGGAGTGGAGGCCAGGAAGGATAATCTAGTCCAGCTTGATGTTTGGACGTAGGCTCAAGTAAACAGAAATAAAGAAGCCTTCAGGTCAGAAAACAAGGCTCAGAAAGAGGCACATAGGAGGGCTATAACATATAAGGTGAAAAATGAATCAATCTCAAAGTCTTTTTGCACTCAAATAAGTGAAGAACATCTCAAAACTGCCTGCGTTTAGTGAACGGCAAGACAGGTCTCGAGTTTGGAGTTCAACTGAGGCTTCTTTCCAGATGGAGACTTGGACGGGGTTGCCCAGGGCAGTGGGGCTCAAAGTAAACAAATACACGTGACCTCAACTTCAGAAGACAAGAAACCCGCTTAACCTGGTTAAACAATACAGCATGGGCCACTGTCTGTACGTACCCTGCTAAAATTCGGCTAATTCAAGTTTTACCGGAAATTTGTCGCTACGAACTTGAACGTCCAGGTCCAACCATCACAAGCTTTGCCTGCTGAAGGCTTCCTCTCAGTCTTTCATCCTATTCCCGCCACACGAGCCTTGAAACGCCATCCATCGAAATTTCCCTACTGTTACTCGAGTATTTGCGTAAGAGATCGAGAGCGCGGAAAGTGACGACGACCCATTGTGTGTGTTGGTGAGCTAGCCCTCAGCCGCTCTCCTTCGCACAACTCGACCGACATAATACAATTTGTGATCCTTACACGCCATCCCCGAACGCGCCTTCCAGCCTCATGTCATTACCCGGAGCCTCTCAAACCAAGAGATACCAGTATTTGAAGGCTGGGCCCTTATTTACATCAACATGAATCAGCAAGCGTTTCAGTGGGGTCCAGGTTATGGCCAGAACCCTCCAGGTGCCTTTGCCCATTCACCACCTGGGTTGGACAGCATCAACTCCCCTCCAGGCCCAAAAATCCCCGGGCTGGATCCGCAAAGTTCTTTTGCCTCGCCGGCCGCCTTTGAGTACAACCGCGCATCCATCCCGGGTCTCTCCTTCGCCATGCCTACCACAGCACCTTCCCCCACCACCGCCCCGATGATCTCAAATCCTGATTCCTGGAAGGGGCAACCCAGTGACACTCCCTCCAATCCTGAATACATACCCAGCCGCGGAAATCATACTCGCGCCTCCATTCCATCTCAACCACAATACGCGCCTCCCGTAATCACCAACAACACAACACCGCAACCTGTGACAACGGAAGTTACAACCAAAGAATCGTATCCAGCGGCGACCGACAACGCTACCAACGCTGATGATGCCATGGAGGAAGGTGAACTCGATGAATCCGGATTCGAAGATCTTTATGAGCCGTACCTTGAACCGGGTGACAACACGAACTACCATCCTCCCTCGCAATCTGAGCACCCAGCCACGGACGACGAGGACTACGATCCCGCTCAGCCAGCCAGTCCTGGCCTGCAGGATACCATATTACCCGACCAAGGCGCTCCCGACGCCTTAGCCATAACAGGTAGGAATAAATACAAACGCGTTGCGTCATATGTCCCGCCCTGCTAACGCCCGCGATTAGGCCGAGAGAGATCTCGTTCTTATTCCCCCTATCTCTCGCCAGGCGAGCTATCAACCACTTCCCCATCCCCACAGCAGTCTGCTACGAATGGTCCAGGTATGTTAATGCGCCTCACCATCGCTATTCTAGTTCGTACCTTCATGCGATCCACTCTCTTTCTAACACCTTGCTGCTACCTCAGATACACTTCCCGAAACTACCTCCGCCCAGGCCATGGATAAAGACTCAGCTACTCCAGCGGAAAGTCCCGCCGAGGCTAGGAAAAAAGCCCAAGCTTCAATTCTTAGGTTGTGGCCCTTGGAGGTACGCTTCCAAGACTACGTGGACGAAGGTATCGACCCAAAGATTGTCCGCGATCTCTTCGCTGGTCTAGGTCTGGACACGAAGTCGTCGAAAAGTCCGGCTGAACAGCAGCCACTCCCGAAGAACCACGCAGAGGTTCAGCCGTCTAAGAGCGTCAACCTGCAGCCCATGGACACCCAGCCGCAGCCTGACACGGCTTTGACTCCCACGGTAGCTCCTTCTAAACCTCTAGCGGTCACCGCCTCGCAAAAGCAGGAGGAACGTAAAGACCGCATTGCACGACTCCTTGCCGCCAAAAACGCGAAACAGCAAACCTCATCTACTGGAGCCGTGGAAGGAACCACAGGGGCACCTGCCTCAGCCAGCGAGACTGCCCCGTCCTCGGTGGCCGAGCCAGTGCCCCAGCTACCGGTCCATCAGGCGAGCGTGGCGGCTGACGCGGATAAAGCAAACAAGAAAGCGGAGAAAGAGCGTTTGTTGCAGCTGAAATTAGAAGCTCTTCAAAAGTCACGGGCGCTCCGGGCACAAAATACAGCCTCAAAGACGACGGAAGCCCAGCATCCTGAGCCTGAGAGGGATTTGAATACGTCGGATCGAAACATCGGCTCAATAGAACAGACATCAATGGCCCCTAGCCCCCAGGCCCCTAACGACGCAGTAGTGGGGCGCGACACAAAACCTCACGATAAGCAAGCCGTAGGCTCTATTCCAGGCTTGTCCCTCTCAGCGACGGCTCAGTCGGGGCCGACGATCCCGCGCAAAAGACCCACTGCATCCGACCTGAACGAAACGTCGGTGGCCCCCCCATTCAAGAGGACCTTCAGCCAGCATCATGTTGAAACACCACTTATCATTAATGTTAGTGACGAGTCGGAAGACGAAGATGTTGAGATGGAGATCAGCTCGCAAGCCGATGATAATCCGTATGAACCAAATCATAATGGCCATCGACTTCCAGCTTCGCAAGATCATACATCCCTCGTCGAGCTGCGACATCAACGTGGCTTTGCCACCCCGACCTCCTTACCTGGCGGCACTGCTACTCCTAAGCAAGCTGATTCTGCTGAGCTGCAGCGAATCAACCATGACATTGATGAGATGAAACGGAAGATAGCTGAGGCAGAACGTCGGAAGAAGGCTAAGTTGGCGTCCAAGGATGCCACAGCACAGCAACCGTCCACCGGACCTGGAGTAGCCGGAGTCCCCCTGCCCCTCATCCCGGGACCTTCTTCTGTCCATTCACAATCGCCCGGTTCACTGGCGTCACAGCCTGCACCCTCACCCTCCGGTATAACAGGTGATGTGCAGAGGGTTCTGCCCAAAGCACCAAGAGGCGTGGGAGCCGATCAGTCACAGCGTACTCAAAGGATTCGTGTGGTTAGTGAGACCTTACCCGCCCTGGAAGCCAAGCTTCGGAGCAAAACAACAAAGCTTCGCCTTCTGAAGTCCGAGGTTACGCGCATTGAAAGGGAAGTCAACGAGATGCTTGCCGAACGGGCCGACCTAAGTTCCGAGTTGGAGACACTCTCCAAAGACGAAAATGGGACAACGGGCGAGCCTGGGGCTTTGCAAGAAGAATCATCGAGTAACTCGGATCTTCCTACGCCGCAGTACCCAAGCCAGGTCTTGGAAATCGACGATGAGTCAGCCCCTACGGAGCTATCCCAAATTGCCAATGGCACAGAAGATCTTCTCCCAACTACACATTCTGAGCTCACGGGGCCCCAGGCAGAATCTGGAATAGAGACCAGTCCTAGCAGCCAAATCCAAGACGGGGGTATCAGTAGTTCGAACGGACTAGAAGAGGGTGTGCCACGTGGAGGAATAACCTCGGAAGACGAAGCTGCCGTTGTTGAACCAGTCGAAGATACGCAGATGGTCGATGTACCCAGTTCTCAGAATGAGGGACCTGTTGTCGAAGAGCAACCCGCAGCCAGTCCCACGACGGAGCAAGACGAGATGGCCGTCGATGGCGAGCCATACAGTCCGCCTGAACCCTTTCCCCATCCCCTAGAGACGCAAACAGCCAATCTTGATACAGCCACATCCCCCCCGCCGGCCGATACTGACATGCAGGAAGCACAGTTGTCATTAGCGCCCACTAGCATCTCTGATGGTGCGGTCGATACTCGTGAAGCCAGCCCAGAATCTCTAGGTGACACCAGCTGTGCTCCATCCAACGCTCCTAAGCCCGTGGCTACTGATGGATTTGCACCGTACAAGAGCGTGCTGAAAGAGTTTTTATCCTATCGCTTCCATCCTAACTTCCATAATGATGTCACGCAAGGGCTCCGATCTCTCACGTACAGTAACAAGATCAACCCGCATGTCCCATTCTGTCTCGATAGTTTACTGCCAGAAGGCTGTCCCAGAGGTGCTAGTTGCGAGTTACAGCACCCGGGGTCGATTGAGATACCCGGTAAGTCCCCTCTGCCTTATGACAGTGACTGACAGACGTTCTACTCCAGCATACATAGATCGACGCTGACGTTTCGATTAACCACCCGCTGCTGCAGACAGTCAAATTCTTCTTCAATTAGGGAACTCGGAGAGACTCGAGGGCAAAGAACAGGAAAGATACATTGATGGGCTTCGTGCGTTGCTCTCGGAGTTTAAGGCCAAGCAGAGTAAGGATTTCGACGTTATCAGCAAGGCCATCGTTGATTACCGCACTCGATTCTATGGAGACCAATCGAGAGTACTCCCCCTCGGAAACATCAGCGTTTAAGGACGCTTCCCAACCCTGCATTCCGTATACATCCCACACTCTCCGCCGATTGAGTCCCTAGAATATCCTATCCTCGCCTCAAGAGGAGATGTTGTTACTGGGGCCGGCTGTGCGTGTTCAAGCCCAATGCTTGTCGATTGTCACAAGGACATTCTTGCGCAGACACACGCACTAAAACAGACTAACCCAGAGACGACCTCTGCCGGGATCCGTCCGCGGTCCTCTCAGACCTAGACAGTGGCCCTTGCTGTATGAATATTTTTCATGACTACTTTTTCGTCTTTTTATTCGTCTTATTTCTTTCCCACGCATCGACGCATGGATTTCGCTTATCGTTTATCCGCCGCGCTCGTACCCCGCGGTGCCGTCTTATGTCGGAGCTTAATGTCGACCCCCCAAAGAAGCAGTTGGGGGAAGTAGGAGTTAGGATAATACCCGGATTCTTTCGGACATTTGCCTTCAGCTTATGAACAGGCCTTACCACTCGAAGGAGAGGGGTAAGCAGCAAAGGCCCTATCGACGAGTGGTATGAAGAAAGATGGCAGTAGAACAGTAGCAGATCTCAACAAGCGTTCTAAAACGGAGACGATCGCCACATCAAGGTGAACGGCTCATCTCCAACGAACATATTTTTGAGGTCTAGGCCCCTAGGTACAAAGCTGATCAATAATGCGACGTTTTACAATTCTCATCTGGTGTCGGGTCTTTATTTCGAGATGGTGATAGAGACGCAATCCCATGTAATAGCATCCGTGAGCCGTACTTTCTAAAGGCCATCATGAAACGCTGTATTAATAGCACGTGAAGACGATATCCAACAAGACAAGACAGCCGAGAAAGTGACCATGCAGTAACAAGACATGTCTTATGAGATATGAACTGCAAGTACATATCGCGTGCTAGTACAACGGGAAGTGGACCTGATTAATAACATTGAACATTGGAACATCAATGGTATCCTTCGTGCTTCGTAGATTACAACTCGAGACAAGGTGATCGGCTCGATGAAGAACGAAACGGCTTCCTGTGAGACAAGTCAGCGGCGAGTCCTCATCACGATCAGATCCCATCTAACATCCTCGGTCGCCACAGACCTTGGCAAATTTGACCCGAGGACCAGATTGTTACTCCGAACTTTGTAATATAGTTTACAAAGTCTAACAGAAACTAATAACACAGGGCAGGTCACCTAGCGAATAAGCTCACAAGGAAAACACCAACCAGCAGGGCTAGCATGGAGTTTGTACGCCGTGGCATGTTCTCCACGATTTCCAACCTTATTTGTGAATGTTGTCGAGGCAACCAGGGGCAGGAAGACCCCACTCGACTTCTCACCCCGTCAATGTACTTTGTACCTCGCAATATTGACACAGTATGAAGTGAGATGAGCGATTTGAGAGCTTGACGGAGCCTGGATTTGATTGGCCAGGATTGGTTTGAGACGCGTTTTGATCCAGGCGCTGAGGGCGCTTCGCGTCGGTGGTAGGAAAAGGGAGTAGGTTCGCGAGCATGAAATTCACAAGTATGTCGTACGTCGAGGTTATCGGCAGATGGGTAACAGACGTAACAGACACATAACGAAACGTACGAGGTAGGAGAAACCATGCTAGATGAAGCCGTGCTTCAAGAGACTGGCCTTCACGCGGTGACCCGGGTGTTGGCTCTCTCCGTCCCATAGATCCTCGAGCGCGATCGCGGTCAGACACGATCAAGATTTCATGTATTCGTCATCTCTCTACTTAGCACTGTACGGGTGCACAGTACGGGAGTACCAACAAATTTCAGGAGGGAGCTGATGGGTGTGATTGGTGCAGAAGTACCTTGATCGGCAAATTACACCATACAAGGTACATTGAACCAGCTCTCCACCCCCCAGAACCGCCTGGACTGGCTTGGACAGATTTGTGAAGAAACACGGAAAACCGCCAGGTCTTGACATGGCGCTGAATCGTGCATCATGTGAAGGAGCATTCATTTCAACCCCGTAAGGACCAGGTAACGGCCAACGGGGTAGCCCTTCTTCACATCTCATTTTTCCCCCCTCCAATGTGAGCAACAAATGGTTTTTCCCAAGTCTGGATACGCTGGAGGAGTTCCCTAGTCAAGCGCTCAGTTCACTAGTTGGGAGTAGGGTACGGCGGAGCCTGCATCAAGAGGCTGGGGGGTTGTCCTGGACAACCATGCAGGAGGCCAGGCCAAGGTCCAATAGTGGCATTCCACGAACGATCCTCTTCCTTCTCAGCAGCACGCTATTATGGCAAGGTAGAGGTTCGGGGTGCTTCTGATCAGCTGCCGAGGCTCGACCAAATTGCTCCACAGGTACCTTCGTATTCAGCAATTTGACGCCATCCGGGGGATGACGAGGATAGTGGTAGGATCAATTGGATATCAGTCGATCGAATCAATTGGGATGAGGTTCCCGCCATTGAGGCCAATGCAGATGCAAGAGGCTGGTATTTGATGCCATTGGACGAGAAATCGATGATGAGAGCTATGGTGAGCTGTGGTGGTTGCAGATGCAGGAAGATGTAGGAAAACCATCAACTCTGACCTGTTTCCTGGCCCAAAAATGCACATGGGCGTGCTGTCTGTCATATCAGTAGTCTGTCTCACTACCCTCTCTGCAATAACTCCGCCGTGATATTGCCGTTCTCGCCCCGCCAGGCGGTACTTCGTCCACAACGCAACTACCCGACCCGGCTGCTTGAGCGCTGGTGAGATCCACCTCTGGAGATTACGAAGTACAGCAGGAGGGCCGCCGTTGACAGAGCCCACAACGAATAGTACGAAGCAGGTTTCCCCTTCCCCGGAATGAGAACTCATTGTTGTGGAATTAATTACAGTGCTGGCCAGCCAGGGTCTTTCTATGTTTCCAGTACCTTGATCAACTATGCAATTGATAGCTGAATGGTAGGTACTATTGAGGTTAGTTGGTTTGGTGATTTGTACACAACCAGATCTGATGAGACACGGCAACATGGATCAATGGGGAGCCGCCTGGTCAAACAGCGAGGTACCCTCGGCCGCCCTTGGCTGAAGCCCACGACGCTAGAATCTGGAAGCTAAGCTGCTTTGGCCAACTGTAAACAAACCCGGAGCCAATCGCAAGGCAGGACCGCGACATCAGTTTATACAGCTACGCCCCCGAGAGCTCGACAGGAACAAACCCAGTGTCGAGGACCTTCTGAAGGTTGGATTGAATTCGTGCCCAGTTTGATCCGACCACGCCCTCAGACATGATCCTTTGTATTTAAACGACGCTGTAACCCAGAGTAACCATGCGAAGTACCTCTAGATAGCGCTGTTTCGGGCCAAGATCACTCGGGAAACAGTGTACCGTCCACCATGTACAAGAGTAAATCAACAGTATCGGTACATCATAGTCCCTCCCATGCTCCTCCTCAATATGCGGCAGCTCTTCCCTGCCTCGCCTATTTCTGCCCCTTTCCCTTCCTGCCTCGCTCCAACCCCCCCAAAGCTGTTTCCCTCCTGTCCTCCTGTCCTCAAAAACCCCCAAATCTTCGCTCTGAATCCTCATCCACTTCATCTCTTCAATATCTCATCATCATCAAACACCAATTGCTTCACGCGCTTTCTGCTCCAAGCTTCCAAACCCCCCCAAAACCCTCTCTGCTCAGCATCCTTCGGGATTCGTTAGAATAACCTCCGTAGTTATTCTCGTGTAGCAAGAGGTCAGAAATCTTCCCTAGCCGGTCTTTCGTACGTTAGCGAAAGGTCGATTGCGGAAGGTTTTCGTTCTCCTGCTCACCCAAAGGTCGCCAACCTGGACTTTGAAGCTCGTGTCCCCGTCCCCTTCAGCGTCTTCCCATCGACCTACCGCGAGGCGGATACCCAGACAAACGTCGCTACCACCACCACAACCACCACCCACGAGGAGGTCGAGTTTACCCCCCCGAAGCCCGGACGGGAAGGTCAACACTCTTCTGGTTTTCACGAGGTTGGACAAGAAGAGGTACACTACACCCGTGAAGAAGACTATCACCGCCGTCCCGGTATCAAGCAGGAGCGTGAGCGTCACTACTACACCCAGGACGAGTTCCGGTATGTTTCTCTGTCTTGCCGGCGCGATTCAAACGCGTCCGCGCATCGTTTCCTTTCGTTTTGAACAGCATTCTATCTGCTGCGATTTTACGTCTTTGTTTTTCCTCGACATGACTCCTGTTTTCCGACCCTTTCCATCGGTCATTTCCCGTCGACCGCGTCCCCCGTTCTCCACTCTCCCAGCCTCCCTAGCGACCTCAGCAGTAGCTTGGTCCAAAATGTAAACAAGTCCGGGGGGGCTGGAAGCTGCTTACTTCGCACATTGGAGTTGCCCCATTCTTTCATTTTGGAGCTGGCCAGTGGCGCCAGGGGTGTTCCCAATCAGGCATGGCGTGGATGCAGTTAGGCACCAATTGGCTAGCTCTACGCCCACTGCGAGATTCAATTCGTGTTGTTCACACCGCAGGAGCCATGCCCTGTGCTGGGCCTGCTTTTGTTTTGAAAGGGGCTGGCAATTTCGAAGCTCCTATTTTCTTTCTCTTCTTCCACCTTTTTCTTAACTTCACTTGAACTCCTCTCTAACATAGATCCATCCATATCAGACCTTCTCGACCCGACTTTGCAGAGACTCGTGTTGAGGTAGACCACCACCACCACTACACCGCCAGCCCTGTTGATATCGCTGAACGCGAGTATCGTTCCCGTGTCCAACCCTCGTACGCCATCGAGGGAGCCCACTACCGACCCGTCCAGCACACGACCACTACCCGTGTCGAGGAGTACACTGTAGAGCCTAGCAAGCCTAGCCGCGTCTACAGAGAATCCGACCGAGCTTATATCAGCAAGGAAACCGTCGAGCCTAGACGCCTTACCACCACCAAGAAAGCCAAGATGGGTTACTACGACGAGGACGGTATGTGTCCCCCTTCCTTCCCTTGCTTGTCTCTCTCCTTTGTTTTTTCCTTTCCTTCCCCGCAAACATCGTCAAGTGACTTGCTCTGGGATTCTTCTTAATACTTTATTCTTCTTATTCAGGTCACTACCACTCGTTCCGCGCGGGCCTGCACAAGTTGGCTGATAAGGTTGTGCACCCAGAGTCCCGCCACCACCACCACCATGTCGAGCAGGAGCGTGAGGTTCGCGTAACCCGTGCTCCCCGTGCTCCCAGGCAGGAGGGTGCTCCTTTGGTGCCCAACACTGTCACCATTCCCTGCCACCACATCCGCATTGGCGACTTCCTCATGCTCCAGGGCCGTCCCTGCCAGGTGATCCGCATCTCCACCTCGGCTGCCACCGGCCAGTACCGATACCTTGGTGTCGATCTCTTCACCAAGGCCCTCCATGAGGAGAGCTCCTTCATCTCCCACCCCGCTCCCAGCGTTGTCGTCCAGACCATGCTCGGCCCTGTCTTCAAGCAATACCGAGTCCTCGACATCCAGGACGGTGCCAGTAAGTTGATCATGACCCCAATTGGCCAACAGTAGTGATACTAATCATTTCATCAGTTGTCGCCATGACCGAGACCGGCGATGTCAAGCAGGACCTCCCCATTATTGACCAGTCCAACCTCTGGGACCGCCTCCAGGCTGCCTTCGACTCTGGCCGTGGCAGCGTCCGCGTGCTCGTCCTCAACGACGGCGGCCGTGAGCTCGGTGTTGACTTCAAGGTCGTCCACGGATCCCGTCTGTAAATGTGTCTCTTTCGTTGTACGACGGTGAGGGTTATCGTATCGGCGACCGCCATGTCTCTAATCAGCGACGTCAATGATGCTGGCAGTCAATGGTTTGTTACCTGATCCAGCATTATCTTGGCAAGGATGTCTGGCTTGGAGTTGTTTCTTCATGGTCATTGTGTAGGATGTCATCAGGGAAATTCAAGATTGGATAGATTGCTTCTTGGCCTAGGGGTGCTCGGGGAAAGGAAGCCGCTAGTTGTATTATCCGTGTAATCAAGTGGGCGTCCATACCCGTGCTTCTCTGATTTTTTCATGACTTTTTCATGACTTGTGCTGTGTGTGTCATGTCCAGTAAGTTCCTCTGAACCTGTAGTTGAGGCCGACCGCCTTGGAGGTTAAGTTGGTAGGCTTGGGGTGTTTGTGCCTGTATAGCGATGTTCTAGGAAGCCGTTGGTTCCTGATCTAGTTGAATTGTGCGTTCGTTCTCCCACAAGGTGGTGAAATGAGGCTCTGGGTTGGACTGGACTACACGGCATGGGCCAGAATATATGAGTTGAGGCATGATCTCAGCTCGATCACCAACCCATTGACATTCAGACTCGCTTTCAATGTAGTAAATGAGGTTACATAGACCTCGATACATGTGTGTTCGTCCATTTAGGATTCGACTGCTTCAGCTTCGTGCCTACCGTTTCATGATTCAGTTCCTGATGTAATCCACAAGTAAATTCATATACGAGTTCACGGCAGCAACTTCCAGCCGAGCAGCTCAAGCAGCAAGACTGTGACCAGTGGTTGGTCAAGTGGCCATTGGAGCGCTCAGAAGGTTAGAAAATTGCAATTTTCGTAGCTCGTGGGAAGCAGCCAGGATTTGTTCTTAGCAGCGACCTACGAGCGAGCTTTTTATTTTATTTTATTTTTTTTCTTTTTGGTCTACCCTCTTTATTTTCATGCCTTCCTCGGTAACTCCTATATACCAAGGCTTGAATTTGATTTCTCTTTTTTCATCTCACTTGATTTTTATCTTTGAGGCTTTTATTAAGAGATTCGAGAGGTGTTTGGGAAAAAAAAAAAAAGGATATGTCTAGAGATACGTGGAACCTAGATTGTCACGTTTGACGAGTTCTGTTAGACTCTTTCCAGTCCAACAACACTGAAAAGCCTTAAACCCACGGAATAGACCAGTGGCGACTCACCGGGCTCCGTGTATGGGGAGATCTCTATCCTAATTTTTCTTCCGTTTTGTTCCAGGCTGACGGAGAATATCGAGTCATCCGACACCGTAAATTCACTTGCACCGCGTGACCCAAAATCTCCATCAGATACGTTCCCAAGAAACCAATGGCACCAGATATAAAGCATACCGGGGACACAAAACTACGCCTTCTATGGCGAAAACGTTATCAGTGTCAGATGGCCTCTAACATGACCGGTCACATGCAACGTCTTGCGCCTTGGCGCTTCCGCGCGGCTTACACGCCGGGCTCCAGCCTTGCCGACACGTCACCCGTTACCAACGCCGGTACTCCCGGCGACCTAGGAGCGACTAGAATAGTGCAGAAGCAAATGGTCCTCGAAGTTTACATGCTCCATGATGCAGCCTTACGCGGGGCCGACAGAAAGCGGAGTTGGTTGGACGGAGAGTTACGTTATATCAACGTCTGGGGGGGTTATTATTATGAATACAAGGAACGTGCCATTGGTTTTCTTGCCGTATATCTGCCATTTCAGTGGTGGCTTCTCATGTCCTCTTTTTCTGCCTGTAAGGAGCTTAGGCTTGTGCACCCCTTCGTTCTAGAAACTGAGATTTCGGTAATACGTACGAGAGCAAGGCGATCTCCAATGGCTTTAAACCATTATTGCACATACGAAGAACCTATGGGGCAGTGCCAAGTAGCTGGTGTCTTCAGTAAAAAGGGCGTCTACTTCGTATAGCAGATCTTTCGGTACGAAGATGACTCTCTCATGTGCAGTTGCATCAAGTTCCGTAGGCCTAGGCTATGGAGAGTGGCAATATCTAACAAGTTGTACGAGAACTTAGATATACTTTCTCACTAATAGAAAACCGTCCGAGGCTCCGCTCGAATCCGGGCATCTTCTTTCTCCCTCTCTTTTTTGGAGCCTTATCCACTCGGTTCTTCTTGATCCTTCTGCAAGGCTAGATGCGGAGAAAGGTAGATTTCGAATTAGTTCTTCTTCACGCCCGAAAAGTTGCAGGTTGTCGGTGTTGTCTTTTTCTTTGAATCCCATTTGATGCCCCGCAAGGAAACAAAGGTAAGATGTGTTGTCCTGCGGCTTGGCATACGACAATGCCGAGTTGAGGCTCACCATTCGGCATTCGGACCGGAAGGGTTTCCTTGCTTTCTGACGTTAAGCTCCGCCCGAACCTCCACCAATCCGAGGAGTGATAAAATGACGTCGGTTTATGTCCTTTTTCCAAGTTCATAGGCAGACCAATGACGAATTTCTACCAAGCCGAACCTGACAACCCTGCTGAATTAGTTGAATGGAAGTTCTAGCAGGGGTGCTTGAAATCTCTCTCCCCCTTTGTAGTTTGTACATCAATTGATAGCCTGTCAATATCAACCTTCCCCACAAAGTCAAGGGCCTCAAAAAGCCACACCCTGTTGGAACCAAGGTTTCCCCAGGGCAATCCCGAAGCCTCTTTGCAATTCCGGGAAAGGCGTGGTTGGGCACTGATCAAATCCGTCTTGCTCACTTTTTGAGTTTCCTCGGTCCTCGTGGATGTGTAGACATATCGGGTTAGTCGATCCCTGACTGAGACGTCAAGGTTAACGCCGGCTCATGACAGAAAGATTCATGAGCTTCATGTCTCTTGTTTTCGGTTTCAACCTTTTCATGGCGGCCTGAGGATGCCTGACATTGCATATCTTCATTTCATGTTCGGTTTGTAAGTTCGGAGATAGTGGGCTCCAGAGCCACCCAGCGTGAGAGCCAATACATTTGAGCCCGGGTCCAATCCACAAGCGCCCGCAGTGTCCGTTTTGTCCCTTGCTTCGCGGCTCGAGGTCTCATTCGGCAGGTCGTTAGCTTCATGTTGGTCGTCCCCTTCACCCGGGCACCTTCGATTCCTTCCAATCGAATTCGTAATTCGCGTGGAGACCAATGACGAGGTGAGCTGAGCCATTGGACCAACAAGCTTCGGCCGGTGATGGTGATTCCGACGACATGTATCCAGCCGATGGATGGAAAAACTGGGATTGACGTCGTTGCCGACACGACAACACACACTTGGCCCGAATATGATGTAATTAATAATGGCCGGGCGAGCGTCGCTGGAAGGACTTGATGTTCACCTGGGCAATGAGCCAACACGACTTACACCCGATTGCGCAAAGGGAAGTTTCCGGGCTGGACATTGAGTCCACAAACCTAGTCCAGACGGAAAAACGACTTCGTTCATTCCTTGCTGCGTTCGCAGATTCTACATCCCCCGCATTCACTCATTCATACCCTTTCTGGTCCTTTGGTTTGGAGGAACCCGGCCTGAGTAACACGAACACGTATTAAACAGCACCGATTTTGAATTATCGGGCTCGATCTTGGCGTAAGAGGACCAAGAAGCGACGACATGAGACAGTCTCGAGGTTCGAACAGGTCTAAACCAGTTCCCATGGCTCGCCAAGAAACCAGGCGAGGATAGCCTGCCTCTAATGCGATGACAGCAGGTGACAATATCACCTCGTCCTTTGTGACCTGGCCAGCTTAATATTGAACCCCAGTTGTCTGGTCGATAATCCAACCAACCTAAACGAATTTACAAAAGTCAATTGCCACGGCGTCGCCCTTGCGTAGAGCCCCGCCTTTCTTTCATAAGCTACCAAGACTTCGACACAGGACATTGAAGTTCCCTCGTGTATCCAAACTTCTGTTGGAAAGATCAATGGAAAGGTGAGTGTGACCTGCTGACTCGGGAAGACGGGTACTTTGTACATTTCGTAATGGAGAGCGGGAATTGTAGGTTACACCATTAGTACATCCTGAGCTCCGCCATCGCCACTGACGTGATGTTGTTAAGGTTGTACAGTTGGGTAGTCTGTAAGTATCGGGTGACCACGCCCAATTCCCCAGCTTCGAGTTCAATGTTCCTTCCCTCAGATCCAGGGTTCCCCAAGACGCACGTCATCCATTTCTGGTTAAAGAGCAAGAGCGCTGCGATGCGCGAATGTGGCAGAGTAAATTACATTCTGGGAAGTAGAGATGACATCCATTACGGTTGCCCGAACGGAAGAAGACATCCCATCCATAACTTAAGCCAGGCCGCAGTCTAGAATCAGCCCGATGGATCTCACGATTTGACTCGTGCTGTGTGTTCTCTAGCCCGTTCTTTATCCCGACGTCTGGCCATACAAATCCACAAATATTTGACACCTTCATCGCCTTCCGCCACTGGCCTTGAGCCTTCTCCTTCTTCTCTCTTCTACCGTCTCCCTTTATCAAGATCATGTGTTCCTTAGACCAGAGTAAACGCATTTACCATATCCTCTAACTCAATCTCATTTTCCCATTACCTGCATTGGCCAAGCATATTTGGACCCTCTTCTAAATCGAACTCGGGGTCCATTCTTTAATATTTCAAGCCTATCCGTCCTGAACCAACAGCAACCCCTCCACCCCTCCCCCGCCATCCGTCCCAGCTGCTCCTTCGTACTCCCACCGTCCTACGTCCTACGCGCTGCGGGTTCCCCGCCGCCCGCATAAGCCCATATTGATACCCGCAAGGAATGGTTCAGCGAGTTCTGACCGGAACAGAAGGGGAAAGATTGTGAGAGAAAAAAAAGTTCGGGAAGGACACGGGTCGAGTCAAGGGAGAGAGAGGAAAAAAAAATTACTCTGCCCCTCTCAGCCCGCCATTTCTCATCCCATCACCCCTCATTCTCTCTCACCGGCTTCTTCGCCCCCCTCTTCTCATTCTACAGCATTCTCCGTTTGGGAGTCAATCTTCATCGAGTCGTCGCCGTCCTTCCGACTTTCGGCGAAGAATAAACCAGACGATCTTTTCGACAAATCCCGACTATAGAGTATAATATATTGAGTATTCACTCCCGCCGATCTGTCGCTTGCCCGCAACCATGACCGAACGCCACTATCCGGCTTATCCTGCGCCAGGCCGTGCAGCAACATTCCAGCCTGCGAGAGCATCCATGCCTTCGAGTCTTGGTTACAACCCAGTTTATCCCGGCGATATCCATTATCCTACTGCTGGCGGTCGCTATACTGGCCACGATGGGACTTCGCCGAGATATCACTACCACGCAACAGCCCCCATGTCGCGGGGCCCCGGGACTGCAACGTACGCGGTGACCGATGATCCTCTGCGACGACCGAGAGACCTCGAACCTCTCCCGGCACCCACGACTACGACCCGCACTCGCCGCTCCTCCTCCAATGCCGACTCCACGCATCCGCGACCCATTATCATAACCACAACTCAGCCTAGCGCCCGACCGCACGTTCACAACCCCGCCCGAGAACGTTCCCGTAGCCCTACTCGACCCGAATATCGGCCTTCTTCGTCCATTCGCTCGAGTAGCGTTAATCATCAGCCCGCACCCGCCCGACAGCTGTACAGTCCTACGTTTGAAGCAAGCGATGAAGATTACATGACGCGCATTAGGGGCCCTGATATCATCCCGGCATCCTCACGTGCGGAGGCATACCGCAGCGCACGACCCACCGTCGTCTACTCGAGCAATCCTCGACAGTCAACCATTGACTTAGGCGAAGATTACGGTTATACAAAACCGGGCGAGCTACTGCAGTATGATCTCGAGCACCCGAAGCAACACCATCATCACCGACGACATGACAGCTTCGATCACTACGCCCGGCCAAACGTTTACTACAACCCCGGACCCCGCGGATTCAGCACTGAGCCGAATCGTACTCACGAACCAGCCCCTGGTTTGACCAAGTCCGAAAATCGTGGCGGCCCACCGCCTACCACCTGGGGCTTGGACAAGCTAAATCGAAGTTCCGCGCTGTATGAGCCGGTACCCCCACCAGCTCCCATTCCGCCTTCAGCTCTCCGCGACGGCGCTCCGGGCAGCCCACGCGAGCGCCGAGGCTCCAACAGGCATGTCCGACCCGTTTCATTATATCAAGAGATTCCACCCCGCGTCTCACATGGCGATGACTATTACCATCCTCGTGAGAGGGAGGAATCCCGCCACCAGAGAGAACACCGGGAATTTGAGGATCCTGGGCGCCGCCACTTGGACGAGGAAGTGTTTGTGGATGATGATGTCCGATTGCGAGGATTCGGTATCCGAACTGACTCTGGCCCTCCGCCCCCGGAACCCGATGACAGGCGGGAGCGGCGCGACCGTGAGCGCGACCGTGAGCGTGAGCGTGATCGTAGAGAATATGTTGAGTCGCACCCGCCACGGAGATCTGATGAGGCTATTGATCGTGATTGGGATCGTATTGAAAAGCGTGAGCTCGATGATAGGCATGAGCGGAGGAGGAGTAAGCAGAGACCGGTTGCGAAGGAGGACGACGATAAAGACGTACCTCCCGCCAATAAAGAGGACGCAGAGCCCTCAAACAACCTTCGGGATAACCTGAAAGCCGGCCTCGGAATTGCTGTGTCCTCTATTGGCCTTAGTCCTACGAATAAAGAGGATAAGGAAGTTGATAAGAAGCGCAGGGAGAGGCGAGAATCCCCGGACAGGGACAGGGAACGCGCATCACGGAGAGAATCTGAAGAAGATGATTGGAGCTCGTCGGGTGATGAAGTCGAGATAATCAGTGCTCGCGCTTCTGATCGCCGACGGCCTCGCGAGAAGGTGTATGTGCCCAGGGAACGCAAGGAGCGGGCTGATCCTCCAGAGCCGTCGCCGGTGGAGGATAACCGACCGGAGGCTGATGCGCCTCCTGCTGCTGCCGAGAGCTCACCGAGGGTCAGTCGTGACTCTCTTCGAACCGAAGATGAAGCCGATAGATCTCGACAGCGGGAGAGGCGATCGTCTTTCAACCCTAGGGACGCGGACGACATACGCGACGTCCAACAGAAGCTTGCGGCTATGAACGTCTCCGACAAGCAAGAAAAAGTGGTCGTCGTGGAGGATCCAAATGACATCCCACGCCGAGACTCACGAAAGGACGAGCGCTCTGCATCGAGCAGGCGGGAGTCATCATCCCAGGGTCATGATCTCGTAGTCTCCAAACCCGAAGACAAGGCCGTTCGCGTCGTCTCCCCACCACCCGAGAAGGCTGGAGCAAAGCCCATCAAGGGCATCCTCAAGCCTCCAAGTAGCAAGTTCCCCGAGGACCCGAACCCTATTAGGGAGGGTGTCGCTCCTCACAAGAACGATGAGAAACTCAAAGAGGTTCCGGCTGGCGCGCGCTGGACGAGAATCAGCCGCAAGATTGTTAATCCCGAGGCCCTTGCCGTGGGCAAGGAGCGGTTTGAGGTGCGAGATGACTTTGTTATTGTGCTCCGTGTTTTAAGCAAGGAGGAGATTCAGGGGTACGCCGCTGCAACGGCAGTGTTGAGAGGTAAGACTCAATTTTGTCGCCTTGGCTACAGGCTGAATCGAGTCAAATTTGGTTGCCCCCCTTACTGACATTTACGCCTACAGAGAGAAGAAGGAAAGAGTATGAGAAGAGCAAAGGACAGGACTATAGTGATGATGAAAGAGATGATGATCGCAGAAAACATCGCCGGTATAGAGAGAGGGACGACTATAACGAGGACGACGCCGACGAGGGCGACCGTGAACGACGGCACAGGAGACACCGTCGGTATGACGAAGAAGAGGACGAGCATCGCCGGCGCCAGGAGCATCGTCACCATAGGCGATCGCACCGTGAACGAGAACGAGACCTTGCGGCACCGTGATCTGCGTCCCGACGTCGACGTCTCGAGATTGTTTATTGCTAGACAGCTATCGGCCATTTTTACGGCCTCTTGTTTTCTTTTTCCTTCTCCACTTGCTATTCTATACACGGTGTGTCTATACACGGAGAAGCCCTTCTTGGATACCAGCGACATGTTTTCTATGACACGGTGAAGCTTGGTTTCTTTGCGCGACAAGAAAAGATTGATATACCTTTGTATCATTGGGATAGGATAGATCTGTGAGCATGTATGGTTTATGATGTATATGAAGCTACTTTGACGCGGGGTTTGGACTTGGAGGCATGTACGAAAGCAAAGGGAAATGGAAAACGTAGTTAATGATGACACGAAGCGAGTTGTTGATATTAGTTGCAAGGTTGTTGTTTTCAGGATATCGCTGCCGATGTATGGCCTGGGAGCTTCATTTCGTTCTACCAGTCTCCTCTACTGAGATGGGATTTTCCCGGTTTCTCTCTCCGACACGCCTTCTATTCATTCTCAAGCATCTCCTACTATGTATTCTATGATTTCGAGAGCCTCAAGGTGACTGATTCAGAGAGTAGACAGACCATGGGCTGGTCATATGAGGAGGTCTAACTTCAAAGGGGTGCCGAGATCATAGCCAAGGAACACTCTTGACATGGGCGTTGTTGTTCATCGGAGTTTCCAATCCTCGATGCGAGTTGGCATGAATCCTGAATCCTCAAGGGAGCAGCCTCGAGGCGCATCTCGCCAAGGCGCATTCTCTCCCCAGCCAAGCGGGCAGAGCGGAACAAAACTAGGCCGTGAAGGGTTTTCTGGATGCCTCCCGGAGTATACGACACCTCCATTTACGAATGTACGAACCGATCTAGCCTCCGGGAATGCTCAAGATACACTTTTGGATTTTGCTGGCTTACATGGCGTTGGTGGCTCGCCACCACCAACAGACCGTTTGCCCGCAGCTTACACGGTCGTCCTACGTGGACCACATATAAGGCAACTTCCCACGCCGAAGAATGAAAAAATAAAAAAGATCATCTGCGACTAGTTCAAACCCTCCCTCATCCACACGTCCTTGGAGTCCTCCTGAAATTGCATTTCATCTTACAAATTGAAGAAGACTCAGATATACGAGACCGCCCAACCGTCACACGCGATGCTAACTCACAGCCTCGCCGTGGCGAAGGGAGGGTCTGACCGCCCTCCCACTCCCCCCCTTTTCCTTCTGTCGGGCACACCCGTCCCCATCCCCGAGGGTCTGTTCGCCTGGGACCTGGACTGGCTGGTTGACACACCTCTCTACCTTGCGGACAGACAGACTAAAATTTGACGGGGTCTGCCAGCAGCACTGCTGTCTTGAAATCCCGCGAGTGTGGGACGAAGAATTGGTGTAAATGTCACATTTTTCCCTCTCACATTGTACGAATACGACTGAGCCAACCTGCAATGGTACATTCATACAGATCCTCTTTCTGGTCAGTTCAGCCATTTCCTAATTCAGCCTCCTTTCCGCGAAAATAAAAAGGTAGTGGCAGGACGTTCGATCCAGCACACCACTTCTTCGTAATAAGAAGTGATACCTACAGTAGTTTGCGAGTTTTGTTGTCTGAAATCGCGGAAACCAACACCACACACGCACGGTTGTGGAACCGGTCTGCGGCATCAGTCACACCGATACTTTTTCCTTCTCCTTTCTTCCTCGAGTCGAAAGGTATTCTTATAATTTCCTTTTTTCTACGTATCCTCGTGCTTCCCAGACGAAGGTCGAGGACTGCCAAGACGTAATAAACCCCGTTTTTGTTTGGGCCCTGTAATCTTAAGCGAAAGGATGTGGCTGGCGTCGGTTCCGCACGATTGGCACCTCCCTCCTTCTAACGACGGCTGCTCCCAGTACGAGCTTGGGCGGAGCGAGGGAGGGAACTTTGCGATGAGCAAAGAGAGGCTCCCCCCACGTTGGAAAGATGGAAACAGGGCCCTGGAAAGGACGCTATACTTGCCGAGGACTTAGTGGATTGGCTTGCCAACACTTTTTCGCTCTCTCTCATCCCCTTTTCGTATTGAAAATTGTTTGTTTCGGGAAACCTGAGGAGAGGCGTCGAGCATACTGTACGGAAAAGTACCCTTCGCATGTGCGCTTTAGCCCGCAAAAGGTATGTTGGTGCCGCTCGTGTTCCCCATTTCAGTCTCTCCCCTGGACGAGACCCACTGGGGAAAACGGATGAAGCTTCCACGGGTGGGTTCAAATAATATCGAAAAAAAAAAGAGCCTCCGTCCCTCCCTCTCCACTAGCGAGCCATCCTCTTGGATCGAGTCCCCGGTCCTTTTCTTTTTCCTTCCTAACCTTGCTTTGTTTGCCGCTGTACAAGTAATGTACTCCGTACTTCATGGGCGGCCGCCGGTGCGGGCGTGAGTTCTGTACTCTTTTTAGTGTCCTTTTTCTTTTCTTTATTTCCTTTCCTTCTTTCTCTTTATTTTTGTTATTTTACTGTTCTTTTCTTGTTCTCCTCCTTCATTTCCCGTTTCCAGTTTCTTTCTTCTCCTTGGCTTGCTTCGCATTGTGATTTCCCCCGCCCCCTAATCCTACATGAGGATAATAATAGACGCGAGATGGGAAGGGGGCCGGGGAGGGGCGTCCGGAATGAAAAAAAAAAAAAATAAGACGAAGGGGGCTACTTATGGCGTTACGTTTGGGATGAATATTGTGGGAATTGTAATAACGACCGTCGCGATTTGGAGATGCAACTATGCTAGATTGGGAAAGAACGCTGTTTTCTTAGGGGTGTGTGGGACGGACGCCAGGCGGTAACTTTGGGGTTGTTGTGACAGGCGGAATAAGACTGACGGGGGTCTGGTGACGGAGCAAATGGGAACGGGAATGGGAAGAGGCACTTGGTAGCGTGTTGAACCAGGGGGAGGGAAGGGGGGTCTTACCTTTGGGTTTTTCTTGCGAGGTTCCCTTGCCTGGTACTTGGCACTATCTCGATGCACAAGTGACACAGAGTAATCTTCCCACGTTGTTCTGCCGGGGCGCGTGAACCTTCCTGGCGGGACGAACTCGAGGAACTGCGAAAAGCATGGTGGTCGACCTCCCTCGTCCCTGTTACTCCGTCCAAGTCCCCTTCCCACCCCGATTCCGAGCTTTTGGGGATTATCCTGTCCCTGTCCCTTCCGTGAAACCTCCCATGGAGTTTGCTTGTACTACTTGTACAAGGAGGACCGGTTGACCAAATACTCGGATGAAGAAGCCAATGAAGCTCTTGTTTGAGGAACAAGGGTGTGGCGTGCCCCCACTCCGTGCCGCCGTGCTCGCTGCTTTTACTTCGCACCTTCTTGATAAGTGTCCAGCTTCGTCTTTCTGTTTGCTCTGAAGAAAATGGGCGAAAAAAGTACTGCTGGCTAGGACCACTTCGTAATCTGTTCGTTGGGGGCGGGGGATGGTGTGGTACGATCCGGGACTAGATTAGACTCATGTGTGTACGGACAAGGAAAGTACAGACGCACTTCGTACGCATACAGATGGGGGGTAGAGGGACGGGGGCGGACTGGACGTGCGGTGTTGTGCTGTGCTCGGATGGGGGTGGGCGATGGGCTGGCTACACTACACTACTTGCATCCAGCACAAAGGACGCATACGAAGCAGCAGAGCGACACGGAAAACCCGCCATGCACGTTTAGGGGGTAAATGGGGATGGGCGCGGGAGAGGGTGTGATGTGGGCGTGGTGTGCCGGGGAAGAGAGGAAGAGAGCCAGAGAACCAGGGTTTTGCGATTGGAGATTAATATCAATTCGTACAAAGTACTCGTACTTCGGAGTGTTGTTGAACGAGGGAGACTGCGGAGTAATTGATATTATTCCTACTTGGTAGTAGTGTGCAGTTGAAGTCGCAGCAGAAGGACACCAGAAATGATTGATGTGACCCGATGGGGCAGAGAAAAGTACGAATAGGAAATGGACCAAAGGAAAGAAAGGAGAGCAAGAAGAGAGTACTTACCGCCACAGTATCTCTTCCCGCACGCTAGAGGACTGACAAGTACTCGACCCTGGTGCATCCTCGCTGGATCAGCGCCTCTTCCTTTCCTCACAACCTTCGTGCACACGCAAACACACACGCTATTACTACTTCGCCGTAGTATTGTTTGCTTCCCCAATCCGAGGAGGGTGGGGTGTCTTTCGAGTTTTCTCCTATCTCCTCCCAGCTCGTGCTATAATTCGTAGCAATCCCACAACCTCTATCACCTTGCAATGGGCGCCATCTCCCTTTCCCTCTGCGGCAAGAAAGACGGTCGATCACTTGCCCTCCACCAACACCGACTTTCCGACTGTCGTGATTGTCAGTGCGGAAAACGCCCCATTTCACGCTGCCGTGCCCACCTTCTCGTTTCGAGCTTTCCAGCGAGGCGAGCAAGGCTTGTCAGCCGGTTAGCACGGATGTGCGCAAGAGTTGCCAATGCTGGCTCGACACCATTTTACTTCGTACTGTTCTGAGCACCGTGATGTCTCGGAAATGAGCGTGGAAGGGTCGCAGCGGAGCTGAGGGAGGCTCTCCCTCTTTGCTAATTTTCCCTCCTCAGAGAACGAAGTAGTGGCCCACGCCCCCCATTGATGGCATTGATGGGCCTCGGCATGGATTTACTCGAGGAATTGATTCGACTTGGAGAGAAAAGGCCTGCCTGTAGTAGGCGTCATCCTCCCAGGTAATACCGGCACTTAGTTGCATACTGCCCTTCGTCGTCGTGCAAGGGCCCAGGTACTTCGTAGTTTAGGACCTGGCTCTGTCCGAATGGTGCCCCATGCAGATCTCCGACCATCTCGACCCGACTGATGGGAATAATACTAGTGTAGTAGACCCTCGTCTTCTTTAGGGTCGGTCAATAAAGCTGGCGAAGAAGGAAAAAAAAAAAAAAAAAAAGGGGGGGGGGGAGCAAACAAGGGAGGGGGATCCCGGGATCCCATGGTTTTGGGTCCGACATGGGGACCGCAGCCATCTCTCCAGCGTCCATAGCCTGGTTTTTGCCCCC